GCATGCCAAAAACTGTGTGGATCTGGGACTTGAAATGATTCATATAATTAAAGACGTCAGGTACACACCAGATCCTTTAGATCCTGATCTGTTTATCAAGTTATATTTTAATTTAAAAAATCATAAGTAATAAAATGTTTCCATATTATAACAGTAAATTTCGTGACACAAAATCTCCTTTGCATTAAAACCTTAAGACCATGTTGTATCCATGTTATGAATATTATATTTTACCTGGTACAAAATAATCTGTTTGGCTACACGCCAGCATCTCAACTAGGTGCCAGTTCGTGGCTTAAGTCGTCCTACAGAAACTAGCAATTTATTAAAACATCCAATGAATATTAATGTTTATAGTAATTTAGCCACGTTTTTAAATTTTTAAGTAATCTCGTCATTAATTTTAACACATAGATTTAGATAGTTATATCTAGAATCTCATCGATAAATTCATCAGAATAATAATGTTTTCACAGAGATAAACGGTCATTAAATATTGATATGAGAATCGGCGTACATTCAGGTAAAATTTTAAGTGGTTTAATTGGAATTCGGAAATGGCAATTCGATGTTTGGTCAAAGGATGTTACAATTGCAAATAAAATGGAGTCAACCGGAAAAGCCGGGTAAGAAATTCAATATTTATAATATTGTGAAATTATATCATGTCTCATAACTGTAGATTAGGTAGATTTTTCTTCCAACTTAATTAATTGAAATGACTAATTAAATACAAGCAGAAATAAGACCAAAAACATCACAAAGGAAAAATTGATTACGACAATATTAACGTGTACCTGCGAACGTCATTATTATTGATAGCAATGTAATCAATCTTAAAGAAACATTCTTTATGTACCTATGAATATATTTGAAAGAGATAAAAAGCTATATAAACCTGAGATATCACTCTCACTGAATAGTTAATATCGATAACAAAAAAAAACAATAGTTTTGGCTATAAAACAACTACGACAAATTTTGAACCCAGGGTCGACGTTGTAATTGTTTTGGCCAACAATATATTCTAGCGCACATGCACAAAGACCGAATTGCTTGTCATTAAAACAATAGTTCTGCAGTTTCATGCAGACAGACATGGGACAGAAAGATTGATTATCTGCATGCAACAAAACGTTGAACGTTGGGACTTGATTTGTTGGAAAGCCACTATAATTGAATAAATTCTAGTACATTTGGAATACCTGTATTGCAGTAGCTTTAAACCATTTTTCAATAATAATATTATAATTAATAGTAATTTAGTATTATTTACAACATTTAACTCAAATCCAACAATACAAATGCATATGTTTGTACCATTTCCAACACAAATTTTAACACATATTTTATGTTTATTACAGGAAAGTACACGTAACTAAGCAAACACTGGAGCTTCTTTTGGATTATGCAAGAGAATATATTATTGAACCAAATTTTGCTTCACAAAGTGATCCGTTTATAATAAAGAATAAACTAGAAACATTTTTACTTACAAGGCCACCAAAGGTATTTTCAACTACCTTAAATATAACGTAATTATTTTCTTACTATATACTTTAGTATAAGTACATATTTCTTTCATTATAGATATATTTCTAAATATTTACATTCTTTGTTTCGAGATTAAAATCTGAAACTTACTTACTTTTTTATTTTAGCCTGCAGCAGATAGCAAACCTTTTCGGCGAGCTTCTGTCGGCTTCAACAAAATAATTACTTCACGCTCGCGTGCTAGAGTAAGTTTTATTTTTGTTTATCATTGAGCATGTTAAAGCATTCCAAGAACTTTAATTTGTAAATTACATTACAACTTTGGCTTTGGTGGTTCTTACCTACAATTTTAAAATAACTTATTAAATAACTTTTTAAATTCAGACTTAGTTCATGTAATTTCTATAATTTGATGCAATTTATTAAACGATGTATATTTCTAGTAGCGATCGGAAAATAATCGTAGAAGTTCTTCGAATTTTCGTCGAACTACCGCATTTATGGATGAGAACTTGGTTGAGTATCAACAAATGCTCAAAGCAGCTGATGCTCAAATGGCAAAGGAAATTGAGGATATGACTAACGGAAAGTACGTACGTATTTTGATCATTATGATTGTGATATTTATTCATATAGTACACATACAAATAAAATAAACTACAGAGTTTAGATATATTTCAAACACGAATCTATGTTGAATGAAGAATATTTATTATTTTCAGAGATTATTTAAAAAAAGAATCCAGATTAAATAGATTCAGTTTAATGTACAAAAACTTCAAATTGGAGAAATCTTTCCTTCTGCAACCCGATCCTCTGTTCAAATATTATACAGCATGCTGTCTCTTAATATTGATTTTAATAATCATTATAAATGGCCTTACCACAGACTGGTACGATTTTTTACATATATTAAGTTAAAGTATATATTATTAGTTTCTAATCTAATGTATTCTTTGTTTTTATTTATAGGTTTCACAATTTTACGTTGTACTCTATAATATTATCAAGTTTATTATTATTATACCTAATTATAATGCAGCCGTTGTCGTGGTTTCAATTTGTCTGGACGAAATACAAAGGTATTGACGAACCACGGAATAAATTGCTTCGGTGGTTTTATGATTTATCGGTAACAATTATAAAATCGGCAAAAATAAGAACGGCGATGTATCTCACCATAAGCTTGGGACTTGCAGCAAGTTCAATGGTCAATGTAATAGGGTGTGCCGAAGTTGAAGTTGGTTCAACAGATGTTGTTCTGTCGAACTGCATTTCGCCGTGGGTAATTTCATTTTATATTAAAATATTGGATATGTTTTTTTATGCTGCAAGTATTTACTAAATGTGACTTTTTATTTCAGCACGTAACTCAATGTTGGAGTTTGGCTTTGTTATTAAATTTTTTATTTAGTAGAGTCTTTTTCATCTTTAAGTGGATCGTTGCTGGAGGAATGACTATATTTTACCTTTGTGTTGTCTGGGAAATTAAGACTTCGCTATTTGCTAGAGATCTTACTTGGAACGTGGGCTTAGATCCAAGAGTCTCACATACATTATCAGTGGTTTTTATTACTTTAATGTTATACTGGATTGACAGAACGACTGAATATAGAAATAGGTTGGACCATTTGTGGCAAATACAACTAAGAGAAGAACAAGAAGAAGCTGAGACAATGCTAAAAGTCAATAATATGCTGTTAGAAAATATTTTACCAGCTCATGTTGGTAAGCAAAATTTTATTATCTGTTTAAAAGAATCCAAATTTTATATAATACAATTATTTTGGCATGTATATTTATCCACATTTTGTTTTAGTTCAAGTTTATTTGGATCTAAATAGATCATTGGATGAGCTTTATTATGAAAAGTATGATAACGTAGCCGTCATGTTTGCTTCACTGACGGACTATAAATTGGGACTGGAAGATGATGCGGATTTATGTGATAAATTTGTATTGGGCATTTTGGATGAAGTTATTTCTGATTTTGATAGGGTACGTTTCAATTTACTTTTTATTTCAATAAAGAAATTTGAATAGAAGTTAATGTAACATATTCATTATATACTTGCTTACTTATTTACAGCTTCTCCTAACTGGATCTTCAGTTTATAAAATAGAGAAAATCAAAATGGCAGGCTGGACATATATGGCTGCTTGTGGGTTGGACCCAAACCGAAGAGATTCATATGATTCGTCTTCATATACTTCAATAGTCGACAGGAATAAAAACACTCCTTACAATCGGGCAATCGTTGTCACAATGGTTGAATTTGCAGCTGCCATGATGATGCAATTACAAAATTTTAATCGAGGGTCATTTCAAAGTTTCGAGGGATGGAATTTACGTATAGGTAATTTTTTTATATTTAATATTTGTCTGTGATATTAGTGGGTTATATAGTACATAATTCATAATAATGACAAAAGATTTACAAGCTATCATTTATTATGGGTCAGGTATATCAAATGGTGAAGTAGCTGCAGGCGTAGTCGGATCTCTCAAGCCATTATATGATATTTGGGGAAATGCTGTAAATATGGCCTCTCGAATGGATTCAACTGGTGAAACAGGGAGGATTCAAGTAAGTTACATAGTTCTCATACTTAAATGTATCATACAGCTTGTTATTTATAATCGACATTTATTTAATAATTAAAATAACTCAAATAATATAGCTTTATTTTCATTATTTTAATAACGTATATTGAATTATCGCATTTTTTAAGGTGACTGAAAATACAGCAATTATTTTAGACGAATGCGGTATCCTAACAAGTTATCGTGGCGAGACGTTTGTTAAAGGCAGAGGTTACGTAAAAACTTATTTCGTACCTTTGGATGAAAACTTTAATTTAGTAAAGAAAGAAAACTCATCGGAATATTTCCAAACCGAGGAGAGGCAAAGATATTTTTATGCGAGACCCACGATGCTTAGTCTCACATCAGTAGACACAGGCACGATTGATACAGTGTCACAAAACTCCACTTCTGATATCCAAGACATCCCCACTGATGTTCCTAATGGAGATGTGAATAAAGTAGATGAGAACAATTGCGTAAGCTTTAAAAAACTAAAAAGGTCGATAAGCGATTATGGTAACGACGGGGTATCGATACCGCCAAGGGATGACGAAAGTGAAGTATATGCTGAAATGGACATTATTGAAACTCGTTGCTAAACGAAATTATACAAAGTTACATTAGGTGTTATTCGAATGTGTATAGTAATAATATAAAAGATTATTTGTTGAAATATTTATTTAAATTATTTGGAATAGATACTAAGCGGTTAAATAAAAATTAGTTATTATTTTATTTTATTTTTTTACCAAAATCATGTTAAAAACATAATGTTTAGTATACAAAAATAAATGAATACTCTTCACCTTTTAATACAATGGTATTTCAAAAAAGATTGTTTATTTAAAATATTTATTTATTTTTTTCTATTAAATATTATTTCCTTATTCAAATATTGACTGAAATTGAAATTAAAAAATTATGTTTTAAATAGTATGGGAGATTTGTTGCGGAAACAAATCACAGTTCTATATATAGTGTCATAGTTATCACTTCCCATTTCTTTATTACATTCATCTATGGTGTTGGCAAAATCGCTTCTACGTGGATGATTACCAACTATCTGAAGCATTTTTTCTTTTACAAAGTGACCTTTGTCGTCACCGTAACCTGAATTCTTTGTGAGGCAGTACAAATATTTCTTAACCACCTCGTCGTTCTTAAAGTTCCAATTAATTATTCTTTGAACATTATCTAAATCAATTCCAGTTTTAGCTGTGCAATCCATAAATATATTATAAAGATCTGGAAATTTCGCAGGATCTAATTTCACGTATACCTGTAAAATATATTTGATATCAATACACGTGATATTAAATCTTCCAAAATGATATTTTCATGTTTTTTTAAGAAGAGCTAACTAATTAATCCTAAGTAATCGTAAAAAATTAATAATACTTTTAATGTGTAACATTTGAGCTCTATAATTATCCACCACAACCAATTTTCTAACCAGGAAGATATAAAATCCTTGTAGATATCAATTTTAATTACATTACGTATTAGTCATATTATTACTTAGATAATAATTAGTTTCAATCACGACATACCCATTATTGTTATCTAGCAATGATTCTTATGCCATGTTTGATATTATAAATACTCTTCTTTGTTTGTGAATCTTATGTTTTGTAAAATATGAAATTTTGATAGATACATACATCGTTTGGACCAAAAAAGTTCTTCTAAAGTACTAACTTAGTTGAAAATTTTAAAAGTAGGGGATAAGTTTGCCTAAATTTTTTTGAATCCTTTATTTTTTCTACCAGTACAACCAATATCAAAGTTTTGTTTATGTATATTACATCAATTTGAACAAAAAGAAAATTGAGTGTCAAAATAATAACAAATCACAACTTGTGATGTTTTAATTTTCTACACGAAAACTACGTGAGATACACCATTTAATTTTTAAATTCATAAAATTCTTGTCCATTTTTCGTCTTTTTTCATAATAAGAAATCAATTTATAAGGATTTATTATTAAACCAAACGAACAATTGATTGATATAACTTATATAAAATCACAATGAAATGGGAGGTTATTATTTAAAATGAATGTTTTTATTTAAATTTCTTATGTTATAGTAACTATAAAATATCTTACCGGTTTTATTATTTCTGGAGCCATGGAAACGATGGGTATTAAGGAGAAAAATATATATTTAATCAACATTTTCAGTTTCCTCTGTTCTTTCTATATGTGTTACCACAACCTTCAACTTCATTTATGTCAATGTTTAAAGTGACAACATCTTCCTTATATATCTTCACTCTGCATATATTTGTTTTTTATACCATTGTTATAAAAATGCAATTATGCACAAGGATCTTACTTGAAATAAATGTTACCTTCAAAGGAAATTTATAGGTACATAAATTAAAATATATATATATATATATATATATATATATATATATATATATATATGATTTTTCACTATATAACACTGAATATTGTCATTTTAGGAGAATAATACATAATCCACTTACATTTGTTTTATAATCATACAATAGAATGTCTGAAAACAAAAGTAACTTACCATTATCGTCACATAAAATTATTTTTTTAGAAACTAAAATAATCTTTTAGAAACAGAACCTCTTCCTGACTCCATTACCTCTGAACACTGTCTTGTTAAGACTGTATTAACATATCCTCCACTTGATCACAAGCATCACGATGAAAAGTGATTGTACAAGTCAGAAAATTGGGATGAGAGATGTTTACTTTTCTACTGGAGACCGTCTGATATCTCTCAGCGGTGGTACCTCAGGTGAGGACAGACGTTGTTTTCTTCAATAGGTAGGCAATGATGGCAAAGCTCACTCACCAAGACGTTAGTTCCAAAAATAAAACCATTCACTTTTTATTCAAAGCTCTGGAGATACAAGTCTGTTATTCCTTACTTCCTAAAGTGATTCACCTGATAGACTATATTAACTAATATGGCAAAGTAGAATGCATAGAAAGCAATTCGCCTCCTTTCTCTTTTGGTAAAATTTTTTGAAACGAAGCACGTTCATCTGATTTGTTTCCTGATTTAACACGATTGTTTTTTCTTTCTTTAATGACTGGTATAGTGCCTAAATTATGGAAGCTTCCAAAATGTTCCGAAGAAATATCCTTACAGATAATTTCTTGAATAGAGTTTTATTTTGAGTTTCTTTTTTATGTGTAAATAATAAAATCAAGAAGACATTGCGTCTTGTGACTGAATATTTAAAAGTTATATTATTTTAATATAGTTTTATCTGACACCACATTTGGCATCGCAGAGAAATAAGTTAGAAATGTATTCAGAAACAAGACGCTGATGGGACAGTTGCAAAGTTTATAAAATAAAATTCAAAATAAATTTTCTTTGACCTGGGATTTTAAGTATGTAAGATGCATTAATATCGATATCCATATGAGTGGCCACATGGGAACAGAGTGATGGGATAGTTTAACATGTTTTCTATTTCTTTAAAAGAAATGTAATACAAGAAGATTATATTGTAAGTAATTCAGAGAATATTTTTTTCAATAATATTAGTCACTTAAGCATTATAACTGTTTTTGAAAGCGAATTGGGTCTAAACAAACCAATATTTCATGGAATAAAAACATATATTTCTTTTATCTAAGAAAGCTTATGATAACACTAAAACATGTATGTACCTATTAAATATTAAAGAATATCTGTATAAATATAAATTATGACTTTCATTATCTTTTGATAATGTGAATTTGAAATGTTTAAATTAAATCTGATAAAGGTTTCATTTGCATGTGATTTCATTTTCACTCATTCATGAGTTGGTAGTTCCTTGGTTTTTATCACTCAAATAATACGTGTTGTTTTGTTGCTTTATGATAACACTTGAATATTTGGAAGGCTGTGTCAGCATGATTTTTACCATTCTTATTCTTACATTCACTGAGGACTTTTCCTGCAGCCACTTTGTCTATGTCTTTTGGTAGTTTAGACAAGGCTACTTCCATATTTAATTTTGCATCAGCTGTTACGATTCCAGATTTTTGGAAGAAGCAGAAAATAAATCTCTTTAAGCCCTCGTCGTCATTAAGATTCCCCTTCTTTGCTTCAGCTAGAACTTCGAGTTTCACACCTGTTTCTCTTATACATTCTGCTGTATACTGTTTAACTTTCTCTTTTTGTGCCGACGTCAAGTGAGCGTTCTGCAAAACATTAGCAAAAAATTATAGCAGAGACAAATTATGTGTTATGAGATCTAACTTTTGGCGAGTCTTAATTTAAATTAAACTAATATTTTCGGATTTACTACGTTTTTTTTTATTTTTTATCTCGTCTGCCCGTGATCACGGTTGCTGTAAAGTAACCGAAACGTCGGGAGTATGTAGTTTAAAATCAAAAATAAAAATCGCGTAGTAAATCCGAAAATATTAGTTTCATTTAAATTATGTGTTCTTACACATATATTATAGAATATAAACAAACATAGGCACACAATATGTATACTGTATAATATGTATTTATCGATTACACTTACTTGAGCATTTGACCTACTGATAAAAATAGCGCACACACATATTAAGACAAAAAATTTCATTTTGTTTTTATTTTTTTAATATACTGACACGGTTTTATTAACACAGTTTTGCTTCGAAATAAAACTAAATTACTAAATATCTGGTTATATATACAGTAGGAAGGACACTACTGGAACAGGTGTTGACGAGAAATTACTTAGGCTTTGACCTCAAGCTTAAGTAGGGCATTCGTAAACAGGTTGTTTGGAATAAACATTTAATGGTAACAAAAATGATAAAAATAATATGGATTGAATTTCATAAACATTTTATAGTATTATTATAAAACTACTTAACTATTAAATATTAGAGCCATCGATTAGGAAATATATAAATAACTGAAAAATAAATATAGGCATTTCAATATTAATTTGAATAAAAAATCCACTTCGTGAGATAATAGTCCTTTCTTCATACACCCTATAAGTAACAAAAGTCCTTATACTGAATACTGGTTATTATTCAATAAGCAATTCTCAATGATACAACATATTGCGAATAATACATATACAACGATAGCAGCAACTCAAAATTTTATCAAGATTTTTTTGTTTGTTGCTCTTCTGGGACATGGCACTGTGAGATGCAGTAGTTATATAGGAAAGAAAGAAAACATACATAAAAACTGTACCTATAACTTTTTCACGGATCAGTAATCTACATAGTTTTACAATAAAAACTTATGTTCCTATTTAAAAACGTCACTAAACCATATGATGAGCCACCAAGATCTTCTGAACATTTTTGACATATTATGTGAGGGGGTAATAGCTATTTGGAATTAAAATTTTCTGCCAGTTAATTTCCTAAGGAGTTCCAAACCGAACTCTTAAACTTCTGGAGAAAGTGAACACATTCGTTTTTTCATTATTGCATGCGTCTATTTAAAAAAATGTATAGATTACTTTACTATTAGTTAGGTAGTTACAAAAAAAACGCTTTATTTTTATAAAAAAAATAATATTTTGTAATAATTAATGGAAAGAATTATGTATTTTTATGCATATAATAGATAATAAATTGCAATTTTCTTAAGTCGTAGACTATTTTAGCATATATAAAACAGAGATTCATGAAGATAACTATATTAAATATAAATAAAGGCAACGAACGCTAAGAATTTATTAACTATTTGTGAAATTGCAGTTTTTCTATTGGAAATTGACTAAATGGAGAACTAGTGCCATTTAAAATTGTGACCTTACGAATAGGATACAAATAAAAAATTTATAAACTAGAGTTACATTTAAATTCTTTTGAGTATCGAGAAATCTAAACATACAAACATATTTTTATGTTCTTTCTTATATAATTGTGGTTATATATTATGATATTATTGCATTTCATCCCAAATATTTATGTTAAATATTGTCGTTAAGTGTAATTCCATTTCAGTAAAAAAATATTTATATCGTACCGCAACAAAGAATAAGAATATAATAGTAAAGACTGCGGTAACATCAAACTGTAAATCACGGTTATCTATCATTGTAGCACAAAGTTACAAATATGACGTGGGTTCTAAAAAACAAAACAATCTTACTTGTTATCGTGAAATAGAAATGTTAATTTGTTTATAATTATGTATCAGGAGCACGTTTTATAACTAGATGTATAATACAATTAAACTTTGATAAATTCGTATTTCATCATTTTTATTTTACTGTACAAAGAAAAGAATAATGATTTTGGGTTAAAAAAATCGTGTTCTAATCATAAAATATTTATTCAGATGTAGGTACGTAATTTTTTGTGTTTCCTTATATTAAAGCTTCGAATTAACTAAAATACTGTATACTTATTAAATAATCTTATTATCATAACAAGATCATTAGTATTTCTGAATTTCCAACTGAATTTAGTATTGCGGTAAAATTTGTTCAGAAATGGATTATATCAATTAATTATAAGTACCTCCAGGTTAGGTTAATTTTGTGGACGCCGTTATATCCTCATTGTTCTATCAAATTTATATTTGTAAACGAAATTTTTCCTTACAAAATATGGGTTATTGTAAATTACAACAAATATTAGCATTTGAGTAGGTTGGGAAACCTTATACGGAACATAGGCGTGCAACCTTTTCTTTAGAAATTATTTTCCTGAAATTGAAAACGCCTATTATATGTATTTTTATTATTTTAATGAAAGCTTTATTATAGCATAACCGCAATTTTAAAATAAAACGTACAATTAATAGTTATAACAAAAAATATAATAAAGATGCATATTTTTTTAACATTCAGTCTATTTATTATTTTCATTTGCAATTATTATATTTTAATAACTTTTTGTACAATGTACTAGGTATCTAAATGTAACCGGATGCTCTTGTGGCTACGGGGACACCGCAAGACTAGGGTCCTTAAATGGTGTAATGTTTGAACTAAGGTACTTTATTTAAGTAAATACAATGATCAAATGCGAAGTTTTACCCAAGCTTCAGATTTTGTTTTAGTTGTTCGATAAAACCAACATTTGCTTTATTTTTATGTTTGCATGTAGTTAATAATACTATACCCAAAGTCATAGACAGCCAACGCAGTTCAAATTAAAGGTTTAATTACCACTTCGCGTATCAAAATATGAAGAAAAGACATTTACGCAATGAAAATTTTTTTTTCGTGAAATGTTGGCTGCCCCTGAAATAAAACACTGCAGATTATATTCATAAGGCTTCGCGTCAGGGCGTCCATGTTTCAAACTTAGTCTAACTCGACATTGTTATCATTACTGTGTATGTAGGTTAAGAATCCGGGCACTTTCGTATTTCTATCGAAACACTTCAAACAAAACCCTCGTACATCTGAGAGTTCAGGTGAGTTAAAAACAATTATTCTGAATTTGCTTAGATTGTTTTTACTCAAGTGTTATTTAATTATTTGAGAAAATGCATTCAAAAATCTGTTTTCTCAAAGTTTAAAATGGAGGAAGAATCAAGCTCTGGATGTCAACTGAGACGACGTCGCGGTCTCGGTAACCGTCGTTTAGATCTTAATCTAGACGTCGGTTTCCAAATAAGCGAAGGTGCTAGCCACACACAGGCGACCCCTTCCCCCAGCTACGTGAGGCTAACGCCTAGTTCTGTCCCCAGCTCAGCTAGACTATTGCAGGAGTTTAAGAACAAACAACAATCATTTGATATTCAGGTATGATTGATTGGATTACACATGTATATAGTTAATACTTTTTACAACACATAATACTTCTATTGTTTTAAAACCACCGTTTCATTTTTTTGTGCTATGGCTTCATTCGCACCTGAATCGTGGAATATTTTGCCAATGTCAACGTTTTCAACCGTTTCATTTTATAATGTTGTTATTGTGAGATTATTTTTTGATATACTTAGTTTTAATTATATAAAAATGTTACTATGAGCAAAATATCTTTTCAATAATGAGCCGATTGTCGACTAAAATAAGTATATAAAGAAAATAAGGTGATGATAACTTAATAGAATGAAATTAACTTTCACACACGTGATTTATAGTGCTTGTGTTTCTGTGTGTATCTTTACCTTGCCCTTATTATTATTTAAAGTTCCTTCATTTGCTTTGCTATTGCTACCTAAAATCATCATCCCTTAAACTAACATCATAAGTCTCCTGTTTGAAAAACTTTCTAAAAAACTTTCTAAAAAAAACTATAAATGTCATCTTCCATACTTTTTTATGTTAAATTTAGATATATTTTTTATAACTAACAGGTCTCTAAGGGATGCCAGAATTTCGATTTTGACATGTCTTTATGGTAATTTTAAATATACCTTAATTACTATTAAAATACATGATTAACAAAATTCCATTGTCTTTGCACATCAGGCTCAACTTAGTACTGAAATTGTATCTATACCTACAGACTTAAGAAAACAAAGCAATTCTATTTCTAATTATTCTGCATAGTAATAGTTAATTACAGAGACCATTTCCTATTATAACGTAATTCAAGGTTTTTCTGTTTTTATAACCTTGTTCGTAAGGTGGAAGATTGTGAAGAGATCGAAATAATAATTGAGAGCGATGAAGAGGGTGAAGAGGATGATAATGCAGCGGCAACAGTTCCGAATAGACCGATCACACCAACACCGGTTCAGGACTTTGGCACGAGCGTTCTTTACATGGAAGGTAGACCATTACTTGAATTCGTGAGGAATAGTGCAAAACTACTTAACTTCCATTGGATAATTCCGCTTATATGCATTGTTGGCAGATTATCAGAAGGAAGTTTAAGCTGAAATATTTTCTAAATTAACGACTTTTAAGGGAAATTGTTTCACAATTAGTAATAAATTAAACACTACATAATTACTGATGGCGAAAAAATTACCTTTAAAGACGTAAATAATATCCAATGCTAGTTACGCGGTTTTGCACTTTCCCTAACGAATTGTAGTAAAGGCTTTTTTATAACACCAAGTTCCAGTGAGGTCTTAGTCGATCTGTTAAAAATCAGTTAAAATCTTTGAAATATTTCCAGGTCCTCAGGCCACTGATTTCTTGAAAGTGAAAACGATAGAACAGGATTGCTATACAGATGTATCGGACGCCGGATCAGATGACGAAGAACAATAATATTTAACAAATATTGCTATATTTATTCACTTAGTCATTATGTTATAGATTGAATCAATAATAAAATTATTTTTAAAGAAAACCAATTTTATTTACGATCATGTAATTGCAATGATTGCTACTAATTGGACAATTTACTGCGAATGGTGCTGGAAAATATAACAATAGGATTTTCTTTTTTGCTGGTTTTTAATTTTTATATTATTTTAATGTTTAATATAATATTAAATTATAATAAAAAAAAACAATCAGAACAAAAAGAAAATTAAAATAAATTCAGCGTAGGTACCTGAGTAGTTGCTGCTGTTAAAAGAAACTATCGAGGTTTAAAAGAAAGTGATCTATTTCAGAATAGATCAAACAATAATAAAATTACTCACGCAGGTATAAATTTAGTCTATTAAGATTCAAATTATTCTATATAAATGGATGTGTTAACTTATTTCATTCGCTGAAGTATTAAAAGCAAGTGACATATACATATATACAATAGTATTCTTATGTATCTTTGTGATTATTTTCGCAGAATAATCTATAAATAACTCAACCTTCACTTCGCGGATGAAAGATTCAGGCAGTATTTTAATGCTAAAAGTATATTTCTATGTTCTACGCTAAGTATTGCTAAGACAAAAACTAAATTAATATAAGGAAAAGATTATAATAATCATAACGAAGTTTGTAAGGTAATTCTATTAATGAGTTAACTTCTCCAAATAATTTTAAATTTCTGATATGATAGAGTAAAGGAAAAACAAATGATACAACTGTTTTTATTGCACTTTTATTTTACACCCTAAAATAAAAAAACACTTTGTGATCATTCTGTAAGCCATAGTATCTTATAAGATATCGAGATTTTGTGGAGTCTTAGCTTTATTGATAATAACTATTGCCCGCGATTTCACTCGTCTAAAATAAAACGTATTTCTAAATTATTATTTTTTAAATTCTGCAATTTAATATTGAATAAATTTAGGATTAGCAATTACCTATTTACTCATTACTTGGGCAAAAAAAAATAGTCTTGAGAGTTTGGGAAATTGTCTTTGATCTTTAATTTACTTGAATAAAAGTTAAAGAATTATTGTCGTTCGCCTCCATTGCTAATCTGAAATTCTAACTACGAAAGATTGTGCTGAGGAACAAAAAGAAGGTTAAAGAATTCGCTTGTCGTTACATGATTTTAAGGACTTATAAAAACTTTATTTAAAAATCACATATAGACACTTCATCGTTATAAACTCGTTTCATAATGTTTATTCTAGAACCATCTACTAGTACTTGTATGGACTAGATCTAAGAAGCGTAAGGAATTGCCGTTTTGTAAAGTTTAATTTTACTACATTAGATAATACATTAGTGAAAAAAGGACATTGAAGTAAAATTAATCAAAGTTAATATTAAGATAGTTCTGAAATCGATATATTTTTTAAGTCTTCTAAGTAGAGTGGATATTTCTTTCTTTATATTCATTGAGATTTCTCGTCGTTTTTTTAAGTTTAAAATATTTAACATATCGTGCTATAAATTCGATTTTTATTTTAAATTATCATTTGGCCATTTGAAATATTGCTCATTGCTTCTTGTTTGTTATTAAAAGTGCGGTTGTAAACATTTTTATGGTTTTCCACATTTCTTTCGGTCTCTTCTCGATTGTACAATTTGAATGTTTAGGGCTTCATTTATTCCAGGACTACATTATTTGGTACATTATGGAGAATTTGGCTAGTTAAATTGTAATTCATGACTATTGGTTTAAGATTCAAAGTTGTTTACATATATTTCGAAATTTACACATAGTTTATAAGACATATAGACCTCAAATTGTTCTCATTAATATCTAAACCAATTTTATTATAGGGAAGTGTCTGTGTGCTGAGAAATCGAATTCGGGCGGAGTAGAGGAATTCTTCTTGTGACCTCCCGCTAGCAATTTTAATACAACGAAATTTGTTTTTGCGACTTTGAGAAGGTTGTTCACCTGAAAAAAAAATTACAATTTATTTAACAAAAAACAGGAATTGGAATGATTTGAAAAACACATTAGTATTTGGATTTTCGTTCTTCATTAAAATATATACAGATATTTAAACATGAAAGATATCAACTAAACGCAATCATTAAGTACTCTAAAAGTAAATACTAAATTCCCTTTCGATTCGCTAGATGCTTTAAAATTTTGAAAAATCTAGAAGTTATTTTAAACAAGCTATATGCACTAAAAACTGAAATCTGAATATAAATATAATATACCTCCTGGTCTGGTATGGTTATAGTCTCTAACAAAGTTCGCGCCTCTTGGAAATGTTTACAGCCCTCTAAATACAAGAAAACCGGTTTTTCGAATCTGGAACAAAAAGAGACAAAAATTTAAGTACAATAAAAATCTAAAACAATAATGACATCTACAACAATAACTAAAGTGAACTTTTTTTAAATAAATCTCGGTTATCAACGGCTCTTTTTTTTTTCTTCTCTCCACGGAGTTTAAAGTCGTGAGGTGATATGTGACAGCAATACTCAAAACACAACACCGAGGTTTTTTAAATAAAAAAAGAGTTTAGTATTTTTGTATTAGTTTTCTTGCAGTGAATCTAAAGTTTTGTTTCAATGACATAGCCAAGATACGGTTGGAGTACAATCCTCACCGAAAAACTTTTATAGTGCAGAGACTACAGTCGTATACTTCCAAGATTTTGCGACTTTTAAAGATAGATGGTACAATTGTATCGGAAAAGGAGTTAATTTGGGTGCATATATTTTAAAATCACGGGTGAAATAACTGCCTACCCTTGTTTTGCTCCCATAAAAACTATGGTCTTTTGTCACACAGAAAACGCCGTCAACGAAGTTAGGTGGTTTGTAATTGACATGGTGCAAACATAAATTCTAGACAAAAATAAGAACAGCCAAGAAAAAGAAGTTTTTAGTGACCAGAGAACAACATATACTACTAAGTTTATGCTGAGTTTCACGCCTTAGTGGTCAAAACATATCCGAAATTAGACTCTTTAATCCCATTTCGTAGGACTTGAAGGTTGAAAACCTGTCTTAAGGGCCAGCTATGCTCTATGACTATTGACTAATCACCCGACATAATATAAATGTTGATTTATCATACTCAGTTGAATTCTTAAGAGAAAAATTTTAGAATAATGCATACAATTTAATCATGCAATATGCTTGAATGCAACAAATGATTAGGAGTATGACTCTGTTAGCGGCAAATTATTATTGTCGCGTTTAAAAAATGTCGTCCAAATAGCTTTTTTATCATTATTGTATCGCAAAAATTAAGATAATTAAGAGCAAACTCATTCCATTAAACATCCAAAATGCAAATCAGCTACCACGAAGTAAACAAATAAGAAAAACTATATACCATTTAAAATCCTATTTAAGTTGTTTAGTAATAAAATTACAGAACAATGATTAAATGACTACATACTGTAAGTTTTGCGTCATCTCACAGAACTCGTGGTAGTGTACTTGTGGTGGGGACAGTACAGACAGTGGGGCGAAACGGTGTTTGTAGCGAACAGACTCGTTGTCGAACTCAGACTGAGGTTGACGTATTTTTCCTTGCAACTTGAATGCAACCAACGCCTGGAAAAATATAAAGAAGTACATAAAAATATTGTTTATTAAAAAAAATTAAATACTGTATCTTTCTAATAAAAATTCAAATAACCAAACATCGTTATAGGATTTCACAGCATCAAATACAGTTATTTTGCAATTTTGACACTATCATAACCGCACTTTTAGTGAATTCGTATATAATGAATTCGTGTGTACTAATGTAAAACTCAATTTCCAGACATAAACACAATACTATCGTCTTATATATAAAAGCATTATTAATAATTTCATAATGAAATCATGTGCAATATAATTCCCAGAAACAGTAATATTCTGTATGAAAGATTTAAAATTTATGGACCTTTGTTGAATCTTTTATATCTATTTTATACATTATAATTTCTCAAATCATCCTATAATAGTTTTAATTTTAGTAATTCTAATGAGATTATAAACAAACAAAAAATTATCTACACTGCAGAACTATCCAGTTACTTATAGAATGTAGCGTTTTAATTGCTATGATATTAAACATATGTAGTTCATACCTTATAATAACCTCCACACATGTTCTGCATCACCTGACACATGAGCCTCTCCCGTGCGTAAGGTCTGACTTTCTTCTTCTGTTTCCTGTTCGTCGCCTTCTTATCTCTCCTCACATCCCCCGCCAAGGTCTCAGCTTGTCCGAGCGCAGACAGGAGCCAGCGGTAGAGAAAATCATAGAGATACCTGAAAAACGTTTACACATGTATTAACTACGTTCCAAATTCTAAAAGTCAACCAAAGACCAATGCAGTCAATAATGTGCCCTAGCTAGACAACATAGGCATATTAATATGTATTCTTAGTGTCACGATCTGGATGAACAATTAAAATGTATGAATTCATCCTACATAGATATTACCGTAACAGATTGTATTGTAGAGAATGAGACCTTTATTAAACTACATAATATTTACACTTGACAGAATTATTTCTTATTTATATATCATATATGGCTACAGAGGCGTGCACAGAAATTGCGGGCACGGAAAGCAGAAGAAATGTTGGAAAAAAAATCCATCAGACACTTTAAATGTCTGTAAACATTTGTATTTCGTAATGTATGATTAAAAATATGTAAGTAAGAATTAAACAATATAGGTTTAGTTGTTATATGGGTAGGGTATGCAGTGCTTATTTGCGTCAATAGTGTGCACGCCACTATATGGCCACATTTATAACAATATATCGTATACATATGTATATCGTATACTGACCAAAATATATAATGGTATTCATGCACGCTGTATAGTTCTAGTTCCAAACCAGACAGCAAGTATGCGATCATGACTCTCACTACATGGTACAAGATCCAGGTGCTGAAACAACGCGGCACCAGCTCGGCTGCTGTACCTATTAATGCATCTACGTTATCCGCCTGGAAAAATATATTATTTACTTTGTATAGAAAACACTTTATATTCAATACATATTGATAATATTGGATCTATTTAAAATATTGAAATGTAAGCTATTTAGTATTTGGTAGAGGATGTCCAAGTATTAAGCATTAAGTATGTATAAGATTTTTTTTACAATTTTCATCAATCGATAGGTCTATTTATTGCGGCTTAACTCTTTTACTTCTAGAGACATTTAGTGAGGTGTAGCTAATCTTTATATATATATATATATATATATATATATATATATATAATTCTTCTGTGAGTGTGTATGTCACTGAACTTCTCTCAAACGACTGGACCGATTTTGATGAAACTTTTTGTGTGTGTTCAAGGGGATCTAGGAATGGTTTAAATTCACTATTTTGTCATCTGGACTATGTTTTTTTATTTATTTTTAATTTATTAGTAGTTGTTGATACAAACGTTTCTTTTGACATTAGATTTGACAACTAACTAATATGTCAATCATTCTGTCGCACTTCAAACACGGAGATTTATGGCTTTAATAGATAAACTCCAAAAACATAAATAAGAAAACGTAACAGATATTTCTTGATTATAGGGCGATACGAAGTTCGCCGGGTCTTCTAGTTCCTATATATACTTTTACAAATACAATAACTGCAATAGTTAAATTTACCTCTTCCTGTAATGCAGCAAATTCATCTAATAGCAACGCAAGTTTGTCCCTCTGCCTAGCTCGGTTGTGGCCACAGACTTGTACAAGGACAGTGAACGGACGAACACAACGACTTAGAAAATTCTCTACTAACTCTCGAGCCTGAAATATATATAAATAAGATATGACATCTTCTTCTACCTGGCAATTTCCCAGCTATAGCCAGGGTCTGCCTTACATGTTGTGAATAGTTTTGGCTATTTGTTTTAACGACCGGTCCGCCTGCCTGACATCAACCCTCTTTGGGAATCAACATTAATCAACATCAATCTAAATACTCTTAGAAAGTACATATGACTCAGAAAAATCACATTGATACTTGCCCGGACCAGGATCGAACCGACGCCCTCATACATGAGAGGCGGGCCTTTTAACCACTAGACCACCACTAATTTAAATAAGATATGAATATATGAACAAAAAATACTAAACCTTTAATTTTTAATATTTTTTTGGCTCACGAAATACTCACAGGAGGATTAACACCAGAAGCAGTCTTCCCACTTAATGCGGGTGGGTTCACAAAGGTTTTGACTGATTCTCTTAGTATTTCAACAAAGGCGTGGGGTCGTTGACCTGGTGGTACATTAGAACCCAATGATATTGATGTGGACGCTGGTGATGGGCTCAAGTACAGCAACTGTAGCGCTGACCTTGATAATATACAGGCCCGCTGTCGACTAAACTCCATGAAAAAGTCCTACAAAAATTACATTTCTTCATATAAAACAACCTATGTATTTAACAAATCAACTATTACATAGCCAATATTTTATACAAAAACTTTTAATTTTAAGCTATTATTTAAAAAGAATACAATATTTTGAGACGTTTTTTTTTAGCTTTCTGTCATAGTATACTTTAATATTTCATTACTAAATTACACAATATACTAAGTAGATTTAAATGAAATTTTGGTTTTAGATAAACATAGCCATAGTGCTAGAACTTTGGTCTCCTCAGTCTAGTATATGGAAGAAATAATAATTAATCAGTATTCAAATAAATTAAACAAGTCGCACAAAACAGATGATTTGAGACATACCAAGGCAGTATGAAAATTAGTACATGATGTGATCTTCCAGGCATGTCTTAACCTAGTTACTAGTTCCTCAAAGTATTGCAATGCTTCAGCACGAGGCTTGATTCTAGTGTACCGTGGGAACGTTGGCGGTAATAAACGTTGGTTCACCATAGGTTCGAATCCCATTGGGTTTGGAGTGTCTGCTGTAATTATTAACATAACATGGATAGATATAAAATCATTTAATGTGATTGCAATTTTTTTATTAATGTAAACTGGCAATAACATTTATGTATAACTGAAACGAAAAAATATTTCAGAAACATATTTGTTATTCATTATTATGTAAATTTAATTTGAATAATATGGAAATATAATTAAATATTTTTTGCAAAAAAAATGATAATAGGAAAATCTTTGGTAAAATTGATATTATCACTATAATAGTACTATCAAAATGTTTATTGCTTACAATTTTCGGCAGGTTGGGTGCCCTTGCCGACAGTTTTAATTATGACTTTGATCATTTCTGAGCAGCCATTGAGTAGTGTAACACAATCAGCACCGGATTGTGAATCTTTCTTGGTTATTTTCAATAAAGCTTGATAGAACATTCTGGTGAATCTAATTCTAGCCGCCAGAGCTGCCCAGAGGTCATTTGCCTACAACACATTACAATTGAAATGCATATACATAGCAAATAAGATAAATGTTTCAGTAAAAGAACTTAATACATGAATTATTCATAATATCATTTTGAAATATAATTTGACAAAATACTTAACAGATTATTTTACCTCATCATCATTACTTCTAGCCTTCTTATTCAACTCTTCTTCTTGTTCCTTTAGCATTGCTGTACATTTCTGTTCACTCACTTCAAGACTAACATCATAAGCATTACCCATTGTTGGATTAGAACCTAACCGGTAACCATAACCCATTGGTAGAAAATCTTCCTCTTCAAATACTTGAGCTCTAGAGTAAAACAATATAACAAGAGTTAGACAGTAACATATTATTGATATAAACAAATAATCCATTTCTTACAACATTGAACAAGAGTTAATTATAGTCTGTACTTTATTCTGATATCTGAACTACATTGTTTCCCAAGATTCATCAAAATCTGCCCAGTATATTTTATGTACAGGTGCAACAAACATCCATACAATCTAATATATTTTCAGAGATCTAATATAGCAGGTTTTATGACTATGATTAAATTCTTATAAGAAATCAGGCAGAATAAACAATGTAAGCTAATAGTAAAGAATGAACACTTACTTATTAATGCAATCTTTGATGCAATCCAGTAATTTATACACAGCAATGCAATAGGCCTTTAAAGTTTTATTTATTATAGAGTGTGGCTGATGTAAATAGAGGTTTGTGAAAACAGTCTGAGCTAGTGAATGTCCCTCCAACCAAGAAACTATACAAGCCATTGTAGCATCAATGATCCCTATGATCTCGGATGGCTCAAGATTATCAATTTTTAATTTACCACACTGAAAATATAATAAGTATTATTTAATACTGAGTCACACAAATAAATCCAGTATATTTTATATTAATATAAAACTAATATATTTCAGATTTACTTTGTGTTTATAACAATTTAAAACAAAATACTCGCAACATTTCAATTACTTTTCAGCAACCGCGATCACAGGACATGTACTTAAAAATAATTATAAATGTATAGTCAATCCGAAACATATTAGTTTTATTTCAATGAATAATAAAGAAAACCTTAGATCTCGTTACTATATGTTAGATATCAGTTTGATTTAATTTGCTATGGTCCCAACATTAAGGTTTTGGGGTGTATGAAAGAGTAAATAGTCAAAACTAATTCATCATAAAATTTTAATTTATTTACCGCCACAGCCTGTTGGAAGTTGATAGGTTTAGGGTTGCCTCTATTACACAACATCCCAGTATCCATTTTAGGATCCATCATCTCAATAGCCGACATAGCTTCAAAGAGTCCAAAAAGGTGGCCATCATGAAGCAGCTCACCTAGTTGCAAATCTGGAAATAATAGATATGATAATGTTATTTGCAGGAAATATAATTAGAGTTAAGATTGGAATTAATTTTTTATAATACCTAACAAAATGATCTAATGAATAAAATGATCTCCAATACTATATGGAATAAATTATTGCATAGCCAAATAAAAGATACATTTGTAGAATATTATCATAATATTTATGTTAACAGAAAAATTTTACTGATAATTAAGAATTAAAATAGTAAGTAATATTGGATACACTTATCACTTTTAAAAGGAAATAATATTTTTTCATCAACTTCATAGAATCTATACATAAAACAAATATTGAATTGAAAAGTTTAATAAACTAGTTTAAGTCATGTACAATAAATATTAAGCAGAGAAGTTTCATAAGGTACTAGAAGACCTGGCGAACTTCGTATCGCCCTATAATTAAGAAATATCTATTACGTTTGTTTATTAATATTTTTGGAGTTTATCAGTGAGCCATAAATCTCCGTGTTTTGAAGTGCGACAGAATGATTGACATATTAGTTAGTTGTCAAGACTAATGTCAAAAAAAAAACGTTTGTATGGGAAATAGAAAGGGGCTGCTTTTATAGTTTTCCCAGTAATGAATCAATTTTTTTCAGCTTTTATACCTTCCCTGAATCTCCAAGAACATTTTAAGACTAAGATAAGATAAATCCGTTCAGCTGTTCTTGAGTTTTAGCGAGACTAAGGAACAGCAATCCATTTTTATATATATAGAAGAAGAAGATTAGACATTTATGTTTTCTTATTACCTTGAATATATTTAAAGAAATCAGATGTTATATCAACCCAATTATAAATAACTTCCGGAGCTGCTGGCATGGAGTCCATTGTCCTGTAAATTTATTCATTTAAAACATAATCAATCAATAAATAAAATAATTTGTTATAATAATAACAAATTATTTTATTTATTGATTAAACATAGAATTTACATATTACATACACAAAATATGAAGGTGCAGGCAACATGCAGTACCAACAATAAATAATAGTAATTATAAGTCGATAACCATACTATTAATAACATATTTATTTCTTAATAAAAATGTAAGTCTAACAACAAATACTTACACTGTTTAATCCACACTTGATGACTATAAAAATATGTACTTTATTTAATGAAGACAGCTATCACTTCACGATTAATCCTTTACCTATACTTCATTTTATTTAAGCAAATAAAATATTTTAAATGAAGTAAAAGAAAATTCATGTGAAAGAAATATATCAAAGAAACTGTATAAACGATAAAGAACAAACCGGGTGTTAGTGAAAAGGAAAGTTAAAGAAAGGGATGATAGTGTGTTATGATAAGAAAACCCATAGGTACACAAAATTATTCAAATAATGATACCAATTGAAATAAAGAATAAAAATATCGTCACATGCACGACTTTACTAACCCTTCACCATCATAATAATCATCAACGTCACCCATTTCATACAAAATAAAAAAAAATATCAACAAAATATATTACCATTTAGTTTTGGAATTATCTTAAAATAATTATTACAACCCCAATCAATACTATAAAATTAATAGCGCTTTTGACTTTGACAGTTAATGTTACCAAAGTGTCATTGATGACATAGTCAATGAATATCACCCACAGCTTATATATATTTACTTATAAAACCAAGAAAGAAGACATTTAATGGAATCTACAAAAACTATGTTCTTCTAAATCTCAAGTTGCGAGTTCTGGTATTTTCAAATGTCAATATTGCTTTGGTATTACCAAACTAATTTAAAAATATATTTTATTTTATGAATAATATGATTTATAATACTTTATTCCTTCCCAAAATCTAAACCTCAAGTTACCTAACTAAAATAAATAGAACATGTGATAATTAATTAAAACAAAGTGGGATCTAGCTAACAAGTTCTAATATTCTCCTTTGTGGTCAATATTAATAACATTCAGATGTAAATTTAATTATAAATTTTAGATCCTGTTTTTATAAAGTATATTTTACAACAAATTAGGTATTTTTACTTTTAAACGGGCAATTGTACATGTTATGTTCAGTTTATTATTTCAGTAATTCGCATTATCCGAAGATACAGTCCCACCTACCTATTATATGGCTAGTGAATAATTATCTCAGTTTTGTTTATTTCTGTTGCAGCTATTTCGTATCTTCAACTACCGGAAATCTTTTAAATTAGTCCAGCTTGTTTGAATGTTACCACCGGTAAATAAGTTTTTTTTACTATTTTTTGAAATCTTCTCTATTTTAGATTATTTGTAAATCCTTTGTTATACATATTACTTATGGTACTATTAACAACTTACTTCACAATTACGCTAAAACTTTGATCAAGGTTTTTGCTGCAAATCACATTCTTAATAAGTTTATTAAATATGTTTTGATTTACAAACACCTTTAAAGACTGCAAGTAAAATCGCATTTTTCATAAGTGCTTTTACCTACTTCTATTAAAATAAAATGCTGTTTTTAACCACAGCGTAATTTTATGACCTATACTGTATACAGCATCTTACTTACTTACTTAATAAAAATCATCTTACTTACTTACTAAAAAATAAAATGACAATTATATTTTTTAAAATATAGATATATTTCTTTATATTTTCATGACACTACTCTAGATCTACTACTTTACTAATCTATTTTTAAAGTAAAAAGAAAATAATGAAAATATCCTATTAAAGAAAACATCAGCAATTAATAATATCTGAATTTAATCAAAAGCGTTAGACCGTTTTGTAAATAGTGGCAATACTGATAAATAAAACAGGTAAAAAAGCGCCTCTGAAGCAGTTGTCTCTTCCGTAAAAGGTCGCATTTCGCTGCATATTTCCATAGACCCTGTTGAAATTTTATAGTGTATATTAATATTATAAATCAGAAAATAAAGCAGTCTGATAGTAAGGCTTTTGTGACCAAAACCATTGTAATAAGTTTGCCTATTTAAAATAATTTTTCAAACATTAAACAACATCTTCGCGGATGAATCCGAGATCAGAATAACCCACTTAGATAGTTAATTAAATAAATTTTGTGGGCTGTGGCCATTTCGTCTCCATCTCCCCACAAGATATGAACATTTTACACCTTGAGATCTATTAAATTATCGTAACGGATTTCACTTTTGAATATATTGTTACTATTATTTCATACAAAGAGTAGTAAATCATGTTACACATACATTATTGTATATTGGAACTTACATGCTTTGATGAAAAGCTGGTCAAATAAGGTTCGATCCAGAATCAAAAACAATGTAAAACAACCAGTTGCTTAATTTAATTTGTTGCTTCAACCCCTCTCTTAAATTTTGGCACACTGGAAAAATAATATTGATATTAAATTTTAATTTAAAATGAAAATAAATTTAGTATTATATTATAAGTAACCTGTTTAAGAAATACATATATGTATATCCTGAAATTTCGTCCAGGTGATTTAATAACCGCTATAAGAATTTTGAAATAAATAATGAAATGTAATGAAAAAATTTAAACCTAGGTTGAGCTTGAATTCAATAGCATATTTATTCCTCTCTTGAATTATTTACGATACTATATTTAAATAGTTCATACATTTCTGATTTCGTAGTCAGGATGTGACGTTTCCATTTATATATCTGTTTTGTTTAGGGTCGACACAAGGTTGAATCCATTACGTAGAAATAAATAACGATCTCTCTCCCCTTTTGCTATTATTAAATGTAATATTGAGCAGTTAATTTCTACAATAATTTATTTATTATATACACCGGAATAAAATATCGAATATATTATTCAGGCATGCAACTACAAAATAATTTAATTAATTTCAGTAAACTATAAAAAGCAAACACTCGCTTATCCCATCAACAAATATTTCTGAACGCCAAATCGTTTAAATAGACAAGCTGTCAAAAAGGCACTGCATTTTTTTTAGGTAGTGAAATGATAGACAAAATTCCAATAAACTTCCAGAGTCATGAGTCCTAAGAGGTCAACGATTTTATAAAAATTGCAGAAATATATCGAATATAAACGGATCAGATAGTCATAGATTCAAGTACCTACTGTAAGTTTCTCCGTTAATCTGTAGGTATAAGAAGTGACGGGTAATTTTTTGACTACAATTTCAAATGTTGCCCGCTTCTTACTTCAAAGAGCATTAATAATATCTTATCAGTCAAAATACTAATGATTATGAATGATTATGAAGCATTCACTAGAAATTTTTCCATAATAGGTACCACTGATCCAAATATCTAACAAAAACATATGACAATGAACTTAAATAACTCTCCGCCCATAACGTGACATATGATATGAATATCAATAAAATTTAATGTAGAATTACTATTAAGATTATATACTTACACATTTCGCTACACAGTCGTGTGATGCAATATTTTAAAACAAATATTTTGCCAAGCAGCTTTTAAATTTAAAAACTACGTCTTCAATTACACGAATTTAATATAAATCATACAAGCTCAAGCACCAATAACAAGAGATAAATTAAAATAATAGATTTTAGAAATGTATAATATGTTAAAAAAATATATTTATAAAAAAAAATTGGCAACTTAATTTTGAGCGAGAACTTATAACATTAATTAGAAACTGAAATATAGTTTAATAAATATAATTACAAAAGTGAGAGTCAAAATGTAATAGGTGCATATTTTTACAGCACGGTCACTATAATAAAATTTCTCATTTTCCTTTTTGTCGTCAGCCATCTTATATGCTCAAAATTTTAATTAACCAAATGTTATGTTATCAATGCTTATGAATAATTAGTATAACAATTTTATTATATTTAACGATATCAATAGCACAGTCCACAAGTAACCAATCGATACTTCATAATATGTGTTGCCATATTCGATAACATATTTTTACGTGGTAGTAATACCCGCTGTTTATACATAGCAATACGTAGAATACTACTTCATTCAGAGATTGTAATACCATTTTTTTACGAATTCCAAAATGATTATAATCAAATACTCAAAAATCATCTCATTAATTCAAGATTTGTGCCACGTAATACATATTTGTTATAAGAAAAATGTATTATATGAGCTATCTAATTAAGCAATTTTTCACTTTATGATTTCAGAATCCCTATTATTTGTAATTAGTTCTTTGAGGTACTGTTTTCTACGTGAAACGAATCAAGTCATACCACGTTGCACTTAATTTATATATGACATGACCTCAGCATTGCATTCAAATATGTCAAGCTTACAGCGAGAATACTTTATGCACTTATTTTATATATCCTTATAAGTTTGGCAACGTTGTTTAATGACTAACGATAAATTTATATTTTGTAAGTTGTAATTAGGTTATGTTAAGTAATTTCTGTATATTGTATAACTTTCAGTAGCGCCTGCTGGTCTATAAATAGCTATTGTTTGGTACCAATGTTATGAAATATTTCCGTAATGAAATTGCTTAAATGAACCTCTTTATTAGTCAAATGGTGGTTTAATGCAATGTTTTGCTTTTTTATGTAATAAAAGTTAGTGTATAGACCATAATTTAAATTATGGTATCGTAATAATTTTTTTAATATACTTTTATATTCAGATTATAGTAACTGAGCTTTTTTAATTCCTGAAATACAGGCTAGAACAACGCTGTTTACTCTTTTATCGTATATGATCTAGTAAATATAGTAATTGTGAAAGTTTTAGGCACCAAAGATTTTCAGGGGCCCGTATTTATACCGTAAACTATTTTGTTTGTTTTTTAATCTCCACTTTATTTTAATAATGGATTTTTTTTTATGCACAACCCGTGCTATTATCTTGAATTTTTCGAATTGAGTAGGTACTAGAAATAAAAATGAAATGTTTTGTTAATTATAAACATTTAATTTATTCTATTTTAAATATTATTATTGTATAAATTAACTATTGATACAAATAGTTAATGTATTTTTCTTAAATGCATTAAGTATTTTAAATGTATTTTATGCTATTTTGAAATATTTCTGTCGTTGTTGCAACAGGTTCAGTAACTGCGTCGTAAACATCACTGTCTAATTGCATTGGTTCTTCCGTTGTCGTTATAAAGTCGTTTGATATAATGTTTGTTCCTCCTGGTTTTGATAAACCCACTCCTCCTGAACCCATGTCCATACAATCAAAATGGAGTATCTATAAGAATACAAAATACATTTTTCTAAATATAAAACCCATACTACATTCTTAAAATATAATTTTTTACAAAAATCAATACTATAAAAGTTTTTTCTAAAAACATTTTGTTCAATTTAAGTTATGAGACAAAAACTCTCTGTATTCAATGGATTCGCCATGCGGGTGCTAGGTGTATGGCGTTACAGGGAGAGGAGCTTCAACAGTGCCTGGGACTTACGACCTAGGTGTAGATTTAAGGTTCCCCTATCTAACTGGCGTTAAACGAACAGTTTCACAGTCTAAGCTTCTCTGTCTAACTAAATTTGAAACCTCCTAGAGCTGTCTTCGAAGCACGTTCCAAGAATGAATTGATGTTAGTTATAATAAGTCAATACATAGCGAAACATACCACTACTGGAGCTTTGTCTATCCTTGTGTCCATATCCATACAGACGTGTAATTTTTGATCAACGAATGTAACATCAAACAGCCTAACACACATGTCTACCAACCCAGGTGGTAGGTAGGGCACTGGGACCGGAATACAGAATGGTGGTAGGTTCCTACCTATTAAACAAAATAAATAACTTATTAAAAACAAAAGGCCTGACCAAAACAAAGACCAAAACCTGTGATGTAATGAAAAATGAACTGATCCTTCAAAGCATATAATAGGGTGTTAGTAAAATATGTAATAAACTGGCATGATTCAACGTTTAGTGTTTTGAACGGAACACCTTAATATTAACCGTGCGACGCGGACGTGCGTGAATATTTAGCGTATCCAAATTAATATACAATATATGATATATATATGTATATACTTTAATATATTTTAATATTGAATTTTGCGTAATTTTTTTTCTATTTATTTATTTTATTTGTAATTAAACATAAATATTTGATATAAAAATAACTCACTGGAATAAGTATTTTTGAAGACACTTGCATTGTTCATGACCACTTCTAAATCCAGGGTAGAATTTTGTGGTTCGTATGTAAGTTTCGCACAGGCTGAAAAAAACGACGGATATAAAATTCACTTTCATAATTAAATCATTCAATTTTTTTATTACAAACTTTTTATGAAAACCATTCCTTAATAATGCACTTAAATAATATTAAATAGATAATATTAATCTTTAAATTAAAGATCACACCAATAAAAAAAATTGCAATTCAATATATTAAATATGTACATACAAAATGAAAATAATATGACTTGTAATCATAATAATTTTTCTTACTTCTTCTGTCAAATTTAAAAGCTTGAATCCGAATACCCGTGCAGCAAATACATTGTAAGACGTCACATTCACACGGACCGCCTCTAAAGGGTAGTCTTAGAAGCCAACCAGGCTTATACCAAGGTCTGGGCATCATATTTTTAATGGTCTGGAAAAGTTACTAAGTATTATTAACATAATATACATCAAGCACTTATTACATAAGGAGGAGAAAATAATGTATTATTTTTTTTTACTTCACTAATAATTTTATATGAATTCACCAATACCATATGTTCAATAAAATATTACCTCATTTGTTTCAATATTATAATAAACAGAGAAATCTGAAACGTCCATAGAATTATCCTCCTTAACAGTGTCAAAAAAAGATTTGTAGTTTTTGTAGGCGTGTCCTGTAATATTAAATTAGCAATAATGAATGTTTGTTATATGTAGTAATTAACATACTCAGATAACAATGGCCTACCTTCTGTCACACACATGACCACACACACAATAAAGAACAATAACGTATTCACTTTCATTTTCATTTTTCCTGTTATAATATTGACTTATTTTATTCTTGCTGGCTCAAGGGACACTACTGAAATGATTTCACGTTGCACAGTTACGTCAACACAAAAAGATTAAGGTTGAACGGTTTTATTTGTATGCATGATGCGCGCAGTAAGAGCGCAACTAGCTTCGAGGACTTTCTACGGAGAAATTCCTGCGCATACAAAGACACCACCACTAACGATCATTAAATATCCATTCTTGCTGCATCGGCCAAAACATTTTCACCTTTATTTAGAAAATGTTGTGTAGGGAGGTTTTACTGATATGTGGATTAAATCGTACTGTCTCAAGTGTATATTGTAGTATATAATTGTAACAAGAAATATAATTTATAAAAAGGGTACACCACCTCAGAAATTGTTATAAAATAAAAATGCCAGCCTAACGAATGTTTTTATTATTTTAGAAATAAATATTATTTACTAAAATTCTATATTACATTTAATATTCAATCGTCAAATATGTTTAAAAGAGATTTAACTACATTCTCATCATAATCTTCAATATCGTCTTCCCCTGCATCGACGACGGCATCAACTCCCCCTTGGGGATTAGGAATAACGATCCCACCATTATCTTCAGGACTTAGCATAGTTATCCCATCTGCGCCCATTCTGATAATATAGATTATTGAAATAATACATAGCATCTTAATTTGTATCCAATAATATACAAATCCTTTTTCTACACTTTAAAACTTACCGCAAACAATCGAAAACAAAATTGAATAACTGAAATGATCGCCATTTGCCAGTCATCGCTAAACAAAAGTGAAAATTTCTTCCAGGAAAGAAAACGTTATAAAATTTCGCGCATACTTTTAAATTAGATAATCTAGGTGGCTTTATACACATTGGCTTTGGGTTTTTACCTAAAATATTAAGGTTTTATTAAATTTAAAGTATGTAATATTGAATCAAAAATAAACTTTTTAAACGTATTTACCAGATATTGAGTTTTCATAAAGAATTCTATCGTTCATTGACATTGCAACATCGAAAGCAAAATCTCCAGGGTTATAGGTTATTTTCATACAAGCCTTTTGATTTATCAAATCCATTAAATATCCAGTACAACATTTACAGACCCCTTGAGCACAAACGCAACGTCGGGATGATGTTGTGTTTTGTTCTGAATTTTGTCGACTATAGTGTGCCATAGCAGAGATTTGTCTCAAATTCAACCCATCCAGTAATAATAAATTACTGTCTGGAACCTCAACTTTATTCAAATTATTGTATGTTGTATTGTCTGAGGTTCTTCCTTCCAATTCTTAAATGTAATATTATTATTATTAACGTTTGGCGCATGTAATTTAATGTTTAAGTATACAAAAAAATTGCTACGTTACCATTTCCTCTGGTATCATCCAACAATAGTGTCACTATAACACAAACCACACAAATTCTCATGTTGAAGCTTATTGGAACGCGAAGCTACACGAATGCCGGTCGCATGAATAACGCACTCGTCCCAATTCTGCTGAACAGATTATAACCGGTTCTATGGTGATAGCGAAAATAAATTGATATCTCAACTTTCACAAATTATAACGCTCTTGATCGGATAGGGTTACTTAATGATATTAATTTGTTATGTAAATAGTTCAAGGTTTGTACGGTTTCCTTCATTTAAAAAAAATATTATCACTTCAGGCGATAGTTTTAAAACAAAAAATCAGTAGGTATAAAATAATTTATTAAATAAATACTGTGATAATTTACAAATAAATACTTAATTAACTAAAATAAATAAATTCTTTGTTTTTAAGCACCGAAAAATTCTCCCACAGCGTCACCAATAGCGTCTAGTGGGCCATCTCCTCCAAAGATTCCCCCTGGTCGTCCAAACAAACCTCCTTGTGGTAATAAACCATTACCGTTATTTCCTATTAATTCTCCAGCTGCGTCCAATAATGTACCATCATTATTATTTCCACTTCCGAACAAGTTCACTGGTTTCGGACCTGAAGATACTGGTTTTGGTTTAAGTCCCGTCTGCAAACCCGATGATCCTAATCTGAAGTCAAACATAATTATTTATAATGTATAATAGTCTTTGTTCATTAGTTCTAAATTCAATAACTAACCCAAAACATCTAAACGACGCTGAATAAACTGGAAAATTGGCTATATCTGCAACTATATCTAAACAGGCGAATGCATTTCCATTACGTATCCGAATATTGCTAATCTCTGCACATACTCTTACGAATGGGGCTCTTCTGGGATTGAAACATATTGGGGGTGGATCACTTGCTGTAGATAGATAAAATAATTAATTAATAAAAATAATAATTCATTAAAAATATTACTAATTTTAATATGCCAATATGACACTATTTACCTGAAACCCTGCGACGAACAACAGTATTATTATTAACAGTAAGTCTAACATCAAACACAAAATCTTCAGGAACAAATCTAATATTCCCACAAGCTTTCATCCTAAATCGATCCATGATAGCACCAGTACAACAGCCACATTGGCCATCTGTGCATGTACATGGGAATCTAGTAACCTGGCCCTGTACTGGTACTTGATCATTTGGAGCTTGAACATCTGGTATTTGGTCTTGTAGCACTGGGGCTTGAGTAACTATGGATGCTACCGTTACAACGGGGTCCTCTTGTATTGGTACCTCAGTGATGGGCGTATCACTCACTTCACTCACTGTATCTTGAACCAATTCATCCTCAATTTCTTCAACTTCGTTTTCTTCTTCTGGTTCCACATTTATTGGTAAAACAATTGTAACTGGTGACTTTAGAACAGGTGTTGGATCAAAAGCTTTTTTCCAAACTGTTCCGGGCACTTGAAAGTTAATTATTTTGTAAGAGCGATCTTGTTTTGAAATAAATTCACCTGTAGAAAAGAAAAAAATATTAAGTTTTATTAATAGTTAATATTAAGTATTTGTCACAGCATTCTATTGATATAATATTATAGAAATAAAACTATACTAACCATATTTGCATGTACAACAAGGAAAGTAACAAATACAAATTACCATGAACAGTTTAATGAAAGACATGGTTAAAGCAAAACACTCCTATTATTTCAAGAGTTCCGCTTGACTTTCCAGTTGTAATTGGTGCTGGAGCAAGGCATTTCTATCTATTTAACTGCTGCCGAAGAATGAAGTGTTAAACTTGAGTTTTGTTACACGGTCATTGAACACACAAACAAGTTTTAAATTTTAATGTTCGTTGAGGAGAAAGTGGTCACTTTAAATGGCAGAATTAATTCCTACTTTCGGAAATAGGGACGCAAACAGAATGTAAGTAGTTATTTAAAACATTTCTAACTATTATAATTAATTACAAGGACATTGTATTAAATGAGTATTAGAATTTCCAATAAATTAATTTTTATATTTTAAAAATTACAGACTTCTCACTAGAGTTTATAATGATCATGTTTTTAGTAGGTAGGTCCTTTAATACTGGAACATGATGATAATGATTTTATTATTAAACCCACTTTTTATGAGTATGTAATCTTAATTAACAATTTTACAGTTTTATTTTTTATTTCAATAATTATATTACCGTAATTTATAATTTCATATGACATGTTTTGGTAGGTAAAAATATCCAAAAATTATCTTAACATTGTATAATTTTAAAAAGTTTTTTGTTTATTAATATAAATATACTAAAATTTTGACTCGGCTCCATTTATACCGTTAATTTGTTTTTGTAGTATTATAACTGCTATTAAGGGGTTTTTATGGTAAATAAAATAAAGCCTTAATTTAAATTTTTTACTTTCTTGAAAAAATAAATAATCTTAAATACGACCACTATTTACAACGATATAAATTAAATTGTATCAGATATACAAAAATAAAGCCAAAAAATCTACAACCTCATTAATTTAAGACCACAACCCACGCATCATTTTGTTTTGTCTTCTTCTATCTTTCCTACTTAGATCTTCGATATCGGGGAGGCCAAGAGAATCGCCTAGGTTTTCTAAATATAATAAGTCATCATAATCACTAAAACCTCTGGTACCATGAGGCTTAACAACTTTGTTTTTATTTTGCCTCTTATGTCTACCGAAAATTCCCAATTGATGGCCTACGCTTTCTCCAATACTAGTTAAATCCAGAACGTCTAAGTCATTCAAATTAAATTGACCTCTGTTTTTCTTTTTTGGTAAAGTGAGTCCTTCATAATGGTGCAAATCGACATTCTTATGATTTCTAGTTTCATCTGCTACATTTCCACTATCAGCAGCATGTTCTTCGGAATGAGAGTCCAAGCTTTGTACGATCTGTACCATTTCTTCATTATCATCGTCAACTACAGTAGTTGCAAGAGGTATCAATGAATGAGGTTTGGAAGTTATCGTTTCAATCTTTTCATAGTTTATTTCCTCTGGCTTTTGGACTTTGGTTGATTCATCCATTTTCGTTGGTATCAATTGTGTTACTGGCATCTGTGATAGTTGACCAGTTATATGGGCTAAAGACATTTCTAGTCCAGAGTCTTCAAAAGTTGTTGGTGGTTTGAATGTTGTTGCTTCAGTTATTGGTTTCACTCGATGAGACTGGTAAGACTCCATGTTTTCTGCACTTTCTTTGTTGGAGGAAATAGCTTCTGTACTTAAGGAAACTATTGGTGCTACAGTGGTTGATATTGTGGAAATGGTTGAGATGTCTTCGGTGACAACAGAGGATGCAACTGTTGGTTTTGTAGTTGTTCTTCTCTGTGGTCTACGGGTGGGTCTCCGAGTAATAGGGCGTACTTTCACTGTTGTTGTTCTAGTAGCAAATGGTCGTTGAGTAGTGACCCTCGTCGCAGGCCTTCTTACGGGTCTACGAGATGGTCGTGGTCGTCGAGTCGTTGATGAAGATGGTAATGGTGCTTGTTTATTTTTATTTTTATTTGTTTTTTTCCCTCCACTTGAACCAAACAAGCCTCCCAATAAATCTTCTCCTAAAAGGCTGAAGCCGGTATAGTCAGCACCATCTACATCATTTACAGCATCGAGATCACCTATAACAAAATTATTATATACTTTTATTTAAAATCAAACCATGGTAAACAAATGAAAATATTGTTCGTTTGGAAAATGCATAAAATAAAAAACATTTTCATGAGGCCAAATTATTTAAATTACAAAAATATTATTTAGAATTAACCAGTTAAAAAAATACCCTTTAGTTTAAAGTCAAAACATTTAAATATATACCGTCATCATCATCATCATCGTCTTCATCCTCGTCATCATCGTCGTCGTCGTCAGCGTCGATGGCGAATGCATCATCATCGTCGTCATCATCATCATCGTCATCATCATCCTCAGAAACTTTTTCATCCTGAGGCACTAGGGGTAGAGCATCTGCTGGCTCACTGGTGACACCCCTTGGACCAAATTTAAAGCACGATACTCTTACAGCTGCTTCAACAGTACTTTTGGCTTGTAATTCCAAGCCAAGACAGGCTCTAAACTCTTCTCCGGTTCTCGCAATGTTATAGACTCGTCCGCAGAATTTTGAAATACCTCCAGGAAGAGGCATGCAAACAGGACTGGGTTTGCGACCTATTATAATTTCAATTTTAAACATAATGTCTAATTTAAATAACAATATAATTATTTTTATTTATGTATATATATACCATACCTGACAGCGTCCGATTAGTAATAACTTTCTTTCCAAAGCTCAGAGAAACTGACATTTTATCTCCATTTAGATACATAAGTGAAGCACATCCTAGAAAGAAACACAAATTATAATTTTCTTTTATTTTTTAATTGCTTTTTTATATTTGGTTTTTGTTTTTACCTGGGCCGTTCAGATTTACTAGAGGGACAGCAAAATCTCGGCAACAATTGCAATACGCTTCCGAACATTTGCAATATTTATTTATGCTATTATCCTCTATTTTAATGCTATCATTTTGTTTTTGGATTCCTTTTTTATTGTGACGACGATCTGGAACAGAGTTTTTTCAACTTGTAAATAAAACTGAGTATATTAATTATAATAAAGGAAATCAACAGAAATATCAATAAACGCAGTCGCGATTCACGCTATTGGTAAGTTCATAAATAAAAACTGATCATTAATATTATATTTAAAATTCCGCTTTCACTCTTATACAGGAAAGATTACTCATTAAGAGAAACTTAATACATTTAAAATATGTTCTTATTATTACACTATTTAGGGAAAATCTAACTTGTTATAAGAATAATAATTAATATGACATACTTATGTTTTTGGAGGCAGCGAAAGCCAACAGGACGAATATCAGAAGAAGCTCGAACACTAAAGAGAGCTTCATTCTTACGCTGAAACCAGCAGTTACTGAAAAAATAAGATACAAGTATGTAGTTAAGTAATTAAGTTATTATTGTAAGTAAACTGAAGGTAAGTTGATTTTTTTAACTATTTTTGTCAAAAAATTATATCAAATAGGTGGTAAATTTAGATAACTAGATATTAACATAAAATTTCAATGACGAATGTAGAAATTTTCTTTTAACAATATCCGTAACATTTCTGGTTTATAAATTATAATTAATGGTACACAATATTTATAACTTACAAATTAATTTTATAACTCATATCATGTGTTTTCTCAAAAGTCTTAGATGTTTAAGTGTTAAAATTTTTATATGTAAATAAATTTCAATACATAGTTTTTTAATAAATTTTTTAAGTTTAATCTTTAGAATATATTGAAAATTAGACAAAATATTTATACAGAATCTCTTTGCGCGTTGAAGTCTAACGCTATGACTTTACTGTAAGTTTCTTATATAAAGGGTAGTTAAAAATATACTTATATGATTTGCATGATATTTTATTTACAAAATAACAAAGTAGTATAATTTAAATTCTTACCTCGTTAATTATTGAATCTGCCGCCACTTAATAACAATATATAAATATAGCAGATCGTATCGCTGTCACACCTCTAAGAGTGTTCACGGTCAATTAAATTATAATTATTAGAAATCACAAGCCAGCCCTAAAACGTACGACACCGATGTAACATCATCACTGATTTAATACAACTTCAACACAGAGAAATGAAGCGGTTTATGAAGCGAGAAAGGAAAACACCTTCTCATCTCTTTCACACCAATGCAATGTGTGAAGGATAGGTGAAAGTCGGGACGCACTTGGTCGGTTTAGTAGAATTCAGTGTCACGCACTCGACTACCAAAGAATTGCTACTAGTAAAATATATCGTAAAGACATATATGTAAAAACCTCATTCAATTCCACTATCTTTATTGAGTACTTCGATACATTTTTACATATTTCGAAGCTTTAGAAAATATACCGCAAACATTATATTCTAGAACTTACGATAAGGGGGCATTGATCTACGATATACTACAGTACCATTGGATTGGTCACTATGAAATAATAAAATCTATATAATACATACATTTTATTATTTATATTTAACCTTATTAATTATTATACTTTACCTTAAATATTTGCTTAATTCGACTAAGTTATTAAAAAAGGTTCTAATGGTAAATAGAATTACAAATAATAAAAATTCTAAACGATTTAAACGCAGCTTTTAGATTACAGTTTACCAACATTTTAAAAGACATGCAAAATGTTAATACGATGTCATTTATATAACAAGAGTTAAAAAAATATATATGGTATGTTACATGACCTAAGCAAAAGTATATTCATAATTTATAGAGATGGTTTATGGCCTTATTTTTTTTTACAGTTGCATTACAACGTTATAATCCCTAAATATAAATATTAAAATCCATGTCACTAAAACTGCATTAAAATAATAAAATAAATTGGTGCATACTCATATTATTTAATATATTATCAAACAATGACCATTCTAAAATGTCAGCTCTATATATACGCTGCCCATGCAGCTAGAGGGTCACTACTTTCTCCAGTAGAAAGTAGCCGTCTACCGCCTCGTTTGTTTTTTTATTTCACATCCCGTAACTTTTAAACATCTTACGTTAGTAAATACTAATATTATAACTTATTAGGACTTTCAAAAAGAAAGTATGAAGTCCCAAAATATCTTCAATTCAAGTAACTTTTAAATCATATAAAAAAATCAAGTCTTTGATTCTTTGAATATAATTTTTCTTTAAACATCAGAATTACGTATTGGTTTTATAACTGAAAAACTTAAATATGTAAAAATTAAATTATTCTTTATAATGCAATACATTTGAAATGTCATTGCCGCATTTCTATCAACAATTATGATTATGTATGATACTCTATACTTCCTTACATTTATGTTCAAGCATATATACGCGTGCGTGCATGCAAGAGCTAATACAGCTCAAATTAATTCCGGATGTCACGCTTTTTGCTTAAGACCTACTATGCTATCATAAAAATTCATATACAGGGTGACTGGTGAATTACTATCAATATTTAAGGAGCATACTCGGTACATGATTCTCATTCGAATTATGTAAAAAAAATAGGCCAATAATTTTTGCCAAAATTTCCGTATAAATAAGTAAAGTGTTGACACGTTCCAAGTGTTCAAGTGTGGACGCGTGCGGCGACGTGTTGATACAACACCACGTCACGACATGCGTATGTGTGAGTGTCAGTGTATACCTAATCTGTAGGGTGTTCACACGATGCGTAATTAATTACATAACTTTTGGTTAACTTTACTAAGAAGTTTATTAATATTTATGTTATATTAATTTTTATTTTGTCATATATGATCGTCGAATATCACGTCCTCAAATATCGATAGTAATTCACCAGTCACCCTGTATAATATATCTTATGAGACTTTAACGAGCTTTAAGTAATACATTATACAGATATAAATAATTATATAACAATCATAGAAAATAAATTAATAATTTAAAATTAAAGTCTAGACTGTGGAATAAATGACAAAATAGAGAATTTATGTTGAAAACTTATATTAAATTTGCTAAGTTGTTAAAGATATTACGTTACGCTTACTACTTTTACGCTCCCCCAATCAGTTATAAAATTACAGTGTCACAAGAAAATGTTTCATTTTTTATTTAAATTTATTAATTTTAATAAAAAATATTCTTATTTGTTCATATGGGGTCTGTAATTATTTTAATTTTAAGCTTGAATGAATTCTGTCACATCCTTCACTAACAAATTAAAATTCATTCATAATTACTGAGTTATTACTTGATTCACATAAAGTTATATAGTCCGTTCATTGACCTCAAACTGGGCCAGTGGGGCAATAAACTTATCCATATAAGAGTACATCCCATTAAATGAAGACAACTGCAATAGGGCACCTATCTTTTTCTAAGAGTCTTAAACAAGATATAAAAATTGAAACACAATAAAATGTATATTACTTTGTTCTAAGGGCATTTAAATTGGAAAGTTCCTTTCATTCCTTGGAAAGCGTGGATTGTACATATTACACAATTTGATTCATGCTACCCGTTTATGTATGATTGGTGAAAGCCGAAATTGGCTCAAGTGAACTTTCTAACGATTTTATGCATTTAAAATATTTTTCCTTCACAAAATTGCCAATGATTATAAATTCCCATTCAAGAAATAATTGTTTAAAGTATGCATAGATGTTTATGTTACGGTTATAGGTAAAATGTGATATTACCAAATTTTATTATTCACTAGGATATTATTTCAGTTACATATGTAATCATATATAACAATTGTTCAATAAGTATCGCATCAACAATAATTTGCTTTTTTAGAAAAATATTAAAGATAAAACTTAAGTAACATAGGCTGCATGAATATATTTGAATGATATCGTTCTTCTAGTCAATCTAGTTAATCAAGTTATTTATATATAAAACTAACTAGATTAACAAAGCTCACGCAGCCCCACGCACTATTATCCGAACCAGCCTCATACAACTTTCTTAGTGCAACAGTGCATATAATTATAATATATACGTTATGCTTTATTTAAAATTTCACCTTCTATTGTGAGCAACGAGAAAACGAGATATTCGAGAAAGGATCAGTTGATAGTTGGCGCTGACGAGACCAGCCGTTCCAATCTACGAACGATTTCATTTCCAGTGCACGTATATTGTGTCAAAATGTCAATTAAAGTGCTACTTACTCTATTTCTGGCGTTCCTAACTCTGGCCAACGGTGTAAGCATATTGGGTGAGTAGCCTGAATACATTTATAACGATGATTTACATATTTGTTCTACTATTATACATACATACAATTAGAAATTATTCATCTTCGAAATTAAAATCCTTCATTATTATAAAAAATTTTGAATGGTTCTAAAATGTTCTTAGTAATTATGTTTTAATTTTATGTTCCCTGACAATAACACAAATATAATTTTTCATATTTTAAACTTTTTTTGTTAAAATACTTTCATTTTTCTTGACCAAAGGTACATATAAACCAGACTATTTGTACTTAACGGTTATTCAACAAGACGTTACGTATTTTATATAATGTAATAGCTTTTAGATTAACCTTGAAGACTTCGAACAAACCAACTCTTCAGTGAAAGTACTACAATATAACGGATTAGTCTGTTCAAACATACTTTTCAAAGTAACTATTTGTAAAGTCTACTTAAAACTCAAACATCATAATTAACGATTTAAATATTAGTTTGTTAGTCTTAATATCTATTCTCCAACAATCATTTTAAGATTTGAGTTTAAATATACATATATACATACTCTATTAACAAAATTTTAGATATAAACGTAATTAACGACCAATGTCGAACCTCAAACTTAATACTCTTGGTCTTAAGGTTTCATTGAACTGGTAAATATACTTCGACTTGATACTTTTTATTTAATTTTAAATAGCATATAATTTTTATTCAGATTTCTTGGATTTGGTTGATGACAAGAAATTGATAAAGGTACCAGAATTGCGAAATGATCAGCCAAACAGAAACTGCATGTGTAAAGGTCCGGCTTGCGTGTGCTGTGTTGAATTTAACATGACTATCGTTGATCTTGGAGGTCCAGGTGAGTCTCATAAAAAAAATTAAAATAATTAACTATTTAAACAATTAAATAACAATTTAATTATTTTCTTTTCTTTTGTATATAATTCTTTAATTCTTTTTTAATTAATTTTTTAATTCTTTTTTATTTAATTCTATTCTTTTTATTTCAGGTTGTGTTCATATGAAGTATGTGTCCCCAGAGGAAGGATTTTCTGTAAACGTTTCTTATGGCAAGAGTCTTATACATAGTTCTAAATTGCAAGGTATGTTTTTGTACCATTTTTTTATAAGCTGATATGATTTTTAACTAAAGTATTTTAGGTATATTATAAATAGAGCCTTAATTTAGTTATGAAATTAAAGTATTTATTGATCGTGGATCTGTCTCAAATAAGACGCTCGATAAAACAGGGCAAATATTCAATCTTGAATTTTATACATTAGTGTTTTAATTCTTTTTTTTTTTTGTTTTGTATAATTTCAAAAATTAAAACAAAGTTTGAAAACAAAATTTAATATCTATTACGAGCAAAAAAATATAAATTACTCTATATTTATTCGGAAACGGGTTTTAATTTTTATTTCCGAAGAAAATATCGATAGAAGATAAACGAACAATTTTTGTTCAAAGCTTGTTTGTTAGTTTATAAAATATTAAATTATTGAAGGTAAAAAAAATATCGACTGCAATGTAACTTAAAGGAACGCTTTTAAATTTCCATAATCATAATCTTTTTATAGGCCCAAATCCAGCACCCATTTGTTTAGAAGTTTTCGGAAAGTTTGCACAGGTTTGCGCTAAATTTAATGACCTAGCGCCAACTTCTGATGGTCTCAGAGGTTGTATAGAATTAGAACCAAGACTGCTGGGAGAAGCTCAGTTAGACTTTCCTATTGGTTGCTTTAAATCGACTCCTGGTGGAATGGAAATGGAAGCTCCTCCAGAAGAGCCCGAAGAGTAAGTAAATCAAATCCACAATTTACCGTTCAACCCAAAAAACCTATATATTACAGATAAAATAATAAGTACTTTAGGCTAATATGTTAGTAAATAGCGCGTTACTAAAGGAGTTCTTTTACATATTCTACATTAATATTTAAAATACTCTAAAAAACAAAATGAAAATAACAACCGAAAGAAACTAGTAGGTTATTACAAAAATTAAAAAAAATATCTTTTGTAAATAATTAGAACCGATCCCAGCGAACCATATTTCTCGAAATGTAAATGTAATGCTAGTCATTAAAAAATATTTTGTTTACAGAACAACTGAAGAAACTGCAACAGAAGAAAACAGTGATTTTGACGCTGAATCATTTTTATCGAATGTATTTCATACAGCAGAGCAAGGAGTGGCTTTTTTAAGTAGCCTTTTCGATATTTCACCAAAAAGAAATGAAACGACCACGATCAAACCTACTACTAGCGCCGAGCAAGAGACAGAAACTTCCCAAAGGCGAGCTCCAAAGAATTTAAGGCATCCAAATCAATTGTGATAATTTTAATTCTAACTAAACTCATGTACAAAATCGTATTTCCTAGAATAGGGTAGCTTGCCAATGTCTTTGCTCTCTGCTGTAAAATCAGAGTAATTGTGTCTCCTATTTATTGCTTTAAAGTCCTAGTATTCTTTAACATATATATATTTTGATAAAATTTCTACAAAATAAAATATAAGACGTAGCAATTAATTTTATTAATTGTGAAATATATACTGAATAAAACAAAATAAAACCATTGAGTGTTATATGATTTATCGTAAATGAAACATGTTATGAATGAATTTTCTTCTTTAATAGCATTCAAAAATTTAGCCTTGAGAAAACGGAGGTTGAGCGTTTGTTTCCAAGAAGTATACACCGGAAGCCCTAAAAAAAGGAATTCATGTTAGTTCGAGCATTATCCACAGGTTTACAATTGAAAAACAATTAAAAAATGCATTTCTTACCCAGTTTTAGGAACCAGACCTCCCATTCTGAGTTGTCTCGGACCATAACACATCCTTAAAACTGCAGCATAATAGTTCATACACTCCCTTCCTGTAAAACCACCAGATGCAAAAGATTCTGCTAGATATTGAAAGCCTCTCTCATGATCACAGCCGTTAGAATCACAACCAGGCATTGAAATGCCACCGTTGGGATAAAAGTCTACTTGTGCTAAATCACCCAAGTATCCATAGACACCATAGTTTGTGTGTATGACTTCAGAATAAAGTGCATCGCTAGGACGGAAGCGATATATATTGTTCACCCAACCAATTAGCGCTGGATCAAGACCTGATAAAAAAGATCATTATTTACGCAATTAGTATATTCACCATGAAAAAAAAACTTTAATATAAATCCGTTATAAATTATCAGGAATTTATCGTATCAAAATTTTTAATCAACGCTTGATTAAACTTATCTTAATTCGTATATATTTTATGAATTACAAATACACATAATTATATCAAAGATTATATAAAGGTTCATTATAAATGTTTCTTTTTTTTAAGATAGAAGAATTTTTTAGGGTATTCAAATGTTGCCATTTTGATTCAGGTATTATTTGTGTTCATTATTTATTCAAAACTAACTTGCTCAGTTCTTGATAATAAATCGGTTACAATAATATTGTCTCGTACTTTTTTTTACATAATTCTTACCAGTGATATATGGAACTTGACCATTTAAATTTCTTCCAACAATACCAGCTTGGTGTCCACCAACGCCGTGACCAATGATATGATATTGAGCAAGTACCGAACCCGTATTTTGGTTCAACCAATTAATAAACTGAGCCACAGCTGAACCTGATGATATGGCATTTGCATTAACTTCCCTGTACTGCAAAGAATTGGCACCTGAACTCCAATCTACCACAATAACATTCACATCCTCAGCAGCCAAGAGAGCTATAATTAATAAAAAAATGACTGTTAAGAAAAACTAATTAAGAAAAAATAATAACACACATACAAAGATTTTACTTACCTCGTAGAAGCACAGAATTGAAATTTGATGTAGCAGAATTCATCCAACCATGTATAAGTACAATCGTTCTTCTGCTACTTCTATAATTTGACCGTGACAATAAGTTAACATTATTAGGCAATAATGGCTGGCTCACTCTTGGATTTTGTCTGAAATTAAGAAAAATTTGCAAACTTAAGCTACCATTGAAACAAAATATAAATATTATACTTCTTTAAACTAAAAGTAAGAGTATAAAAAAAGTTATACAAACATATAAAAGAAACAATTTTCATTAAAGCAATTTTGTGATTTTATGTATTTTTCCAATATATGTACCTTGTAAATAAATGATAAACATTAGATGTTAAAGGGTTATATCTCATGAAATTTTTTAAACCCCAGATTGGTGGGCGCACATCAACAAGATGAATGTCACCGTTTGAATCAGGAGCATACTGATAACGTAATTCATCAGCACTTCTCAATACAGGATCCAAGTGTAAGGCTGAAGAAATAAATTTAATTTTAAACATAACTACATATATAATTTGTGGCGTCATATCAGAATAATCAGTTTCTTTGAAAATAATTACGTATGAATAGACTTATGGGTGGATGTTTTGTTATTATTTAACGATTATCTGAATGGGTTTTAATGACACCTTACAATAATATTTCTAGTACTAGAAAATATTTAAGTTATAATTGACTTCTATCACGTGAAAATAATTTCATCCATATAAAAATTGGACAAAATATAAGATGATTAAAAAATATTTAATATACCAATTGGGTAATGATACAACAAACGGAATACGCAGATATTCAATTTGTATAATTAGGACAAAACATTTTAGCGTAACCTATTAAAAAATCGATTAGTTTTCTAACACACATTAGTCGCGAAGTATTATACTATCACGTTTTGAAAGGCTGGAAAATTTATACTACTGTAAAACATACCTGAAGAGATCCCTACACAGATAGACACAAATGAAATTAATTTTAACATAATAACTTTACATACGTTTATTATATTGAAAGAATAATTGAAATTTAAATTGCGATCAATATAACGGTGATGTAAAAGGTTATCATAATCCTATTTATCATCTAGAAGATTGATCGTATCACAAGTCTGATCTACGTAATTAAGAAACAGAATTGTTTTTATTAAATAAGTTTCGGTATGATTTGATATCATCAATATATTATGTAAGTATCTCCATTTTTTCGATATTATGTAGTCTTTTGAAAATAATAATTTATATTTTTTTAAACCACACCCAATGATCACTTTAACTGGCTTATTAAGTGAAAAATTAAAATAAATAATATTTAATTTTATTTTAGTATATGTTTCTGAAATTCACAATATTTAAATATATGCATCATCAGAAATTGAACGTAAGTAAACAATCAAATAAGGAATTATAAAAATCATCATTCTAGAGTGTAGATCATAAACAAAATGCTAAGACATATCTTTTAAATATAAGGAATTATAAAAATCATCATTTAGAGTATAGATCATAAACAAAATGCTAAGACATATCTTTTAAATATAGTGTAAAAGAATAATTATAATTATTAATTATTATCGTAATTATCTCGGTGGGAGGCCACTATATTGGCAGTACGCATGTCATCAGCTTATCAGAAGCCCACTGCTGAGCAAAGGCCTCTTTCTCACATGGAGAAGGTTTGTGCATTAATCACCACGCTTGCTCAAGACGGGTTGATATAAGTTATCAGAAACTATGTCGTCAACCCAATCGACAGATTCCAGTGTGTTGTCTGATGAAGAAGTGTTGAGAATGAGTCTAAATAGTTAGTTGCCTTGGAATTCCACCTACAGTTTGGGTGTCTTAAACCTAAACCAAATAGTCTACTCGTAACATTGGTATATTGCTTTTTCCGCCTCTTTATTCATTATGATTATAAAGTTACTAGTATGCTGTGACTATTAAGTTACTTAGAAACTTAGTTAAAGTTCTAAAGTAGTTAGTCTAATAATATTTACTTGCTGTAATTTTTTGCAAAATTTAAGTCTTATAGCCAAGTTTCATGATCTAGACAGAGCACTTATTAATTTTCAATATCAATAATATTCATATTGAAACTTAATAGAATTGAAATTCGATAGAATCTCTTGATTATTTTTATATCCTCTCAATTATCTTTTGGACGTTTTCAACATGACTGTTTCCGACCTAAATGCTTGAGGTGAAAAGTAATGTTTATTTACATAATTTTCTGAAGAGAACCGTTTTTAATTATAACTTTCATATAGAACTTTCTTTGAGTAATGAGATCTAATGAGATCTCTCTTTGACTGTAATATTGACGAAAAAATTATTTTAATCTCTTACGCCTTCCTTATCACGTGAAAGCAAAGGATATGAATATTTTAGTTACAGTTTTAGTACTGTTTGCACTAAAACTGTGTCAAAGTAGTACTTTTAGGTTGAACATAAGAGATGGGGGCCGATTATTCTCAGATATATTCATATAAACGACATGCGCTACAGCCACATGATATGAAGTAACAGTGATTTGAACGTTCTCGATTCTCTGCATCAAATCGATTTATATGTATGTGTATATTATTAATACAGAAGGACCTTGAAGAAAAGATGTCCGTTATCTTGTTATTTTTTACAATAATCAATTTAGCCCTTTTAAATCAATTTTAAATCAGTCAATTTATCCCATACTTTTCCTATACTGATAATACGTATTTTTATAAATCAAATAGTATTAAATATTTTACAATAATTATATTTTATGTTTGCATTTACGTATAAAAGGCACTGCTTTAAAAAGATTTTTTTAGACTGTAGAGATTTTTATTATTCTATGTGTAATAAAACACTTCATAGTCAGTTCCATGCTTTTTGCTAAAGTGTTGCTATAAATCAAGTTTAATTAAGTTTGCTATAAACAAATATAAAATATTTCTTAAATATAGAACAACCACACATAAACAAAAATCCTGAAAAATAAATTTAATTCAGGAAAATTTTAAGTGTTATATACCTATGAGTTTTAAATGTATATGTCGAGTAAAAAAAAAACATTAATATAGGTCAAAGACAGCTACTACTTGCTTATTCTATGTAAGTATAAATCTTGTTGTTTATATATTTATAACATTAACTATTCAATTTTACTAAATTGACAATTACAAAAATTGTGATTTTGATTTTCCTAACTTTTAAGGTTATCGCTCCATTAGCAGGGTCAACTTCCATATAAATATCTCTATTCAATTAAATTTTGCACAGTTTCCGTAAATAAAAAGACGAAATTGATAGTTTTATTTAATAATAGTAAGCAATTTAATTCAATGTAAACATTTATATATACATTAAAGGATATATAAATTTCTTTATCTTTTTATCTTATATTAAATATATATATCTTATATTAAATATATATATATCTTTCTTTGATAATTGAGGACAATACCTAATTACAAATAAAATAATAAACATCATCTTATATAATTATTTTTAATTTATAATGTTCTTTCTACAAAATCGAAGCTCAATCTCTCGCGAATGGTGATCGGACATTAGTTAGAAAACTGTAGATTCCGCTTTCTCTGTAAAATTTTAAATATGGAGATCATTATAATTTTTAGTCTAAAGATTGATTAAAATTTATCACTTCTTCTTATTGAAAGGTAAACTTACGTTCGTTTCACTGCAGATCCACCAAAGATAACTCCTCGCTCGCCCTGACATGATACATTGATTGCACTCTCATAGGAATCGCAGGCAGTTCCTACGAATTTTTTGCCATTTTCCACTTCAGCGGTAAGTGATTCTGCGTAGTACACATATGAGTAGATGTGGGAACAAGTTGAATTAGTTCCACAACCGGCCATGAAAGAACCGCCATTAGGGAAGAAGTCCAGGTCTCCCAGAGGTTTATCATAACCTTCAGCTCCAGCTGAAGTGTGGATTACTTCTACAACGCCAGCGTCATCTTTGCTTAGGATTTCTGGGTGATGAGTCCAACCAACCAGGGACGGATCAAGAGCTGTTGAAAAAATACAGATCTGCTTATTTTTATTCGGAATATATGGATCTACATTTATGTTTTGCTTTCAGCAGTTTGTTTTTTTTTTTGGCAAAAAGAAATACACTTACCGACGATATGAGGTATGTTTCCATTAGCATTTCTGGCCGCAATACCAGCCGCGTGTGCTCCAAGGCCAAGACCCGCAATCCGAATATTGTCAGGGTTGTATCCAAACCTTGACTCCAGAAGATCGATGAAAGAAGCAATAATTCTGCCGAGTTGAGGCATGTTTGCTAAAGCGTATGAGTAAAAACCTGCAGCAGGGCTCCAGTCAACGGCTATTAGATTCACGTCCTCGGCCATTAAGTGAGCTGCAATTAATGGACAAATTGTTCAGATCTCAATAAATCTACACAAATCTTAAAATATAAGTAAAATATTGATGTTTTAATTTGACCAAATCACAATAATTGGTAGTTTAATCAATACTGAAGTTTTATCTCTAAAGTGAATTACCGCGAATAACGAAAGCATTAAAATTTCCACCAACTCCCTCTCCATAATTATGAATTGTGAAAACTGTCCGTTTTGTACGTTGGAAAGACGATACCGCAATGGAGCCCTCTGATGGTAACAATGGCTCACTGACTTGGGGATTCGATCTGAAAATTACAGACGAAAACGGTTAATACTCGCTATGTGTTATATTAGTCAACTGTAAAACGATTCATGTTGGTTGGAAATATTCTTTGGTACATCGAAAAGATTTACATTACCCACTCACCTTGTGAATAGATGGAACACAACGTCTCTTGGTCCTAACGCGTAGCCATGGGCTATATGAAATAAAGGTAAAATGATATTAGTAACTACATACAAAAAATTAAATAACCCTCCTCTGACATAATAAGTTATGCCTGTTTTTACAACTTTCCATAACAAATCAAAGTTAGCTACATCCACATCGAACTAATATATTTCAAGTGTCATTTTTTTTTATAAAAGTACCTCATGTTAAGTAAAAAATAGGAGACACCATGTTATAAACCGTATTCCAATTAAACGGAAAATACAATAAAATACACCGCTAACACATGATTATTATTAATTAACATATACCTGCCACGGCAACACTTAGTAATAGAACACACTTGATAAGCGTCCACATTTTAACAAATAAACTAAAATAAAGTGGAAATCCCTTTTATACAGTTATTTATCTTTTTTTATACGCTTCCTTCCAAGAAACAATAATCCCCATGATTGATATACTGAGTTTCCTATATGCATGTATTAACAATGTTATTATTGAGATATCACACAATTTATATCAATATTCTTGAATTATTTATAAACGTTTAATTAAACTGATTTTAAAATTAAGTTGAAAGTTTTAATATAACATATTAACATTAATGAGAAAAGAAAAATTAAAAAAAAAACTCCATAAACCCTTGTTTTGTACATATATTTGAAAAGTCTATAAAAAATATTTAGGATATACATACGTGAAAGAAATAACTGAAGTTAAATTAATTATTCTAGAAAAACATTTAATCGGTCATAAATAACACGATCAACGGATTAGTCATTAATACCTTAATAAATAATATTCAATTGGTCGACATGATAAAAAATTTGTTTTACTCATACATAAATATATTGCAATATTTTTAGACATATGTGACCTCAGCGAAAAGAATTTAAGCTAATATCATAAATATAAATATAACTTTGTTATAAGTTCAGTGCCAATACTTAGAATATTTTTGTGTCCGTACACGACAGTAGTATCATAGTATTTTATTTATAAATTTTGATTACAGTGTTCATCTAATACACATTTAGTATACATAAAGAGCTCCATTAGTTGTAGCACCACATTTTTAGTGTTAAAAAAGTAATTCTAGTGTGATTGTATGACAAAATGGAAAAACATATTGGTGAATAGTAATATAAGTTTTAATTTTAAGAATGGGAAAGTATATAAGGCATCATTAAATACAATTGTACGCGTGATAAAAGTTTGTTAAAATTAAACAGAATCCTTAAATAAATTATTTGTTATTGAAAACAAATAAGGACTTAAACGAATAACGATATTGATCCTACTTTGGCAGCTGAAAAGACATGACAGAGTATAGCATCGCCAAATGCTTTCCACTTTAGGCTATCACGTCCAGCTGTAATGCGACATGAGATATGGGGAAAAAAATTAAAGCATTCTGTGATTGCAATGCTTAATTTTTTTTATTTACATTATTATTCTTTAACTAAACGACATCATCATATAAGTCTATGCCAAAAGAAGACGTTATAAATCTGATCTTGTGCCTTCTGGATATACTTTGACCCCAGTGTTCTGAATGGGAAAGTCTTTAAAATCGTCGGTAAACCTCATGTTGTGGTACCGTTTCAGTATCTATTCTGAATGTTCTGCTTTTATTCTACTAAAGTCCTACAAAGTGGGTGAAGCAAGTATTTATAGCCTTCAAATAAAAGATAATACCAAACATTGCCATCACGAGATTAAAATGGGTCAGTTTTATCATTTATTCATAAATAATGACAAATACTGGTTTCAATATTACGAGTATTAATGGCTATTTATATTTTTACATACTATATATCTTAAATTTAGTATTAGGTTATAGATAAATATGATAGACCCTGCCGTTTAGTAATAGCAACGAGATATATAAAGACATATCTGGCAAATAGTTTAGAAAATTTGTCAGGGTACATTTTATAATAAACTCTCAAGACACAATAAACGCCTTCTGCGAGCTTCTAGAACAGAGTGCCAGAAAATTAAGAAATGCTTGGCTTTGGATGATACCTAAATAACAAGAATAACTGACAGGCTCTTTCATCTCATCTGCCCGTGAACATGGTTGATGCAAAGTTAGTAAAATGTCGGGATCATGTAGATACAATAATAAATTTAAAAACACGTAGTATTATTTTTTATTTTAAATAATGTACTTTTTTATCTTTGTTAAAAAAATAAGTTTACACTATTCTTAAAAAAAGTGTGTTGTGTTTTTAGTTAATCAAGATGCAAGTGAATATATGTTTCAAATGAACTAAATGAATGAAACAGAGAATTATAAACAGAAATTAATAGTAGAAATATATTAAGGTCCTTAATATTTTTTCATTTCTACCTAAGTTATTATTGAAAACAAAATAAATGCAATAATTTATATATTTTTTTTTTTTTTTTTTTTTATGGCCCAAAGGGGCAAGCGAGCGGACGGCCCACCTGATGGTAAGTGGTTACCGTCGCCCATGGACATCTGCAACACAAGGGGTGTTGTAGATGCGTTGCCGGCCTTGTTTGGAAAGGAGCCACCTGAACACGTGATGTTTAAAAGACCCCATATATGATGGAAGCATATAAAATTGAGCACAATATTTTAAATTTTGATCAATGTATTTTAAATGTTGCTTATAATTCATTTGAAATGTTGATTAGCATTAAAAAACCATCACTATGTAGACGAATGTGTGAAATGTAAATGCTATACTACTAACTGTTGCGAGTTTAGACGCCACTATATTTGACTTTTTTTATTGTCCAACGCCTTTCAATTTAACCTAGTCACTCTTGATGTTACATGCGATTAGTGAATGAAAAATAACAGATCATATTACAAACGTTTAATAAAAATACATGAAATGAGCAAAAAATTAATGAAATAAAAGTTTAACAAGAAATAAAAGAAATCGCTAACAAAAACATTTATTTAAAAAGATCTGTTATATGATTAATTTCTTATTAAATACATCAAAATATAAGCAAATTTGTTAATGATGATAAATTATCTTATCATATTTATAATCCCTCGTATAGATGGTCATTTCCAAAAAACTGGGTTTTTTTTTCAGGGGCACTCGAGTGCGATTCCGTGATATGGGTTCGTGTTTATTAATAAACACATTTCTATAGGAATCCAAAAGATATAAAATATTTTTAAACTATAATTTAATTTCATATTTATAAGATTTAACCCATAGCTCAACACAAATACTTATAAATCTTACACAAAACATAAAAAAATAACACGCCAAAAGTGAGAAGTTCCACTGATATATTATTATTTATCTCTTAAGGATCCAACATCCAACATTTTAAAATAAATTATATCACTTCCAAGAGATAAAAAAACATGCACTCTGTTATGTTGTATAAGTGTTCCCTTGTTTAGCGCACTGAGGTCAGAAAACGTAAGGAACAGGCGAAAGAACACTGTAAAAGAACTTATCATAATAATTTTTTGTTTAAGCAAAAGATGAACATAATTAAATTAAACTCATCAATTCACTATTGTGTATCTGTTATACAAATTACATCATATAAAATCTGGCAAACTAACATATTTTAAAATTACCTTTTTTTACGTACACAAAAATCTATTATAAGTTTGCGTTCTATCCAAATCGGCCAACCATTTTAATAGAACATTTTTTAGGGTTTAGTTGACATAAACTTTAAATGTCTGACCCCTTCGATCATCTTTTACAAAATGACTAACGCAATGAGTACTTGAATACAATAATTTTATATACATATTTCAATCACACATTTTCTTCCTCGCTAAAGTAAAAAACGTTAAAGAAACCCTTTTTATAAACATAGCCTCTACAATACAATATGCCCCCATGACCCTTTTTTTTACCTTGGGAAAAATGCATTTACGCATCCCCGCCGTTTTTGAAAACAGCGGGGTATGTGGGACTCGTTACCACTATCCACTAAAACCCAAGGGTGTTCCACGACGGCCCTTGTATCGGGGCGGGGGATCGCTTTCGCACTCCCACCGGCTATGCCTCCACGACCCTTGAGTAACTGCAAAACTTATCTCTTCACCTCCCACTATTATAAAGAATATTATATGAAGCGTTTGAAATGTATGGAATTAATTAGTAATGAACTAATCTCAAGGACCTTTTATAACAAAGACGCAATGAGTTTATATAGAACACAAAAAATGAGTTTATTTTTTAGATAAAGCATATAATCAAAATGCCCTTACGTACTCTCGAACAACTATTTATTTTATGTTATTAATTATTTCATAAATTATATTATTAAAGTATGAATTTTTTTGTTATTTTTTTGTTAAGTATGAATTTTTTTTTTATTTCATAAATTATATTATTAAAGTATGAATGAAATAATTAGGGACAAAAACAAATTGAAGCATTATATCTAAAGGTATTAAAATAGTAAAAATATTATTTACGATTTGTACGTTATTTGCGTCATAAAATGCCAGGGAGGGAGGAAAGCTGTTATCTTAATTCAAATCTAAATTAATCACCGGATGTTATTATTTGACATTTAATGACAAGTGACGTGATAAGTGTTGTCAAGATTTTCAAGAGCATTAGTGTGTTTTCGATTACGTAGTAAGGTCAATTCGTCAATTGAATATAAGAGTACAGTACGAGTATATTGTTACTTATATGTGTAGATTTCACCCAACTCAAGAGAATTTACGAATTTTTACCAGTATTATATTGTAATATTAACAACAATATAAAATATAGATATACCTACATATTCATTTGAATAACTCCTATTTGTACAAGTTACTTTGAGTTTAAATACTTAATGCAACTTCGAATCATAGACTTATTATGGTAATACGACAAACAAAATTAAGTATGTACCTTAACGTTGTTATTAATAAGCTTCTTAGAATCGTTACAAATATTAAAAAAATCCTAACAGATGGTATAAAAGTTATACATAAAGACAAAAACTTAAAAAAAGTTAAAATGTTAAAAAGCAAGTTTTTGTACATAGTCGTACATACTGGAAAGAACGACTGTTTTTGCAATTACCCCTAGTTCCGGTTTAGAATATTTTTACATTTATAAATTATTTTGTATGATGTATGTCTTTATTTATATCAGAATTACGCTAAGATAGAAATTTGTAATACGTTTAAACATACATATAGTAAAAAAAAAGAAAAAAAAAGGTTACAGGCTATTCATTTAAAATAGCCAAAATACGGAGTGCAGCGACGTCTCACGGGCTGATTTATGAATCCTTACTTAATGGGCACCACACAAATGTAAAGAAAAAAAAATCTTTCGAGTCGGTCCAGCCACATAAGAACAGTAGGTATAGTAACTAACACATGTTCAGTGGAATCATACATGTAAATATATAAATTTACATATTTGTAAATCGTTTTATATAATACAAGAAAATAATACTACATGGTTTCAAGTAAAATAAATAGTTTATTTTTATCCTAACAGTAAATGAGTTTTCGTTTTTGTGTCCATATGCTTAAAAAGGCCAGTTTGCTCCTGTAGAAAGGCCGTATAAACCGTTTCTGGAAAAAAAGCAGTTATAGTTACTAAAACTTAAATTAAAGCCACAAATAAATTAGAACAAGAATTCTTACTAAAAACAAGAACTATATTGTGGACATTGTTATGCTGGGTATGCAATTTAAATTGTAAATATACTTACCCTCTTTTACCCAAGTCAGAATTACCCATCTTGAGATTGGATCCTGTACATTGATTTTTACGAGCTTGGTCCAAATTTGCACAACGTCTTCCATTCAAATGATCATTCCTGACAGTTGAAGAAAACAAAGCTTGGGCGCGACTGTGAGAGCAGAAGTTATTGCTACAACCAGGCTGGCGATTTCGGCCACCATTAGGGTAAAAGTCAGCATGAGAAATTGGATCAAAAATACCCAGAGCACCACCGTCAGTGTGAATAGATTCAACGTATGTAGCAGAGTTACGATTTAGGGCATTAGAATTACCACCCCACTGTGGTCCAGCTGGATCCAAACCTAAAAGAGAAAAAAAAGACACGTATTATCAAATTAAGGCCCATATTGAAAATATTAAAAGTTTAAATTGTTATTTAATTTACCAGTAACGCGCACGGGACGAGAAGGAGCTGCACGACCAGCATTGCCCATAACATGAGCTCCCAAACTGTGACCAACTAAATGAAGGTTATTCCAGTTGCCACCAGCAGTATTGAAAAGAAATCGAAGAAAATTAGCAAGGTGTCTTCCAACGTCCGGCACTGCTCTTACTGAAGTCGTATATAAACCGCTGGCAGTGGAACTCCAATCCAGAACGATGACATTCATGTCTGCACGGTCAAGAAAAGATGTTACCATTTGTGGAACCCAGCTCGAAGTTCCACCGCTATTCCAGCCGTGAGCAATTACTGCGGTTGGTCTATTTCCTCTATAGTTAGAATTACGTATGGAGTTGGCGTTGCCGTTCACGAGCACTTGACGGTTATTACGGTTTTGCCTGAAAGTGAAAGTTAATTATTATATTCAGGGAAATTGAAGTCAGAAAAGTTTTTATTTATATGCTTATAATATTTTTTTACCGGGTAAATAGCCAATACTGGTTTTTGTTCCCGTTTCTGGATGCCAGAAAACTTTCATCAGCAGGTTCTTCGAGATCGACAAGGTGAGGGTTGCCCTCTCCGTCAGGCATCCAGATGTAGCGGCTCACTCCTTCTACATAGTGGCTGTTGTCCTTAGGCACCGGAGGAATAGCATTCCCAGCGCATACTAAAATTTAATTTAAATGAGGACGTAGATAGATAGAATAGATAGAATATACTTTATTGTACACCACAAACAGTAAATTTACACGGAAAGAAAAAAAAATAAAAATAGATAGATCATTTTATTATGTAAAGCAAACACAAAATCTTTAATATTTTAGCGAAATTTCTTTTTTATGAAATATTTTAATGATTTCGATACAAATAAGAAAAGAAGTTAATTTGTCTGTTAGGTATTTATCACTCAAGGACTGTTCGAGTAAAATTTACTTTGGTACATTAATTCCTTGGATTGAATCCAACATAATTATTAGTTATTTTGGTCAAAATACGGTTAACGCAATGATCTAAAATATTAGACCCTTTCTCCAGTAATACAAGAATTCACTAATATTAACAGAATATAGAAATACATAATAGAATCGACGTAAATTTAAGGGTAAGTTGTATAAAAAGGATAACAAAGATTATTTAAAAATACTCTTAATAAGCAATTATCAAAATATACTTACAGGCAATTAATGCACAGAGAGCTACTAACGATTTCATTGTCAAAGATAAACATAAATGCCTAAGACGATGCTGAAGTTTCGTATTTATATTACCTGTTTATCTATTTATTTTAAAATTATCCATTATCATAAAAGAGCTCTTCACAGATTGTCAATTGTTAAGAAAAGAAATAAGATTAATTATAATACATTAAGATAAATTAGTAAGATACTACATGGAAAATAAGAAACAGCAAAAAAAACCGAGTACTAAATAACATACTAGTATATTTAATAAAAAATTAAACAATTAAGACGTTCCTGAAAAGGAGTGGGTTCAAATTTGTTTGTTGTTTTATGTTTATTAAATCGTATAGAAACTACATACATCTTATGGTTTGCTATATGTTATATAATAATTTATGTTACAAGCTATAAACATTGCAGAGTTTATTATTTCTCTAAAGTATTCATATTTGCCAAAAGAGCCCGCCTGTAGCATAAGGACTAAAACAACGGTTCTAGACAGAACTTTGAGTACTACACCAAGTTATTAAACAAATATTATTTTTTTAGATTATAATATGATATGAAGATATAAAAAACTATAAACAGCATACGAGTATTTGCCATAATCTTAAACAGGATGTTTTTAAACAATATTCAAAGTTAATTTTAACTTATATTATTAAAAATATTTCATATTATATTCAGTGGTCATTACCAAACGATAAGTGTATGTAGTGATTACCATGTTTTAGATATCTTGATTCACGAATATATTGATATAAATCACGTCATTTTTTTTTCTTCGCATGATATTAGTAACGTCACGACTATCATCGTATTTGAAACTACAATCTTAATGTTTTAACCATATCTTTCAATCTCATGCTATTATCTATATTTGATTGGTTTTAAAAATAAATTAAAAATATTACTGTATTGTCTATCAGACCCAATCTTATATTTAGGTTTGTTTAAACAGCTTATTTTACGGAAATTATATATTTAATCATTTTGATTTTGTAGCTGTAATTGCGAAATTGTAGTTATTTTTTAAAAGATTTCTTTGAAGATCCGTTCCAAACCGAACCACTTAAAAGTTTCTTAAATCTTATAGATGAGATTATTTAAAGAAAATGACGCATTAGGAGTATAAAATTTTTACGGTAATCGTAATTCATAAATCACAAAATATAGTTTATAATTCTATTGGCAACATTTTTAGTAACCGTTTACGTTAAGCGTCGTGTAACTCCTATACGGAATGACAAAACCTGGTCCCTTAATAACTTTAACTACAATTTTGCATACGTTAGTTGCAAGTTCGTGTTTTAAGATTTTATTTAATATGCAGAGATATACCACTTAGCTATTAACTAATCCATAACCTGATAAGCCGTTTGAATTAAATGAGTCAGTGAATTCGATCAGCAATAAAGTTAAGATTTTTCTATTAATTATTATCATAGTTGGTTTTTTCTTCGATCTGACCCCGTATCAAAGTTTTTGATAACCATTTATATTCTTTTTCTATATTATGTTATCTTAATTTACTTCTTTAACATAAATAGGTATTTTCAATAATAATAAAATCTTAACATAATTAATTATAAGCATATAAAAAATACAGCTGCGAACTACAGTAATCCTTCAAACCATATCAATATTTTTATTTTCATAATTAACAATATGTGTTTTGTTTGAGATAAAGATTTCTTTTACTACCTTTAATATTCTGTATCAAACGAACTTTGTATTAAGCAGTAGTGATAGTTTTAAAAGTTTCTCTTCAAAAGTCGTCGTAGCTCATCTGGTCTTTTTCCTATTTTTAACTACGCAAACATTTATTATGTGAACCTTAAGGAAATATAATTTAATGAAACTGGAGCACCTTCAAAACATTTAAAATTAAGAGGCTAACTAGCCATTATGTAGAAACGTCCAGACTCTCTCCTATTCAATTAATCAACTACTACTATAGAAATGACGGAAATAATAATTGGCGTCGGAAACGCCTGAGCAATATGATGCCAGATTAAAAAAAACAAGATCAGCGATACGCATAGATTTTAAGTAGTGTAGTGTCCAAATAGTGTCAAAAACGCCTGAACAATAAGAAGCCAAAAAAACACAAAGCGGCGCAAGTTGAAATATGTCGTAAAATTTGGTTAAATAAATAAATTTAAAGCAGAGTTAAATATCTATAGGCATAATATATAGGCTGTACCTGTAGAGTTAACTTCGAAAACATTTTTACAATTATATTGTCGCTACCAATAAGATTTTACTAGTAATAAAACAAAGGCAACACCAAAAGCTCTTTAGGATAATCTGGATCTAGATTTAATACCCGACGTTTACCAAACATCGACAATTTTTTCCCTTGCTTAAAATTCTAAATTTGGGATTGTTCTATGGACAGTAAAGTTTATTCAGACAACCTATTTTGTTTCATATCTAAGAAGGCAGTTGAGGAGTACATTGTCCTTCCATTTTTTTAAGCCAGGAAGGCATTATTGAATAAACAGATCGATTAGAAGATTTAAACATCACCAGAGCCTTCACAATATGTAGCTTAATTTCTAAATAGACCCTTTCTCTAATAATTCCCTTAGTATTATCGTGGATTTCCACTGTGCAGGAAAATGGAGGATCAATTAATTATTATCTATGTATGTCGATTAAAATGTTCTTTTTGTAGTTTCCCACGATTTTATTTTAATCTAATCAATTTTAAATTTTATTTTCATTTTTTTTATTTATATTAATTTTTTGCGTATTAAAGATTTTTCATCATGCATTAGATTTTATTTTCAGGACTTTTTTTACGTTAGCATACATACAACATAAAACATTTTCATGAAACGGGTCATCATCAGTTAGTCACTCAGTCATTTGTTAACAAATAACGTAACAATTATTTGTAAATTAAAACAATGTGTACATATCCGTACCAGTAAATTTATTTAATGAATTTTTGTCTTTTAGTGAAATGAAACTACTCAGCATTCCATGAATTCACTGTGCGGGTACAGGGTCCACCACGTCTGACTTGCGACCCAGTTATAGGTTTAACTGCCCTCTATCTAACGCGCATTAAACGCTCACCTTCACTTTCCAATCTCCTCGTTACCTAACCAAAATTGAAACGGACCTCCTGAGGCTGCCTTAGAAGTACTTTCTAAGAATCAATTTGTGTTACTCCTGGACAGGAACAAGTCTTTCAGCAGATTGTAGAGAGATTTAGCTATTATACCACTTGCATTTACTTCCATAGTGTACAAATTTACTATGTACCTACTTTTAGAGAGTTCTTTATTGAGCTCGTAATACTTATTGACCTTGATAGCACGGACTTGAAGTATGTTTGTGGATTATAAAGATATATTTCTTAATAAAGCGATGTCTCTTAAAAAATATATTTATTATAGTATCGCTTTTAATGTAAATAACATTTAATTCATCTGTTCTTGGTCATAACACTCTTGTTAGAGTGGTCGGGATCAACACTTGATATTTTTGTTTTCATAATGATGATTTTCTTTGGAATGTAATCGCAGTGGTTTCTCTGAAAGGCTCTTCTGGATGGTTTAAATTATTTAAGCAATTATTTAAAAAATCCGATAAAAATAATAGCAGGGATGTCCATCTATATTTGAATATTATTTATTATTCACATATTCAGCAAGAAATTCACCTCAAATTATTTAAAGCATCATTTTAATTAGTAGACATTGTCTGTATGCAAAATTATTAAATAGTGACAAAAAAAAGATATTGGCAGCAAGCGGAAGATGTCTTGGAGTCAACCCGATTCGACATAAATAAAAACATGAAATCCATATCCAAGAAAACATAAAATCTATTCATACAACTCGCTTTAAAATTGGCGAATATAGAAATATGTCTTGTTTGGATGCTGCCCCACAAACATCTTGTGGGATTTTATATTATTTCTCAGATTTAAAACTCATACATCTGAAAATTTTCGTCACTATTTACAATAAAACTCATTAAGTTCAATACTAGATTTTTTTTTATTTCATCTTTTATTGTAATTCTTTATTTAAGATCAGATAAATTTGGGTTTTTTGATAATACCTATAAATTGAATATAAAGAAGATTAAATTACTATAAGAAGATAAAATGGACAATATAAATAGAAACTTGAGCTTACACATAAGCATTTAAATCTATAACTGTGACAATGAAACTGCTAGTAGTTCTATGCGCTTTCGCAGCTGGTAAGTACATTTCGGAAGACTCATTATTCAGGCTATATAACAAATTTGTCCAGTAGATTTTTCTCCGAAACTTTGTTTTTTACTTGTTGCCTATTTTATTAGTGACTACTATTTCCGATCGACTTTAAATTATATTTTTTATAAAAACAAAATTTTATGACGTTTAGTCATCGTTACACTAATATTTTTTAACTATAAGTACAGGATATGATATCTTTTCTTACCTACTTAGGTTAGTTAGCTATTACTTAGACCTGGGCCTTCGTTCTAAAATTCGAAAATAAGTCAAAAAAGTGGGTTTAAATGAAAATTGTTACTTATAACAGATGCGGAGAAGTAAAAAAATAAATAAACTTTAAAATTATGTAAAAATTATTTAATTTTTAATTAAATTAGTATGCGCTGGGAATGCTATTCTTCCGGTACCGAAGGATAACAGCCACTATGTAGAAGGAGTGAGCCGCTACATCTGGATGCCTGACGGAGATGGTAACCTTCACCTAGTCGATCTCGAGGAACCCGCGGATGAAAACTTTCTTGTCACTAGAAATGGCAACCGTAATCAGTACTGGCTCTTCACCAGGTAAGTAAACGTAATAATAAAACCAAAACCTTTATTTACTACTAGTCGGTATTAATTTAATTTAATTTTCAGACAAAATCGTAATAGCCGGCAAGTACTCGTGAACGGTGATGCGAATTCAGTTCGCAATTCCTTCTACTCAGGAAACAGACCTACAAAAGTCATTGCTCATGGGTGGAATAGCAATGGAAACTCTGATTGGATTCTTCAAATGGTTGCCGCCTTTCTTGATACCGCAGATGTAAATGTTATTGTTCTTGATTGGAGTTCTGCCGCTAGCGGTTTATATACGACTTCAGTAAGAGCAGTTCCTGATGTTGGCAACCACCTTGCTACTTTCCTTCGATTTCTGTTCAATACTGCTGGTGGCAACTGGAACAACGTTCACTTAGTTGGTCACAGTTTGGGAGCTCACGTTATGGGCAATGCTGGTCGTGCGGCCCCATCTCGTCCCGTGCGCGTTACTGGTAAATTAAAGAACAATTTAAACTTTACAAATTTTCAATATGGGCTTTATTTTGATTTCAAATGTGTTTTTTTCTCTTTTAGGTTTGGACCCAGCTGGACCACAGTGGGGTGGTAATTCTAATGCCCTTAATCGTAACTCTGCTACATACGTTGAATCTATTCACACTGACGGTGGTGCTCTGGGTATTATGGATCCAATTTCTCATGCTGACTTTTACCCTAATGGTGGCCGAAATCCCCAGCCTGGTTGTAGCAACAGTGTTTGCTCTCATGGTCGCGCACAACCATTGTTTTCTTCAACTGTCAGAAATGACCACTTGAATGGAAGGCGTTGTACAAATCTAGACGAAGCTCGTAGGAATCAATGTACAGGTGCCTCTGTGAAAATGGGTAACTCCAACTTAGGCAAAAGAGGGTAAGCATTTTTGCATTAAAATATACAGGATATTAAAGTTCGTTTCAATTCTACAAACTAGTACCAGAGTAACAGCTTCAATGTTTGATAAAATAAAATATCAAGATATTTTAAAACCATAACATTAAATACTGTGAAGTTCTTCTTTTTCTTTTAATCAATATTCACTTTTAAATATTATTTAATAGAAAGACAATTGAATTCAAATATTTTTTACATAACAGATCTGGTTTATACGGATTGTCTACGGGAGCAAGTTGGCCTTTTTAAGGAAATAAAAACTACAAGATGTCTAATAATGAGACAATTGGATAAACGGATCTATTTTGTTTTTGCACATCATCAGTTTATAAACATATATTAATAAGCATACACATACTTTTATTTCAATCTAATCTTTTGAAAACACCTTCCTTACCTTACCTGTCTTACCTAAAAATACTGTTTTAATTTTTTAAATCTTTTTATGATACTTATGTTTTTTTTTATTTTATTTAAATACTATTTCAACATGCCAGTATTTTATCGCTCTATTTTGTTTAAATATATTAAAATGAGAAAATATAGTCAATAGGTATTAATTAAATCTAATTGAAAAATATATCACTAAGTATCATGTTTAAAGTTTCTCGTATAATGTTATTGAGGGCCATCCAATGAGTTAAAAAGTAAATTTTTTCATATCTTGATTGAAAGTTTCTTTTCCGAAGATAATCTTTAGTTAATAAAACAGCTAAGAAGATAGATAATTATATTTATATTATTTATAATTTATTTCTTAAGTACAAAAGTTTTCTTTTTTTATTTAATTAATTTTATGATTCATAATTACATATATCAAATCTTCTTGCTGTAGAAGCAGTTATCATTAATTCACCTAACCTAAAGTGCAAGATAAAGTTCTCCTATATAAATATGAAAATACGTTTATAAACCAGGGGGTACGACTGTATTATTTCATTATAATATAAGATAGTACACAGCTTAATAACGACTTAAGTTTGGATTAAAAGATTATTTAGATTTTTAAACAATAACCTAGCAAAGCAGTAACAGCGAGTAATTCACAGAGCGATTGGCATATTCTTAGATTTTCAGAAAACTTTATTATAAAAATAATAACAATAATTTCAATCGGACCGACCGTTTTTTTTTGTATCTAATTTTATGGACTATATTTTTTGGTTCATAAAAGGTCATGTCATAATATCATTAAATTATTAGATTGTGAGAAAATTGTTGAGATATGAAAAATGAAAATTCGATTAACAGCTACATGCCCTAATCACTTAGAAGTTTTTTATATCACTTTTTATGTTTTAATTTAATTTTATTATAGTTAAGTTTATTTACTTTATGTACATATACTGAAAACAAAGGTATTAATTACATTTAAATTCATATAACATTTGGATATTTTTAATTCTCTCAATATAAATAACAATTCAATGATAATTTTAATTACTCAAGATTACAATTGATTTCGATATTTATTCCATTTAGGTATTTTCTAATCTGCTATTTCGGAAATGATGTCACAGAAATCAGAGAAGAATTTATTGTAGATATGGATATTGAAGTAATACAACTATAGGGGACTAAAATAAGTGATAACTTGTACATTAAACTTTTGAATTTTATACTATTATAATATACATAATCAAAAATACAGTAGGATTACAAATATCATCAATTATTCATGATTTTACTTGTGTATGATTGTTTCACTTATTTATATGACGTGACTTAATATTCTGTTCAACTTTTCTATACAAATAATTAATTAATCAACCCCTTCAGTACAAAACAAAAATAATTAGTTTATAAGATGTTTGTAAAATCGTACAATTCACAATAGACACCGTGTTATAAATATTTTTCAATTTATAATCAAATATATTGACTCAAAGACATAGCATGATATGTTAAAATGGGCATGTTTTATGTTGTCTTGTCTTTGGTTTTGGAAAAATGTAAAAAAACGTGTTTATAAAATAGATTTCATTCTGCTATTCATATGAGTCACGTGAACCAAGTTGATAATATAAACTCACTTTATTTATGCCGTCAATAAAAGTTGTGATTTCCTCCTTACTGTACCTTTAAATGTGGTAAACCACGCCCACTCTCTCAAAAAAATGTTGTAATCCAAAATATGTATTTTAACAATCAAAATAAAATTAATAAAGTTCTTGTTTTATGTTTTTTAAGTATTCAATGCTTTGATTAATAGCTACTAGTTTGAACCAGTGAGAAGTTGAAATGTTTGGTATAAACATAGAAAGATTTGTGCTTTTAACAAATGTACGGCAGTTGGTTGTGCTAGAATATTTTGGACATGAGTGCTGCCAAAGGAAAAACAAAGGTTTATTAAAAAGTGAATAGTGAGTATTACATCAGCTTCTCGCGGGCATGATGGGCACTTTGATTGGCTTCTCAATGAGAAGCAACATTTTAACTATGAGCGAATTACTTTAATGACTTACAATGACCGGTATAGTGACTTCAACACTATTTCATAATACAAATTATGGGCTTATCGGGAATAATGGTGAAGACAAATAATAAATGATGAGTTTCAAATATTTCTATAATCAGTCACCGGAAGGGGTGGGAGAACCGATGAAACCAACCCGATTTAATTCGGGCCCGAAAGGTGCCTCTAAGAGGCCGGACCTCGGCTTAGGATGTCTTAGGACGTCGGAGCGAAATGTAATGATTTTAGTCAATACCTTCACCTCTATTTACCAATCAACACTCATTGTTGTGAGACGCATAATAATTTTAACCATCTGTAATTATTAATTACGTCAATAAAAGGTATTCTCTCCGATATATTTGTATATACATATATTTAGAAAATTATGTGTATTCACCTACTGCCTAATAATAATTTAACCTACCTTGAAGCGAGTTATTTGAGAGCTGGGTATTTAAGACGCTAAAATATCAGTCAAAGTTACATAAGTTTATGTATAAGCTTCAATAGTCAAAGAAAAGTATTGTTGCATTCTATTATATTGAATGAAATTCAATGAAATATAGTGAAAATATTATTTTTAGAAATTAAGTGATTAATAAGGAGAAATATTTTGATTCTACGTGATGATAATAAAATATTAGACATGTTATCATAGGAACAGCTCATAATCGTGTACGTACAATATTATCTTGATAGAAAAGTTTGTACTTAAATACATATGCCTATAAAAGTGTGATATAGAAAAAAAGAAAAGAAAAAACATTTTCATCATAAAAACATGCTCGAATCTTTTATATAGATAAAATATCATATAACAAGTTAATTCCTCAAATTTAAAACCTGGCCGTGGGAACCAGAAAATTTCCTATGATCCCCAAGTAACATTTTGATATTGTAATCGTAAGATAATGATCGTTACATGTTTATCCTTAGGTGTGGGTGATAAGTTTTAAAAATGAATTGTTTATATAATATTTGAACATTCACGGAGTGGCGTGATGTCGTACGTAAATCATAGACAGGCATCGGCTGACTTCTGTTTAGGTACCATTGGATCAGATATTATCCACTACAAGATGTAATTAAAGATAAATTATTTTTAGAATTTAAAATTATTAAGATTTTGTGAAAATTTCTAATAAATATTTTGTTATAGTATATATTATTTAGTAAAAATTATAATTTCTATCATTGGTTATTTTTTCTTCCTAGAACCTTTAGCTAGGGGTTATAAGCAATTATATAATTAAAACGTACATGCTTCGGTATATACCTATAACGCTACCACAAGTTAAAGACACAAGACGAATGAATCCAAATTTTATGATATTGGCTTTCCGACTTGCATGACAGCTGACGTTATCGACATTTTAACTCATTTTCATTTTTCTATGCTTAATTTGAAGAAAATCTTTTTGGCATATCATGAAAAAATTTAACATCATATTTATTTTTATCAGAATTGGATCATAGTATACGTTTGCTAATAACGTTAAAGATATTAAACATTTAAAAAGATTTTAATACAACTCTAGTTATTTCTTTAACATCATAATAGGTAAGAAAAATGATGATTTCAGTGTTAATACTTTAGATTGGATGCAGATCACAGTAACTATCAACATCTCTTAAGAAAATTTACGGGAAATCGGTATGAAATAAATGAATGAAATATAAAGAAAACTGACAGCAGGTTGTAACATTTTATAGTTTTATTTAATTGCAACAGTTCATTTCACTTATATTCGTTTTCGATATCTTTAAAAAGGCCATTTAGCTCCAGTACTAAGTCCGTAAAGTCCAGTTCTGTAAGAAAAAAACGGGCGAAAATATTATAATAAACTCTTATAGTAACAAACAATTCCATTAAATTAAAATCCAGTTATTTCATTAGCATAGTTAAAACAATACTATTTCAAAAAATAATAATAACTGTTACATGTGAAGTAAAACAAAATAAGTGGTAGCCAAACTTTGTTAATCGTGTATTAGATGCTCACCCTCGTTTACTTAAGTTAGAGTTGCCCATCTTCAGAGTGGCACCAGTACATTGATTCCTTCGAGCTTGGTCCAGATTAGCACAACGCCTTCCATTCAAGTGGTTGTGCTTAACAGTTGAAGAAAACAATGGTTGCGCCCGACCATGAGAGCAAGCACTGTTGCTACAACCAGGCTGGCGATTACGGCCACCATTAGGGTAAAAGTCAGCATGAGAAATTGGATCCATAATACCGAGAGCACCCCCGTCAGTGTGAATAGATTCAACGTATGTACCAGAATTACGATTTAAAGCATTAGAATTACCACCCCACTGAGGTCCAGCTGGGTCCAAACCTAAAAAAGAAAGAAAAAGACACGTAAAATCAAAATAAAACCTATATCAAAAGATGAAAAGAATAAATTGTTCTTTAATTTACCAGTAACGCGCACGGGACGAGATGGGGCCGCACGACCAGCATTGCCCATAACATGAGCTCCCAAACTGTGACCAACTAAGTGAAGGTTATTCCAGTTGCCGCCAGCAGTATTGAAAAGAAATCTAAGGAAACTAGCAACATGTCTGCCAATGTCTGGTACTGCTCTTACTGAAATCGTATATGAGCCACTGGCAGCAGCACTCCAATCCAAAACAATGACATTGACGTCTGCAGTATCAAGAAAGGCGCCTACCATTTCTGGAATCCAACTACTGCTTCCTTTACTATTCCAACCGTGAGTAATTACTTTTGTTGGTCTATTTCCTCTGTAGAAAGAATTGCGAATTGAATTCGCATTACCATTCACAAGTACTTGACGGTTATTACGATTTTGTCTGAAAATGGAAGGAAATTAGTATAGACAAGGAGTAATACCTAGGATAATGCTTTAATTTGTATTCAGTAATGTTACCTAGTAAAGAGCCAGTATTGGTTTCGGTTTCCTTTTCTGGTTGCAAGAGAAATTTCATCCGCGGGTTCCTCCAGATCGACTAGGTGAAGGTTACCATCTCCGTCAGGCATCCAGATGTAACGGCTCACTCCTTCTACATAGTGGCTGTTGTCCTTCGGTACCGGAGGAATAGCATTCCCAGCGCATACTAAAATTTTGTGTCGATTATATCATTTGTTTTTATTTATCCGCAATGGTTACAACTTAAATATTAACAAATTTTCTTTAATTTAATATATGTAGGTTTTAATATTTTGCACGTAAAATATTAAATTAATCTTAATTTAAGATAATTAGAATTAAAATTGACATTTAATCGCAATGTTTTCTCTAATCTTCAGAATTTAGAAAGCGGACTCTCGCAGATCCTATCATATCCTGACTTAAGAGTTAGTAGTTAGAGAGTATCCTGACTTAAGAGAAATAATAAATTGGTTCAATGAATAGCTTAAACAGTTAAATAATATTTTGTTAATTTAAAAAAATATATAAAAGAAAATGATTTTAATTATATGAAGGACAAAATATAACTCTAATAAATAAAGTAGCAAAAAAAATCAATTGCACAATTTTTTACAGAAGCTAAATAATGAATCTTAGGAAATTCACTTACGAGCCGTGACAGCGAATAGAACTATTAGAAGTTTCATTGTCACAAATATAGATTTAAATGCTTATGTGGATGCCCATATTCCTATTTATATTATCTTTTTTATCGTTCTATAATAATTTATCATCTGAATAATCAATTTATAGGTATTATCAAAAAACAACAATTGTCTACTGTCAAAAAAAAATAATTAAAATAGAACTTTATATAAAAAAAAACTTCAACAGGTGTAATATTCTTGAAAAGAATAAAATAACTTCTTTATAAAACCCTCTACTAGGCGTTGAACGTTGACTTAAGTATGGTAGATTATTTAGAAAATTTTGGAGATTAATGTATTTTTTCTGTTTCTTATAAAATACTAAATAAATTATTTTGTCTATTACTTGATAAATAAATCTTCCGTTTCATTGATTTCCACCTTAAAATCCATAATTATAAAGAGCCAATTTTTTATGCTAAAGAGGGCAACCGAGCAGACGGCCTCCCTGATGGAGGTAGTACCGTCGCCCATGGACATCCGCAACATTTTTGTTGCGGATGAGTTGCCAACTTTAGTTTTTGAGAAAAAGTCGGGAGTGGGGATAAGGAAATGGCATTAAAGAGTGGGAACAGGGAAATGGCAACCGAGTCTCACACTCATCGGACGAAACGTAGCCATTAAAGGCTACTTCACTCCGATCTCCTGTGAGAGGGTGGTACTTCCCCGGTTGAGCTAGCCCATGTTCGAACTGCAGTAACTTGACCAAGCTAGGCTCTACTACCTCTAAAAAATATACAGATATAATAAAGTGGTGGTGGTTAAAGGCCCGCCTCTCGTGTTTGAGGGTGCAGATTCGAAACCTGGCAAGTACCAATGTACTAATTACGAATTGAACTCATCTAACTTTTGAAGACATTAGTCCATATAAAAGTGCTTCTGGTCGTCCGTTAAAGTGTGGAGAACTATTTAGTACAAAGCTTCTTGACGCCTAAATTTTCGTGTAATGTATTTTGAACTTGACTCATACCAATAATGCCTACGCTTGCCCGTGTCTGCTAATAGGTTACTCTCTTATCTTTCTTTATTATACGTCATATAGCATTGATTTTATCTTTAGTAATCGTTGTCAAAGGAGGATTATAGGAATTTCGTGATTTATATTATTCTGATTTATTTCAATTTAAAATGGCCTTGACAGTGGAATACTTTCAAAACGTTTGTGAGTTAATTTAATAATTAGTCTTAATATTTAATTTTATAAATAATAAATAAAAAATTAAATCATTTATCTCAATATCCTTTTTATTTTTAAGATAAAATTATTTTGTACCTTCACAACTATTATTACAAATATAATTCGATATTTGGGATCCATCTTCCCTTTTTGATTTGACTATTTTGCTTTCTCATACACTCTTCTCATTATTTATCTATTTTTTAAAAGATGTTTTTATTACGAATATTTTTTCGTCTCTTTATGAAGGTTCTAAATACAATTGAATTGAAGTGCTATTATGGATGATCAATGCAAGCCAAAAGCTATAATAGTGAGCACTCTCTTTACACAAATTTCCTATTATTAGACTTTATTAGTTCTTCTCCTTAAACTACACTTTTTAATATAATTTTAGTACTCATATTTATCTTTTTAGGTTTTTGTCGGATTTGAAGCTGGTGTTACTATAGCACTTATTTGAAAATTTATAAATCCCTAAATATTGGGAAGCGTAGTGACATAAGAGATGAAGTGTAAGGCGTTATGGTTAGAAGTTTTTTTTACAAACACTTTTTTTTACAATTTAGTCAAAGCAACCAAGACAAGCCAACTAAAAACATACGCATACCATATATCATGCAATGTTCTTGTGTTAATAATAATCAATATACTAAATTATAAATTGAAAAATAGATATAACATTTAGGCGTTTACTATTAATATGATTTTACTAATGTGTAATAAACTTGTAACGAGCATTGGAAAAGTTTAGATTTGTGTGGCAGAAACAAAATTTTCTTTAATTAAGCCTTCGTCCATTTATGAAGAATACAGCAAAGTATATTTAGTCATATTATATTTCAATATAAAGTATGAAATGAATAAGCGAAACAACATTACTCAAATAAAACCCTAAATAGTTTTTTAGATCAAAATTCATAACTTTCATGTTAAGCTATCACTAATTATGATCCGTAAGTGTTATATTCTGTTACATCATATCTAAATGACAGATTGAAGAATAGTGATATTAAAAACTTTCCCAATCTTGAGTAATTGAAATTATCAATGAATTATTATTATTCATATTGAGAAAAGAAATAGATATAATATATATTAAAAGAGACGAAACTTCTCAACATTCCATGGATTCACCGTGCTGGTGCCGGATCCATAGCGTTGCAGGGAGAAGAGTTTGAACAGTGCTTGGGACTTGCATTCCAGGTGTAGATTTAAGGGAGTATGTAACAATCATTAAACTCTCATCTCCACCGTCCAAGCTCCTCTATAGCTAACCAAATTTGAAACGAACTTACAGGGGCTGCCTTCAAAGCACGTTCTAAGAATGAATTGATGTTAGTTCTGGACAGCCCTAGACTATTAGTAGATTGTAGGGAGATTTAGCTGTTCTATCTCTCGTTGCCGCTTCTATCACCTATAAATTTACAACGAACCTCTTCTTAGTAAGTTCGTAAGCGAGCCCGTAATACCTACTTGTTTAACTTTATGGCATGGTCTTTGGTGATGTTGATTTACCAAGGAACCGTAAGCTCTTAACACAACGCTCTTTAAAATTCAGGAAAACAAAAATATATCATATATATATATATATATATAATATACAATTCCCTCTAGTATTTTATATTGTAATTTTATACACATTATAGTCCAGACCAGAGCCGCGTTAAGGATAAAAATACCTGTTAATAGCTGGTATGTATAGCAATACCTGCTTTGGTTAGATGAAAAGTAACGAGGTTTTCATGATGGGAAAGGTTAATTAAAATTTGAAAAGTAATGTGAAAAGCTATTGGTTGATGAGGGAATTTAGCTGTTAATGGAATTTTCATTCTTCATGTCTAAATAACTTTCTCACAATCTAATAATTTAATAAAATATCATCAAACTGCCTGTAATGAAGCTTATACGTTTCATAAATAAAATACCTAATAAGTAATCAGTTGGTATGAAAATATTTTTGAATATAAAAGTATATGCCAAACTGAAAATCTACAATGGCAGGAGTTACTCAATACTACTATTTTTTTGCAATTCACGATCAAAACTCCGAGTTTGTAATAAAATCGGAAAGAATTAAGATAAATAAAATTCCCTTTTGGACCTATCTATTATATTAAAAGCATATTTATAGCAACGCACATTGTTGCAATGGATGGGTTGTTTTTACTTAAGTACCCTTCGGGGGTGGTCGTTGTGTTATTAATCTACAATTCAATCTAATGATAAGTGGTCTTATTGTGATAAAAATTAAATTTAAAAATGATTAAAAATATCATATCATCATTACTATCTAAAAATTAATCTTTTAATCCAAACTTTACTCGTAATCGAAGTTTGTACTATCTTATATTATAATTAAACAATATAGCCATGCCTCTTGTTTATAAACATTTTTTAATTTTTTTTTGTCTTCAAAACTTGTTTATCTTCACCAGATTAAGATCTGAATTTTAATACCAAGGAATATATAAACAAGATGAAGGGGCAATACATAAATCATAAAAATTATAAATAAGCCCCAGGCTAACACATTTAATTTTAAATTTTATCTATTCAACCTAAAACTATGTAATTATAATAATCAATATTTCTGGAAATAGATAAATTTTGCGATATAATTAGTGATACAAGCTATCTAGATAATACTATTTATAATAGAGAAGCACCTACGTCATTAAAAAAGTTTGGGAAAGAGAAAACTGCAAAAATTATTACATAAACTGGAAAAGTTTGTACTTAAGAAATAAATTATGCTAAACAAAATTGTCTCAAAAGAAGGATCTGTCATCTTGGCTTCCTCATATTAACCAAACCTTATATTCGAAACCGATACTTTCACTCAAAACGGTTAAACGAAATTGTTAAATAATTAGATAGTAAAGTTAAAATATGAAAATCCACCACCACCTTTAAAATCTTTGAAGGACCCTCAATGAATTTGAGGCCTTCCTCAAATTATAAGAGAAATTTCAATAAAGATACTCTTTTATCTGCTTCTAAAATTGTTCCTGCTTTGGACTAAAGAGTTTAGTGTTACATATATTTGCATTACCATAATAAAAATTATTTAAGATGAATAAAAAAATTAAACACCATATTATTACGGCAGGACAGGTAAAGAAGATATTTTAAGGAATGCGTACATATTTAAATAAAAATACGTGAGCTTTTATATACCTTACTTATTACTTGAAAAAAAAAAGATTACTTTAAGCAAAATAATTTTATTTCATTTTTACAGACTCATTATTTATATTTTTGAATAAGCTTATTTCAATATTAGAGATCTTGTAGTTTTTACTTCCTTAAAAAGGCCAACTTGCTCCTGTAGACAGCCCATAAAGACCAGATCTGTAATTTAAAAAATATATTGTATTTTTTTTCAACTGTATTTCAAACTATCGAATAAATATTGTACATACGAATAACTTCACAGTAATTAATATTAGGGTTTAAATCTTCACAGTTTTTAACCAGACATTGGAGCTAATACTCTGGCACAAGTTTATCGAACAAAAGAAACTTTTAAATCTAAGTATTTTAATAGACAAACGCTTACCCTCTTTTGCCTAAGTTGGAGTTACCCATCTTCAGAGAGGCACCGGTACATTGATTTTTACGAGCCTGGTCCAGATTTGCACAACGCCTTCCATTCAAGTGGTCGGTTCTGACAGTGGAGGAAAACAAAGGTTGCGCCCGACCATGAGAGCAAACACTGTTGCTACAACCAGGCTGGCGATTTCGGCCACCATTAGGGTAAAAGTCAGCATGAGAAATTGGATCCATAATACCGAGAGCACCCCCGTCAGTGTGAATAGATTCAACGTATGTAGCAGAGTTACGATTTAGGGCATTAGAATTACCACCCCACTGTGGTCCAGCTGGGTCCAAACCTAAAAGAGAAAAAAAACACACGTGTTATAAAAATAAAGCCCATATTGAAAATATTAAAAGTTTAAATTGTTATTTAATTTACCAGTAACGCGCACGGGACGAGAAGGAGCTGCACGACCAGCATTGCCCATAACGTGAGCACCCAAACTGTGACCAACTAAGTGAACGTTATTCCAGTTGCCACCAGCAGTACTGAAAACGAATCTAAGGAAGTTAGCAAGATGTCTTCCAACGTCTGGTACTGCTCTTACAGCGCTCGTATATGCACTGCTGGCGGTAGAACTCCAATCAAGAACGATGACATTCACGTCTGCACGGTCAAGAAAAGCTGTTACCATTTGTGGAACCCAGCTTGAAGTTCCACCGCTATTCCAACCGTGAGCTATTGCTACTGTTGGTCTATTTCCTCTGTAGAAAGAATTACGTATGGAATTCGCATTACCGTTCACGAGTACTTGACGGTTATTACGATTTTGCCTGAAAATTAAAGAAAATTAATATTAATAATTAATTATATATATCTAAATAATGCTTCGCAATCATTACTTCGTATGCAATAATTTTACCTGGTAAAGAGCCAATACTGATTACGGTTTCCATTTCTGGATGCGAGGAGGGTTTCATCCACGGGTTCCTCGAGGTCGACTAGGTGAAGGTTATCATCTCCATCAGGCATCCAGATGTAACGGCTGACTCCTTCTACATAGTGGCTGTTATCTTTTGGTACCACAGGAATGGCATTGCCAGCGCAGACTGAAATAAAAGATGTAAACAATAAATAATATTAAAAAACAATAATATCTTTAATTATTATTATTTTTAAATTTGACGTAAAGGAAAACAATTTTTTAATGAAGAAATTAATATAGTTTCATTCAAACTATTATGAATATGAAGAACATATATGTACTTGTTTCTTTGTTACTTTTTTTAGCCCTGTTCTGTTTTAATACCACAAGTTGGTGAATTTTGTTCCTAACTAAAAAAATATGTTATTTGGCTAACGAATAATTAATCGACTAGTACATGGCACAAAGATGGATATTTTTTAAAATCTGAAATGAGGTGATGATGAAATATTTTTAAAGCACAAATCGATAGTATAGCAGTAAACTTAAATTCAAATGAAAATTCATACAAATTTTAGAACTGTATTATAATAAAAGTTATCAGATGCATTAACAAATAAATTACAAGGATAACTAATTTATTATAGTCTAAAAATTTATCTCACAGAATGTATGTACTTACATGCCACCAAGGCACACAATACTACCAGCAGTTTCATTGTGGACGACTCAAATTTGAATGCTAATATTGAAGTCCAAGTTCTTATTTATATTATCCATTTTATCTATTTATACTAAATTAATCTACTTAGTGATCTATAATTAGGTATAATCAAAGGAGCACTACGTGAGATGTCTATTATTAATTATATAAAAAAATTAATAAAAATATATATTTTAAAAAAGCCTCAAGAAACAGGATTGTATTTTTAGGAGTTCCAATGTTGCACCTTCCTAAAAGTGATAGCAAAACTTTATCAAAAAAACTAAAATGTCGATTCTTAAGTCAACTTACATGTATTGGTATTCCGTTATGCTATTTGATTTCATTTATTTTAGGTAAAATAAATCTCTAGATAATGAGATCTAAGGCTTTCGCGAGTATTTATTTAAATGAAACTAATTTGGGATTATACTACCCAGTATAATCTAGTATAACAAAATGTATTAGTTTTAAGTAAATAATATTCTAGATTTGGAATTTATGTATATATTTATTTTTAAAACGTAGATAACATAAGACTCTCTTTCAATGATGAACGAAAACCGAAATTTTCATCCACAGCTTAAGGGGCGCCAGCATCGTCAAGTCATTGAAATTAGAGGTGATGTATTAAACACGTTTGTTTGTTGCGATGTCTTTTAGTGGTAGCCCAAATTAGGTTAGGATGTTTATCACTTGATTGTATGCTACGACATGTTAAATTAAATGATAGTTATTAAACTAATATAATATTTCTAAATACTTTTTTTTCTTTTTCTATTATATTCTTTTTTAACAGTCTTTAAAAAAAAGATAAATAATGTATATTTTCGTTTTCAGATTCAGATCTGGATACTAAAAATAAAAATAAATAATAAAACTACACTGGATAATTTATGTAAATCCTGAAAAAATATACTGAATAAAGATGTAAAAATCTGTAAATTTTTAATAACAAAAATGTGGCTCACTTTTATGTCCCTTATAGTTATGTAATATAAATATATATATCTATATATATAAAAGAAAGTCGTGTTAGTGACTGCACTTATAACTCAAGAATGGCTGAACCGATTTAGCTGAAAATTGGCAGGGAGGTAGTTTAGAGCCAGGAAATTGCAATAGGATACTTTTTATCCCGTTCGACAGCATTCCCGTGGGATTTGACATGAAATGTCAGTTACTATAAAACGTAGCATGACAAAAAAGAATCAAAATTGGAATAAAAAAACGCAAATGACGGCTATGTAATGACGTATGGATGACAATTTGATATTTGTGAGAAATCAATAATAAAAATATTTCTATTAAATAAATAATTAACAATAATTATAATATAGTATCATTACCCATTCGTAAAAAGTGAAGTGAACTATATAAAACTCGGTATTGTTGAAAATAAGAGTTTAGGTGAAGTAAAGTTTAATTAATAATGCCGCGACCAAGACGATCTAATCTTTCCCGAGAAAGTCGTAATACAAGAAGAACACGAAATACTGCAAATCAAAGGACTCAAGAAGAACAAGAAATTGCACGTGAACAGCACCGCGATAGTATGGCTCGGCTTCGTGCTTCTCAATCACGAGAGCAAAGAGAAGCAGCCCGTGAAACAGCTCGGTTGGCAATGCAGAATCTTCGAGCGAACAACAGAGGTCAACAGATAGATAATTTGCGACGCAGAACAAGATATTTATCAAGTGCTGATTTGAATCGAGCAGCGTTTCAATACGATTGCAGCAATGATTACAGCTTGCATCCTAGCGTTTGCATTGGGCAAATGGACGTAGTTTGCGAGTATTGTGGTGCATTAAAGTTTTCCGGAGAAACCCCGGGATTATGCTGCCTTAATGGTAAAGTGAAATTGCCATTGTTGACTCCGCCACCTGAGCCATTGTATTCATTGCTTTGTGGCGAAACACAAGAATCACGCCACTTTCTTGCAAATACACAAAAATACAATGGTTGTTTCCAGATGACGTCATTTGGGGCAGATATTATCGAAGAAAGAGGATTTAATCCGACATTTAAGGTATTTATTTTTGTACTTATATTGATATAGTTAAATACTTTATCTATTAATACGTATTTAGTATATTTGCTAATTCTGAACTCTACTCTCCGATCGATAAAAGTGTTTATAACATAGTTAATACTGTCTGGTTTTTATTTTGTAGGTACAAGGACAGATTCATCATCGAATTGGATCATTACTACCTTTCGAAGATACACAGAATAAATTTTTACAAATATATTTCATGGGCAACATGGAAGAACAACTTGATCGACGCCTAGAGATCAATGCAGGAATGAAGCGACCAATTCTTGAAGACTTGCAGTGTCTGCTTCATGAACATCATGCGTTGGTTAGGTTGTTTAAGAGTGCTTTAGAGCGCATGCCAAGTGATGACTATAAAGTTGTCATCAAAGCAGATAAACGACCATCTGGAACACACGAAAGGACATTTAATGCTCCAACAGTAAACGAAGTTGCTATCCTGATTGTTGGTGAACAATTGGAAAAACGCGATATTGTGCTTACACGTCGCGATAATGGTCAACTGCAACAAATATCTGAAACTCATAGATCATATGACACATTGCAATACCCGCTGATGTTTTGGCAAGGAGAAGATGGATATTATTTTAATATTAAAATGAAAAATCCATTGAATGGTGAGTATCAATATTTTTGTAATTTATTACATTTATTTGTGAAAGACACTGATTTAAAATAATTCTTATTAAAAAAATGGTTAATGTCTGTATTGTTTGCCTTTAAAATTTGCTTTTGAAATGGTTAATTATGAGATTTTTAATTTCAGGTGAAGAAACTACAAAAAAAGTTAGCTCAATGAATTATTACGCATATCGTTTGATGATTCGTCAAAATGCTGACAACTATTTGCTGCGGTTTCGTCGATTGTTTCAGCAGTATTGCGTTGACATGTATGTAAAAATAGAAACTGAACGTTTAACATTCATTAGGTTGAACCAAGCCAAACTGCGTTCTGAGGAGTACATCCATTTACGTGATGCAGTTAGTACTGAAGGAAATGCAGTTAATATTGGTCGATTAACTATTCTGCCGGCGACATACATTGGTAGTCCACGTCATATGCATGAATATGCACAAGATGCAATGACATATGTTCGTCATTACGGTCGGCCCGATCTCTTTATTACCTTTACCTGTAATCCAAAATGGATAGAAATTACTCAATTGCTGCTTCCCGGACAAACATCAAGTGATAGACACGACATCACAGCACGTATATTCAGGCAAAAAATTCGATCCCTGATGAACTTTATTGTTAAACAACGCGTCTTTGGAGATACTCGATGCTGGGTGTATTCAATCGAATGGCAAAAGCGAGGCCTCCCGCACGCACACATTCTTATTTGGTTAGTGGAAAGAATTCAGCCTGACCAAATAGATGATATCATATGTGCCGAGATTCCTGATAATGAAGTCGATCCAGACCTACATGATGTTGTTACTACTAATATGATTCATGGACCGTGTGGTGCCATCAATCCGCAATCACCTTGCATGGTCGATGGAAAGTGCTCTAAACGATATCCACGGAAATTAACGGCGGAAACTGTCACTGGCAATGATGGTTATCAGCTCTATCGGCGTCGATCACCAGATGACAATGGTCGAACTGTCACAACGAAAGTGAAAAGCATGGATTTCGTTATCGACAACAGTTGGATTGTTCCATATTCGCCACTTATTTCTAAAACGTTCAAGACACATTGCAACGTTGAATACTGCAATTCAGTTAAGTCCATAAAATATATTTGCAAATATGTCACGAAAGGCAGTGATATGGCTGTTTTTGGACTACAATCCTCGAATACCAACGATGAAATTTCACTTCATTCGCATTTCCCATTCACGAACGTCATCCTACTGTTACGCATTTGGCGGTGCATCTGGAGAATGGTCAACGAGTATATTTCACGGCTTCGAATGCTACGCAACGTGCTGAAACACCTCCAGCAACTACATTGACCAGTTTTTTTGCAATCTGCCAAAGCGATCGGTTTGCACGAACTTTGCTTTACTCGGAGATGCCACGTTATTATACTTGGAATGCTTCATCGAAGAATTTTCAAAGACGAAAGCAAGGCGATGCGGTTCCTGGGTATCCAGATGTGCGTTCTACTGATGCTCTTGGTCGTATGTATACAGTTCATCCAAAGAATAATGAATGTTTCTATTTGCGGTTGTTGCTGGTAAATGTGCGTGGGCCAACGTCATTTGAGTCACTACGAACTGTCAATGGTGTAATATTCCCAACATATCGTGCTGCATGTGAAGAACTGAAGTTATTAGAAAACGATAGTCATTGGGATACGACAATCTCTGAAGCCATTATTTCTGCATCTCCAAGTCAGATACGCACATTATTCGCTATCATTATTTCGACATGTTTTCCATCAAACCCATGTAACCTATGGCACAAATACAAGGATAATATGTCAGAAGATATTTTACATCAAATTCGTGTCAGTTCCAGAAATCACGATATTGTGATGAATGAGGAGATACATAATCGTGCTAAAGCACAAGAGTAAACTCTTGATCGAAGATATGTGTTACCTCATGAGTAGTAATTCATTAATCAGGTTAGGAATGCCAGCACCATATCGTGAAATGAATGACGCATTAATAACAATACACAATGCAGAACAAATCCTATATACTTTTATACTCTTCATTTTATATTATTTAACCACATAGTGTGTATATATTATTATTTTTTTTTCATTCCTTATTCCTCCACCGCTTTGCTATTTTCAAGATACCTTTCATGATAATAATCGTATACTGAACGTGCTATATTTGAGTATAAAATAACAATGACAGTATGTAGTACAATACTTTGTATCATTAAAAATACATAAACGTACTTTGAATCTTCACAGAGTTCAGTCAGTCCTCTTAGATCAACACCTATATAGGAGAAATGTAATTTTCAAGCTTCTTTTCCAGGTTCCAATTAGATTAAAGCATTAGAATAATTTTGTTAATATACCATTTAGAATTCAATAATCACGGTTAAGAAGACAGACCATTGTCTGTCGGGTCATTAATAGTTAATAATTAACTTCATTTATATAAAAAGGTAACAGATATTTCTTGATTGTAGGGCGGTACGAAGTTCGCCGGGTCAGCTAGTATTTATATATTTATTATTTTGAAATGATAAAATACATTTTCTTTTGTCCCGCTGTTGGATTAAGATAATATTGTTGCTACGTGTCCATAATGTATTTGTTAACATCATTCTGCTTGCAGTATTCCAGCTATTATTAAAATTTTATTTGTAAATATATGAGTTTGTTAGATTTAGTAAAAATTCATAATTTTTGAAAAGAGTGACGTTAGTATAACTGACGTCACCAGTTTCTTTATTCTCGACTATCCTATGACTCTCAGGCATATAAGAGGTAGCCTTGGAAATGGTTTGATAAATCCTATACTTCGAAGAGGTCTTACTCACTTACACAGCTGGCTACATCGATGGTAATTCAGGTGACACCTGATAATTTTAACTGCCCTAAATAATTAATTATTCAAACAATAGTGATTGCATCGATGTTTAAATAAAACTCGATATCTTTTGGAAAATGCTTTTTCCATTTTATTTTTAATAGTGGTGTACTCTGGAAAATCTCCAGAAAATCCCCGTTTTATTTTATTTACAGAAAATTGACATTGAATTACTAAAACTGTACACAACTATTAAAAATAAATTGAAAGACCATTTTCAAACGATATCGAATGTCATGTCATTTCATTAAAAAGGACATTATTATTTTACCCAAATTTGTACTGCAAGTAAGAATCTTATACTTTTTTCTTCACCAAGTTCTTTCCAAGAACAGAAAACATACCAAATTTTTGAAAAAAGCTGATATTTTGAAGTGAGATTTTTCGATTGAAAATGACGCTCTTTTTCGATTTTTATTCAAAATAAAGCTGAAAAAATAAATATTTCTAATCAAATAAATTACAGTGTGTTTGAGACATCAAAAGGTTAGTTTTCACCAAATTTCATAACAAAATGTTGTTTTTTGTAAAAGATAAAAATAAAACACCAAAAACTTATTTTTTTTAATTTTTACATAAATTTTGAGGTTATGTGAAAAAAACTGTTAATGCAAAAGTTTTAGATGGTTAACTGCAACTTTGCCGCATACCTTTTTTCCGTACGACTTTTAGTTTTGCCGGAAATCGAGAAAACAGATTTTTTACCCTTAAAAACACCCACCCCCACCACCCTTGCCAACGTCAGATCGCCCGTAAATTATTTTTTCTTTAATTTTTATAATATTCCCCTTCTTTTCTAATGGCATTCACTCCACTCTTATTTTTTTACTTTTCATAATTAATTATTATTAATAAAATTATTATTAATTTTAAAGGCTATATTTCTACCCTGGACTCTAATGTAAATAAAGTGACTACATTTTAAAAGATATGTTAAATAACAAATTTCAAAGTTCCGATTGGAACTTTCGGAATAAATTTCGTTATAAAATTTGGAAACTAAAGCTAGCACTGTCTTTTGCTTTTAACGCCTGTCATATTTTATTATTGTTATAAAAGAAAGCACATCAACATACACATGTCTCCAGGTTAATGAATATTATTCATTAAAATAAAAAAATACAATAATAATACATACGTTTAAAAGGTGCTATCATAAACTATTTTCAGTTTTACCGTGCACTAATATCTTACTATAAATAACAACTATGTCTATTTACTACTAAATTATTACTTTTATATTTACTTTTACTAAGTTTTACTTTTTTTAGTTTTAATAATAGAGTACAGTTTATTCGAATCTTGTTTTTATATTTGTTATAAATATAAAGATGGTTTTCCAAAAAACATAACAAAATGTGACTAACAATAATTTGAAGGAGAAAAATAAATTTTAGAGCGTCTACTAATTTGCTGTTTTATATTTTTTTATTTAAATTACTAATAATTTATTTATATATTTATTTATTTTATCATTATGTTAAAAAGTACGTGTGTATATTATAAAGAGAGAGCCCAACACCTTTGTGATGCTAGTCACGCATCAAAGTTAGCAGTATCTGAAAACACATTGGACAAACTAGGCCACTACATTCGGTCCGGTAAACCACAAATCCTCGCTCGTGAAGACAGTATATGTCGAGGTTAATCCACGAGGCTATTGATCACATCGCAGGATCTCATAACAAAGTGATCGCATTCTGCCCACATCCAAAGGGGTTTGACAGGCAATTAAAATTCGATAGCGGTAGATGATAAATAACAAGACCAACTGACAGACATTCACATCTCGTCTGCCCGTGACCACGGTTGCTGAAAAGTGACCGAAACGTCGAGAGTATGTAGTTTTTTATAATAATAAAGTATAGTATAATGTAATATTTTTCGTATTATTATATGTATACAATGTAATGCGAAAAATATTAGTATTACTTAAATTAATACTCGCGAAAGTCTTAGATCTCATAACCTTCCTTATTTTTTTTAAACGGCCTTGACGAGGAACTGTAAAGAAAATTTGATACACCAACATTTTATCTATAAAGGAAAAACAAACGAATCGATATCTACATATATACTATATGTATAATATTTTAATATGTGTAGATGTATTTAAGAGACTGAATTGCATTAGCTTCTATCCGTTACTATATTTATTCCAATCGGATAGCTTACCTCAGGTTGGACGAACTTGAGAAAGGAGTTTATCCAAATGGCATTAAAAGCAGGGCACTCTATGGTAACTGACTTTGAATAGTTTTTGAAAATCATTTCAGTATCAACCTGCTTATTTATTTAAAGCCCCTTTAAGTTTTTGAAAGTCTTAATTAATTATTCTTTGTCTTTCACATACATATGTATGTATAGATAATTTTGAAACAAAAGATAAATAAATGAAACATGATTTAATTATCATCCCAATTGATTACCACCTATTCATAAAATTAAAGTTCTTAATACTTTATGTGAAAAAAAAACATAAATTATAGTTCAAGAATTTTCTTTTATTTTATGTATTTGATAGCAAATGGAAATTGTCACGAGAATTCTAAAATCAATTCCATAACACAATTCTATCCCCCGCAGCCTGAAGTCAATAGTTCCTTCGTTTTATTATATTACTTGTTTTCTACCCAAATGTATCCGTATGATATTTTGTTATCTATATAGATATTAATTTTATATTTTTCGTGACGGGATTCAAGATAATGGCTTATTGCCAGCCATCGTCACCATTGACATTAGGGTATTTTATTTCCTTTTCAATAACAATGCGAAATAACTTATGTCAATATATGACTAAAGTTCTGCTTACGGAAGTTCTAAAGGCTTACGGAATTTTATAAATCGTCATTCAACGCACCAATTATGTATAACAGTATTGTTTTTTATTCTGCTTGTTTATATACCACTTAATTTTAGATACGCATATTTTTTATCTGAGACCCACTGCTCTGAACATATACTATTTAAAGCAGTGTTAACATCCCATCCGATACTGTAAATGAGGAATTTTTGGATAACGATTTGACTTTAATAGAGATAATGATGGCATCGGTATCTTATATTTAGTGTTTAAAGGGGTTATAAGTTATGTAATTTAGTGAAAAAATGTTAACAGTAATAAAATGTTACTCTTTTTAAGCAGATTCTTAAATCGATGAATCTTAATACTGTAAATCAAAAACCCACCATCTTCAACACATTAACAATATGCTGATCGCAATTAATCATGTCGATAATAAAGATACAATAAAATCAATGTCATTAATAAATAAGAATCAGTTTCTTGATAAGAGCTTTGTTCTTGTATGATTAATTGGACATTTAACGGATTAATTTGTTTTATATTGTATTGATAAAGACTAAAAATGATAAATACGACGTATTTATACAAATAAGAAACTGAAACTTCGGCTTTTAATTTCCATCCTTGACTATGAAACTCCTACTTGCTTTAAGTGTCTTTGTAGCAAGTAAGTATAATTAATAAGCATAGATTATTTCATACGGATATCATACTCTTAAATAAATAACTTCTTCTACTAATGACAAACAATAACAAATAGTAAAAAAAACATTCCAAATCTCTAGATATTTCTAGAAATTGAAGACATTTCATACAATTATAACACTATAATTAATATTCAAATTTAATTACAAGATACATTTAATACTTTAGTAATATAATACAATCTGTTAAGGCGAAACTGAACTTTAAATCTTGACGTTTATGCCAACCTCTATTTTTTAAAAGATCTACATACATATGTAGACAGTTTTACACATTTAGTAAATAACCCATTCAGTGTCTAAATGTTTTTGGATTTGTCCAGTTTAAAATCTTTCACGGAAAGTTACTTAATGTTCGATAAATCTACAATCTAATTAAATAAAATATTTTTACTGTGATAAACGTAAATTTGATAAACGATTACAAACATGACATCAGAGATAATTACAATTTTATTGCAAAATTTTCTTGTTATGAAAACTGCCAGTCTTTTAAATTAAACGCATAAGACGATTATGAATAATTAAAGCCATAAAATGTATTTTATTATTTGCTTTATAATTAAATAAATATATTTTATTTGCTATTTAAATTCGAAAGTTTCAATAGCTTTTTATTTTTAGCATGCGCTGGGAATGCTATTCCTCCGGTACCGAAGGACAACAGCCACTATGTAGAAGGAGTGAGCCGTTACATCTGGATGCCTGATGGAGTTGGTAACCTTCACCTAGTCGACCTCGAAGAACCCGCAGATAAAAACTTCCTTGAATCCAGAAATGGAAACCGTAATCAGTACTGGCTTTTTACTAGGTAAAATTAATGTATAGGAAGTAATGTAAAGCATTATTTAGATATAATTAATTATTAATATTAAGTTCCTTTCATTTTCAGACAAAATCGTAATAATCGTCAAGTACTTGTGAACGGTAATGCGAATTCAGTTCGCAATTCTTTCTACAGAGGAAATAGACCTACAAAAGTAATTGCTCATGGTTGGGGAGGCAGTGGAAACGTTAACTGGATTCCTCAAATGGTATCAGCTTTCCTTGATCGGACAGATGTAAACGTCATTGTTTTAGATTGGAGTTCCACTGCGGGTGGTTCATATCCGTCCGCAGTAAGGGCAGTGCCCGACGTTGGCCGACATCTTGCTAATTTCCTTAGATTTGTTTTCAATACTGCTGGTGGCAACTGGAACAATGTTCATTTAGTTGGTCACAGCTTGGGTGCTCATGTTATGGGCAATGCTGGTCGTGCGGCTCCCTCTCGTCCAGTTCGTGTTACTGGTAAATTAAATAAATTATTGATATGCTATACATTTTTATGCTATGTGTTTGCTTAATCTGCTATGTATTTTATCTGCTATGTATTTTATATACGTTTGTTTCCTACACTTAGGATTGGACCCAGCTGGGCCTCTGTGGCGTGGTAATTCTAATGCCTTAAACCGTAACTCTGCTACATACGTTGAATCTATTCACACTGACGGTGGTGCTCTTGGTATCATGGATCCAATTTCACATGCTGACTTTTATCCTAATGGAGGCCGTAACCGTCAACCTGGTTGTAGTGACAGCTCCTGTTCTCATGAACGAGCTCAACCTTTATTCTCTTCTACTATAAGAAACAATCATTTGAATGGAAGACGCTGTTCAAACCTTGACCAAGCCAGTAAAAATCAATGCACCGGTTCCACCTTCAAGATGGGTAACTCTGATTTGAATAAAAGAGGGTAAGTACAAAAAAAAAAATTTTTTTTTATTTATTGGAGCATAATAGATATGTTCACAAGTTTCTTATCTAACAACTGTATTTCATAAGGTCACAACCTGTTAAATATTTGAGGTATCCTATTTGATTAATTTACTTTTGGCATTCTCGAATAATAAAGAAGTAATCGTTTTTTTTTTGGGGGGGGGGGGGGGTGGAAAGCTTCTCCAAAAAAGATGAAAAATAAAACCGTTTTTCTTTAAAATTGTGTTTTAGAAGATCATCGGATTTTATCTGCTCAGGCAGATCAATAAACTTCTTAAAGAAACCAATATTTTTTCCAGTTAATTGGGCAATAATCTTTGTACTTATGTTCCCTGTACCTTCTTAACACAATCTTTTCACTATAGTTTATTGTTTCTTCTTAAGATAAGTATACAGAAATAATAGTGCTATATAGTAATCATCTCTTTGAAAAGACTATAGACTACCTTTAAGTACGACGTGGAATGTTGAAAGAATTATTGCATCTAATTTCAGTCTGCTGACTTGTATTCACAACATTCTTTCTCTTCTTACTAACCACATTCTTCTGTATAATAGATATTAGATATATGTATAATAATCTAAATAACTCTTCAACAAAAATGCAGGTAGACTCAAAAATCTTGAATGTTCATAGCTTGGACTTGAAATGAATGGATATACAGCTTTGGCTAAAATGTTATTTTCTTTTGAATATTTTTAAAAAGAGCTTATAACAAATGGAAATAATATTAATAGCAACATTAATACTCTCATGATAGTGCCATAGGTTTGGGCTTTTATGAAACTTGGTCTTGACTTATTTAGTTGATACAGGAAAAACCAATGCACTATAGCTCATCTACCATGAAATTTTGTTGCTCATGTCCCCTTCCAACGTTGTGCACCAATAATATCTGAAAACGAAAATGTCTTTTGTCATTTTGTTGACCTCAGTCATAATATAACTTACAACCCATAATAAGCCTGAGACAAAATTTAGCAACTTTTTTTATATAAGTTAGTAGAAACGTGTAGGATAGTAAATTGTTAAATATTTTTCTATGGACATATCTTATTATTTTTATAAATTTCAATAAATCATATTAAAATAACCTGACGTGTATCTTTAAAATTAAATAAATAAACATAAAACTAATAAAATACTTATGTTACAGATCTGGTCTTTACGCGCTTTCTACTGGAGCTAGTTGGCCCTTCTGAAACATCTGAAAGAACATTAATATTTCAAAAGAAAATTAATCATTAATAATATTTATGTTCTTAATAAAGTGGCTTGTTTAATCAAATACACCCACAAATAATGTAATAGTTGTATCAAAATGTTCAATAAAAACAATAATATCCTTATTTTAGCAAAAATTTTGCTGTTTCACTAAAAGCTGTTTCACTTTAAAACACTTACAGAGTTGTTTTTAAAAATCGTTAAACATTTTTTTGAACAATTTATATCTTATATTCCTTTTGTAACCAAAAGCACGACTATCCTTCATTCTTCAGTTATGAAGCGATGTCTCAACAACTCTCTAGTCTCAACCAGAGATTAACAATTCATTTAAGGCCCAAATATTGAAATTGGAATAATGAACAGTGTGATCTTCATTGCAAAAATAAAAGACTTTTATTTTTCTTTAAGTTCCAAAAATTTTTAAAATGCATATAATTCCATAAGTCACTCATATATTTTCAGAATTTAGTTTTGTTCCTACTTGTTCACTCTTATACACTCGATTTTTTTGATCAAAAACAACAAAAATCTATAAACATTGTGTTTATAGACTTTTGTTGTTTTTATAAATAGTATTCCAGGCTTCTTTTTCATTAAATATTATTTTCAAGATGGACAAAAAGCTTATTTTAATTTCTTTTTGTATCGCATCGAGGGTAGTTCAACTTGAAAATTTTTTTTCATACCATTACCGCCTTGATAACGGCGCTTATTTCATTTTTCAGTATTCATGATCGCTATAATTCAATTTGTCCAGAATGTAGAACAAACTTTATAGGTAACAGTAATTCAAACTTAATATGTACTTCTTCAGTAAAATATTTAGAAGGTGTGAAAATCAAAGTGTCTTCAACGTCCCTTGTTAGGACAAAGGTCAATTAGACCTGTACTAAATGAAATATTTTGGGGTAAAATGAATCTTAAATTCATGAATATTCGTTCAAATTTCAATAAAATATTCTGAATTTATTATGGTAATTCAATTGTGATCATATAAAGTCCCGTTACATACTACAATGTTTTTTCGGGACCCAAAAATAAGCCTAGGCTAGGCTTTATTACCTTATTTGACGAGGACATTAATATTTATAAAATCAAATAAATTCAACATATGTAATATAAAACATCAAATTCTATTTTCTATAAAAAAAAATTATTTCAAAAATGGAGTGATAAATAAGACAATAACACATTAATAAGATTTTTATCTAATTTACAGCTGTACCTATACATTGTAGATTAAAAATGTTATCGATACAATTTTTACCTTTTATGTTATTTTATTCATTATATTTTATTGGTAGCTAGTTGGGTCGTATTCTTCTTCTTAGTTGGAATTATAATAATAGGCGTTAAAGTCTTTAATTAATTAACGTAACAATTCCTATATATTGCAATAATAAAAAAAAATACTAAACGTATCTACGTAACTTTTTAAAAAAAACAGTCTTGTAAATATTGTAAAGAAAAAAGGCAGGCACCTCAAGCTTAGGAGTTTGTTTTCTAAGATAACAATTAAAACATAACATTTATTGATGGTTTTTCAAAATATTCTGAATAAAGTACAATTAATATAATTATGTTAGCTGACGTTGATTGATTTATTGGCTTGAAGTACACTCATTGCAAGTCATATCTCTACATGAGATGATAACAAACAAAATTACGAAAAAACAAAAGGAACAATATTGATTATAAAACAGATCTACAGAACTTTTCCCACAAAAAAAAAATCAAAAATGCAGATGTAGTTTATAGCAAATTGCCAAGAAAAAATTTTATTTAAAATTTTCATTTTAAATGTAAAAACAAAAATATAAGATGAATGATTGAATTCATATAATAAAAGGAATTTCTTTTCTTTTTTCAATTCTTAGTACTAGTCTTATTCTAATATGTTATAACAATATTAATGTCGAGAAAAGAAATACATATATACCTACATATAATATTATACTTACCTATGAACACTTTTCGATGTGCATCGTTGTTTCTAAATGTTTTTTACTAAAGTAGTATTCGGATTAAACAATCCCTTCATTATTTGGTTACACTCAAATCAATTTCTTGAATAATCGAGATGTTCGTCAACATAATAGAGGAAAATTGTAGCTATTAAACTGATAAAATCTATGAAATATAAATCAGGGGAGCTTATCAATTTTTGATGTTTACTCAAGGTTAATTATCCAATTAATTATCATACTAAAAATTTGTATGAATACTAAAAAACACTTTTTAATAACAAACTCAGGTAAAAAAAAGCTAAGAACAAGTTTTACGCATTTATGGGTAAAGTGGATATAGATTTGAACAGGATGATCTTGTACGGTATCATAACGGCAGGTCACAAAATTACGAAATTTCAAATAAATCTTATTTGGAATGCTCCAGAAAATTTGGTTATATACGTACATACAAAAATATACGTACTTATTTCAAACCAGACCCATCGAGTTTAATAAAAGAAATTAAAACGTCGTTATAAATATGAGTTATACATACAAATATGTTTATAGCTCTTATAAACTGCTACTACTACTACTTTAACTAAATCAACTCGTCTCACGAACCACCGCTGAAGAAATATTAAACACTTTGTATAAATCACTATTTATGGGTTCTTTGAATTTAATATCATTTCAATAAATTTAATAATATATCTTGTCAACCAGATATTCCTATATTTCATTCTTCTGTAGAATTTTATTCAATAATAATAACATTTTCCTCTATATTTAATAACTAAGTCTACCAGAGTATTCAAAAATACATTCTAACTTCTTTTAATGGTTCGAAAACACTCTTGAGTTTTAAAGGAATATCCGTGTTTGCGTCTTTCCATTAGCGCCTGAGCGTTTTTTAATTTGTGTTCTATTCAAAAAATGCTAACTTGAAAAACATCAATGATAAGATTTCCTTTGTAATTTATGTAAGACGTAGATCACTAAATACACAATTGCTTTTACAAAAAAAACATCAATCAGTCTTATGTTAGGATTGCTAAGTATATTTTAGAAGGTTATAGCTATTTTAAGCGTCTTTTCCGGATATTAAATGCGAAATGACTTAATAGAATTATACCAAAAATCTTAAATTTCAGGTTAAACCAAACCAAAGGGCATTTCAAACTTCTTAAACTTGAAAAACACACAGATATCAAGGAAGACAAAATTTTTAGCACATTGTATCGTGATACTTCAGCACAGTTAAAACATTTTTTTTCTATTATGTAACCGTATTAACAGTAAGCATATTAAAATTCACTTCAGTGTTTCATCGCTTGTCCTACCTCTAACTAGATATATACATATATAATTAGTACGTACAATTCAGTTTTAGATTGAAAATAGTCATCAAAAAAGAATGAAATAAAAATGTTTGGCGGTTGATGAAAAATAACAGAAACTTTTATCTCGTCTACGCTTCATCACTAATGCTATAAGGGTACCAAAACATCGGGGTCATGTAAATATATAATATTAAAAAATGCAGAGTAGCCTAAAAACTCAGTTTAATTTAAATGTGTATACGTATATGAAAATGTTAGATATCATTAAATAGCATTAAATCACAACTTCAATAAGTCACTTTTTAAATCGATTTCAAAATACACACTATTATTCTCTGCACAAAACTCTGTTTGGGCTCATGACCCCCCGAAGTACGCTTTATATTATTTTATAATATCAATAATAATATTATTAATTATTATGATTCTAGGAGCATCTCCCCTTATAATGTCTCAAAACCATATCGTGACGACGCGAGTATTGGCTACCATCCAGGAGTCTATGTGTGATGGGATATCTACCGTATGGATATACGGTAGATATCCCATACGGTATGGACATACGGTAGATATCACCACCAACGACTGATTAACAATTCCGACTGCCTCAATCAGTAGCGCGGCTACTTGTTTGTGTTACCTACTATGTACTTCATTACATGAGGAAATTATACACCACTTAAAAAGAAAAAAACACATTGTTTCTTTCAGCAAGGATATCTTATTTAATCTATAAAGATTGATTTCTTTACTTATAACGTATACTCCATGGAAATTTTATAGAGGAAAAATATTAAATTACGATATTTAAAGATATAATTAATAATACTTTATTAATCATTGTAAAACTTATAATATTTCTAAAACGTTTAATTCAGGTACAGATTGAAGAGGATAAAAAGATACATATTCGATTTGCAAAGCGTGTATGCGAAGTTGTTGAAGAAAATTTTAGGATTAATGATAATTAATTTAATGAGATCTAAGATTTTCGCGAGTACACATTTAAATGAAACGAATATTTTCGGATTTTACATCTCGTCTGCCCGTGATCACGGTTGCTGAAAAGTAACCGAAACGTCGGGAGTATGTAGTTTCTAAAATAAAACGCGAAGTAAAATCCGAAAATATTAGTTTCATTTAGATAATTAATTTAATTTATTAGCCGATACCGTACAATCTAAGATCCATTAAATGGCTTCTCAATATTGTTGACTTCACAACACCGTTCTTGTTTCTTGCTAGGGGCGTATGAACCAAGGATTTAATTTCAAGGCTTGGCCTAACTTGACCATCACTTATGACACGGCCTAAATACTCAACTCCGGTATTTAAAGTTAATATTCCAAAAAGTGTCCCCAATAAATCAGTGCCTTCACTGACCGTCACGCTCGTAATAAGGATACCATCAATATACACAAGAACTTGGCCTACCTCGTCAAATGTTTTAAGGATTTTTTTGATAATCCGTAGGAGCTAAACAGTGATCATCTTTTGTTTTTATTCGATTAAGAACATTGGTTCCAAAAAGATTTTATGTATTCATACATGATGTAACCACTGCTACTCGCACCAAGTCTATTTCAAGCGACATTTTACTGAACTTAACCGTTAGTGTCACATACTTACAAAAAACAATGAAAACTTACCCGAGGCTCCGTATTCAATCACTTTCGATGTGTCCAACCTTCTTGAAATATTCACATGTTATCGTATATGATTTGTCGTTAAGTTTACGCATTTTAATCAATTTAAAAAAGGAAAGTTCCTTTATCGCATCCTCCGTGATGTCTAAATAAGACGCCTCAAATCATATTCATCTTTTTTGCCTGTTTTGGGATAAATAGATACATGAAGCAAAATATTAGTGAGAAACAACACTTCGTCGTCGGTTGTTACTTGAGCACAACAGAAAATTAATGATTACGTTGTCCGCGGTCACGGCGCCCAAGAGGAAAAAACAACATCGGTTTTTTAATTCAGAAACGATATTATATCTTACTAAATCTATTAAGTTTCCTCTACTAATAACATAACGATAATTATACAGATAATCAAGATCAAAATCTAACCGTCCTGTTATTGTAAGATTGTTCTTAATAGATTCAATGATAATATTTTGCAAATTTTTAATTCCGATACAGATTGAAGGAGATAAAGGTATATATAAATATAAATTTTCCTAATAGATTACACAGACAATTAGTTTTTGCTTCGAAGAAAACAATGAAGTTATTGGCCGTGGTTAGCCTTTTTGTGGCAGGTTAGTATTGTTCTTTTATTTCAGTTTTATTTCAATATGTACACTTAAATGTAATGATTTAAATGGTCATAAAATATATAAATTTAAAAATGTATTTTTTCTATATATTTCAGTTTGTGCTGACAGCACTATCCCCGTCGTGCCAGGGGATAATAGTCACTACGTGGAAGGTGTCAGCCGTTACATCTGGATGCCTGATGGTGACGGAAACCCTCACCTCGTAGATCTTCACACTCCCATTCCTGTCGATTTTCTCCTAACTAGAAAGGGAAAGAACAACAAATACTTTCTATATACAAGGTAAGCTAAGTTTTGTGTATATGCATTATGCATATATTTGTTTTTGGCTGTACGAAAATTTTAGTTATAGATTTAAATTACAATTTTAATTAAAAAATAATTGTAAATGGACATGGGACATTTCATCTGACTTGTTTTGTTTTAAAGACTTATGTATGTCACGAGCGATTTTAAAATGCCTTTATTTAGATATATTTATAAATATAAAACCTTCCAAATCATTTTTTTCTATCTGGATTCTAAACAAGACTGACTTTTTTATTTTTACTCATTCTAGAGAAAACCGCAACGATTATCAAGTCCTCGTTAAAGGAGACGTAAACTCGATTAGAAATTCTAACTACCGGGAGGATAGACCAACGAAAGTTATTACTCATGGGTGGATGAGCAACGGGAAAACTAAATGGGTTAAACAACTAAAAGATGCTTTCCTTGATGACGCTGATGTGAATGTTATTGTTCTGGACTGGAGTTCCGCTGCTATTAGTTTATACACTTTAGCAGTCCACGCTGTTCCTGACGTGGGCGTACATTTAGCTCGATTACTCGATTTTGTTTTCGATACAGCCGGTGGCAACTGGGATAATGTTCATTTAGTTGGTCATAGTTTGGGAGCTCACGTAATGGGTAATGCTGGTCGTGCAGCTTCCTCCCGCCCTATGCGTATTTCAGGTAACTTCACAAACACATTTACGTTTTTCAATGGTATGAATTTATTTTAAAAATATATATTTAATCTTCTTATTCGTTCTCAGGTTTAGATCCAGCTGGACCACAGTGGGGTGGGAATGCTAAAGCTCTAAATCGTAGCTCGGCCACATACGTCGAGTCCATTCACACAGATGGTGGTGTTCTCGGTATCTTTGATCCTATTTCCCACGCCGATTTCTACCCTAATGGAGGAAGGAGTTTTCAGCCTGGCTGTTTCACAAATTTCTGCTCCCATAGTCGTTCTCAATCATTATTTACTTCCACTCTTAGGTCAAACCACTTGCAAGGTCGATTATGTGCAGACTTAGATGAGGCTCGAAGAAACGAGTGTACTGGTCCCCTATTTCCGATGGGTAACTCTGAACTTTCTAAAAGAGGGTAAGTGTAACAACAAATTATATTACCTATAATGAAGTTATATTTTTTCTACAATCTCATTATAATTCTCTTAATCTATTTCTAATAACGTGTTACGTATATATTAATATTATTTACTTCTTTTTTTATAGATCTGGCCTGTACGCTCTTTCCACGGAATCAAAATATCCTTACTGAGGGAATATAAATTGACATCTGATTATGAGACTGAAATATAAGATTGTATATATACATATTTGTGAAGTTCTTAAATAAAGTAAAAGATATAACATTATATAACCCCATCTTTTAATTATAGCAAAACGCATTAGAAAATTGAGGAACTAATTAACTACGAGTATTTTTAACTATATATACTTATCTTTCATATAACTTAGCGGTCACTTTCGAATATAATAACATTTATAATTTAATTTTATATATTGAAGAAGTGACTAAAATGCTTCAACCTAAAATTTACCTTTTCCCGAAATTCCTAGTAATAATTCTTAATATGTACTAGTTACTCTAGAAACATGAGCTATGTATGTGTGTGTAATGCAAAAACAATTTACGACTTTATTACTCTATGAGAATATAAATTCACACAGAAAAGTTATAGCGACAAGTGTGACAAAACAAAAAATTCAAATATTTTACCTCACCATTAACATTTGTAATATGTTTTCAAATACGTCCAGAGTCCATTATGAGAGTATAGTTCATTAGATAAAAAACTTTTAGAATCAAATTTTATTCCGTTTTAAATAGATACATAACTAAGCGAGAGAGCTATTCTAGATTTAAAATAAAATAAGCAAAACTTGTAAAATACAGACGGATGGAAATATTATGAATATTATGCAAAAAAAACATAAAAAAAATAATTAAAAAAGCTATAAAAATTCTTCTTCACTTGACATTACATTTTTAACAGTTGACGCTGCTACCAGCACAAAGGGTAAAGTGCGGAAGGTGCGGGCCTGAATAAAAGCAGTATGAACTGGTTCAAACCGAGAAAGGAACGTTGTATTTAAAACTTTGACAACACACCTACAATATCCGTGTGCACACACACAAATGGAAAGCTTAAAGCAAACTCATTATACATCGCTGTCTTCGCCTCGCTATCTTTAATCTATAAACCTTTGTATGGTGCATAAAATATTATGGACAATTTCAATAACATGTATTCAATTAGTATGTTATGTTTTGTGTTTTTCAAGTAATCAGATAAATATCTCAATATCGTGAAAGTTTTACCACTTGCGCAACTATTCTTATCTTTAAGAAGAAATTATTTAACATTTTTGAATCGATCAAACTTGCTACAGCTATAATTGATCCATCCTTACTTTAGAAACAGTTAGAAACCAAAAGCTGCTGGTTTTCTTGAAAGACAAGAACAAATACCTATATTTAAAAGAGTTTTAATTAATATATATCTGCTTTATTTCTTCCCCTTGATATTATAATAAGACTCAAATGAAAACAAGCCTTTTTTTGCTCTTTTGCGAAAAAGAAACAGGAGTTTAATGCTTTATAAGGCAACCTTTTCGAAAATGAATTAGAAACCCAAGAGACGGTTAGAAGCCAAGAAAAAAATAGACATCCTAATATGGACAGCTTAGAATAATTAATTAAATTAATTTGAAGTTATAGTGCTTTTTCCATAGACAACTGTATTTGGACGCTAAGTAATAATAATAATCTTTACTCAAAGTGGGTAGTAGACAAAATAAGTGAAAGAACTCTGTTTTGAGGCACCAAATATTTAATTAAATATTTAATATTTGTGTTAGTAGTAAAGCAACTTCTCTTTGTTCTCTAATCAAGGAGTGAACAAGAGACAATTAAGAATTACGTTGTCGTAGGTTTACAACACCCAAGAGGAAATAAAAACATTATTGGTTTTTTATTTGAGAACCGATATCGTATCTTATCAATTATGTAAAGATTCCTCAACTAATAAAACCATTATGATTATACAGATAATCAAGATCAAAATCTAACCGTCTTGTTATTTTAAGATTCGATGATAATATTTTGCAAATTTTTAATTCCGCTACAGATTCAAAAAGTTTTTTATCTCCTTCAATCTGTATCTATCGATCTATATCTGATATATAACTATAAATTTTCCTAATATATCACACAGACAATTAGTTTTGCTTCAAAGAAACAATGAAGTTATTGGCCGTAGTTAGTTTTTTTGTGGCAGGTTAGTTTTATTGTTTTAATTAGTTACTTAGATATATGTATATCCGATGCCTACATACATATATTTTTGTTAAATGTATTTTTTATATTTCAGTTTGTGCTGACAGCACTATCCCCGTCGTGCCAGGGGATAATAGTCACTACGTGGAAGGTGTCAGCCGTTACATCTGGATGCCTGATGGTGACGGAAACCCTCACCTCGTAGATCTTCACACTCCTGTTCCTATCGATTTTCTCCTAGCCAGAAAGGGAAAGAACAACAAATACTGGCTATATACAAGGTTTGCTAAGACCTTTAAGAATTTTATATACATATGTATATTTGCTTTGTTCGAAAATTCAAATTCTGTATGAGGCTATAAAAATTAAACATCAATGATACGAACATGGGAGATTTCGTCTAACTTGCTTTATATTATTGACCTATGTATATGGTATTATAAAATACTTCTGATTACATAATTTTAATGTACATAACACATAAGTTTAAATCGTTCTAAATCTTTTCTTTCTATCTAGATTTTGAATATAACTGACTTTGTTTTAATTATCCCATATAAAAAATACTATTACTCATTTTAGACAAAACCGCAACGATTATCAAGAACTTGTTATCGGAGACGTTAACTCAATTCTTAATTCTAACTACCGTGAGGATAAACCAACGAAAGTTATTACTCATGGGTGGATGCACAACGGAAAAACTGAGTTGATGAAACAACTCAAAGAAGCTTTTCTTGATGACGCTGATGTTAATGTTATTGTTCTGGACTGGAGTTCAACTGCTAGGAATTTCTACACCTTAGCAGTGCGAGCCGTCCCTGACGTGGGCGTACATTTAGCACAATTTCTCGATTTTGTTTTCGATACAGCCGGTGGCAACTGGGATAATGTTCATTTAGTTGGTCACAGTTTGGGTGCTCACGTAATGGGTAATGCTGGTCGCGCAGCTTCTTCCCTCCCTAGGCGCGTTACAGGTAACTTGATTAACAGAATTGCGCTCTTTCAATGTTATGAAAGTATTTTTAAAAAATATTTGATTTTACCTTCTTATTCCTTCTCAGGTTTAGATCCAGCTGGACCACAGTGGGGTGGTAATGCTAAAGCTCTAAATCGTAGCTCGGCCACATACGTCGAGTCCATTCACACAGATGGTGGTGTTCTCGGTATCTTTGATCCTATTTCGCACGCCGATTTCTACCCTAATGGAGGAAGGAGTTTTCAGCCTGGCTGTTTCACAAATTCCTGCTCCCATAGTCGTGCAGTATCATTATTTGCTTCTAGTCTCAGATCAAACCACTTACAAGGTCGTTTGTGTGCAGACTTAAAGGAGGCTCGAAAAAACAAATGTACTGGTTCCCAGTTTGTGATGGGTACCTCTCAACTTTCCAAAAGAGGGTAAGTGTTTCGTCAAATAATATTTTAATAAAGTGAATTGTTTTTCTTCAATCTCGTTATAACTGTCTTAAATCTATTTTCAATAAAATTTTAAGTATATATCACGTCATTCTGTCATAATATTTTTTTTTATAGTTCCGGTCTCTACGCTCTTTCAACGGGTGCCAAATTTCCTTACTGAAGAAATCTATATGGCCATATAATTTATATGCAACTGAAATAAAAATTTACATATATTCAAGGATTTTATTTGAGCTCCATAGACCTTACTTCATCGTCATGAATTAACTTTAACAGTTTTTTATTTTCTTATGATCATCTCCATTTTTGTGCACAATATCGAATTGTTCTTTCTTTTTAGATAAAAATTTAGATTATAGATGTATGAAGAAATTTCCTTTGAAGAAATATTTGAAAAAAGTATTTCTGACTTCAAACTAAGCCTTTTATTTTCGAAATCCATTAACAAATAGTAAATCAGTAATATACAGTAACTTTATTTTAGTGCAGTAACTACTTTAATGAAATTCTTAGTAAATGTTTGGAATATTTTTGAATGGTTTACTAATTGTATTTAAGGCAAGTACCAAAGCTCGTATCTATTTTATTGACGGATGTTTAACTTTAAATATTAGCAAAAAAATATATTTAGATCTAAGTATATTTTGTATAGATTTTATATATTGAAATCCCAATGATTGAAATAAGTTAATTGATTAAATTAAAATACTATTTAAATATCCATGGATTTTTTAAATAACCTCCTACGTGTTAAGAAATTTTTAATGATTTTATAAATAATAAATTTTTCAACTATTTTTTGGAGGTTTATATTATTGCTCAAAGATTTAATTACCTTATATATTATGAAGAGATGTCCTAAAGCGAATTACGTAGTAGCTACCTATATATTTTAATGTATTTAATATATAAAGTAAATAAAAATAATTTCCTTCTGACTTAATTTATAAAAGGAACTGGCAGTAACATGACAAATAAACTTTAAATAAAATATCACAACCTGTAGCGATAGAAATTACATATTTTGAAGGTAAGTTTCATTCTGAAGTCATCAATGTTAAAATGATTTCGTTCCTTTTAGAAGAACATCGAATTCCTCAAAGTTTAGACTGTTATGTAACATTTTGCTTTTGTTAAACAATACAGAGAAGAATATAAGATACGTATCTATTCATATTAGAAAAAATATACCTAATATAAAGATAAAATTATTATAATAAAACTTATCACCTGAATCAATCTAATTGAATCGATTAACAATCTTGTTTATAATTTAACAAATGCTTTGATGTTTATATATCTATTGAGAGATAACTCGTCACTTCCTCCCTTTTTTTTGAGGGGAAATTACTCAAATTACCCCTCTTGCCCTAGTGGCAAGCGGGAGTGTTAGACTCCTACTGAGTGAAAACCCTCCGTACCTTCTTCTGCTTTGTGCCAGGCCGAGGAACATCCCCGACACGACCTGACTTTGGCGCTATACTCCCTCTATGGTAATTTAATGGTTCTTTGGCTACACGCCCTACGCTCGGTCTAGTTCTGGTCGGGCGATAGTCATACGTAATTTCTAAAAATATTAATACACCACTGGCAGACGGTGAAGCAAACATCGTGAGGAAACCTAGACTTATAATTTCAAATTATAAGTTTGAAATCACCAACCCGTCTTGGGCAACCGTGGCGATTATTGCTCATATCTTCTCCATGTGAGAAGAGGACATTTCTCAGCAGTGGGCTCTGATAGGCTGATGATAATGATGAAACAATTGTAAATAAAAACACAAATTACAATGAAATTTATTATAATTTAAGTTTGTTCAAAATCTTTCAACTCCTTTCTTCAGATTCAGTTATAGGTTTCATATTGACTGCTGTTGAATTAACTTGTGGACCATCCTGTAATTATAAAATAAAGCATAACTAAAATAATAGTTTAAGGAAAACATACAACATATTTCAAAAAAGAATTTTTATTCACAAGCCAAAGATTTAATGAACATACATAGATTCTCTCCACTAGAAGGTATCCAAAATATCATACTATACTTTAGTTTCAACATATAAACTTACACAGGTAGTACAGTATTATTATTACAAATTATTAAATTGAAAAACCATATTTTGTACCACACAGTTCAAATTACTTAAAGTAATGTTCCTTCCTTTTGAGTTTTTGTGGATACCACCTAGCATAATATGTTTAACTATGTAGTTAATAACTTTATAAAATAAACTTAAAAAAATATTAATTCTTTCTACCTTATTACATTCAAAGGCTCGTATATATAGTTCATCAGCAGGTTGTGGAGGGTTGCTTAAAAATCTTCTAACTTGTGGAGCTAGTAGCTTAGGAGTGGGAGGTATATACACCTTTCCAAGGAGACTATTTATCTTTGATGCGATAACTCCAACAAAAATTGTTGTTAGGCTGCCAGCCAGAGTATACCACATATAAGATACGTGTAGGAGCGCATTAACTTCTGGTCTGAAAGTAAATTCGGTCGTAAAATATAAGTTTCAGACAGCTTATCAACTTTTGTTATCTATAAATCAAAATAAAGTAAGTAAATCAAAATAAAGATTATGCTAATACAAACCGGCTCTCAGTAACAACTGTTTCCACCTGAGTGAAATTGTAGGAACAGCCCTCAGTGGTGAGTGGTTTATGTGGATGCAATATGTATCCCCTTGCTATAGCCATTTGGGCCGACAGACACCACCATGCCATAGCCGCAACTCCAGTAATTCCTCCAACTAAAGCACCCTGAATAAAATAAAATACCTACATAAGACTTTTATGGAGTGTCATGAAGGTACTGTTCTATTTCGCCTATTGTTTTATTAACTTGGAAAATATGAATAAAGAAGAGTCTAATTTGATAAATTAATGACATTATTTTACTCCTTATTTTTGAATATTACTTTTAAAAGTAATACATTTGCTTATAACTTTAAATGCCAGTGATGAAGTTTAATAAAAATTTCTATTTATAACTGAAGGAAAGATATGTGTTTTACCGTAGCGTCAACAAAAGGAATGAGAATCCCCATTGTAAAAACACCCAGTTGTGGACCCATAGTTATTGCTTCTAAAGTCATCGTAAGTTGCAACACTGTTCCCATTTTTTCGACGATAAACACAAGTCCTAATAAAAAATGATATTATTTTTAATATTTCTTAAAAATCTAACATTAAATTAACAATGTGTTTTTGATTCCGTAAAAAAGCTAAAGTACTAAACAGGCAAACATTTGATGATACCATAAATATATTCTCCTTTTCATATAAAAAATATTTACCCAAACAAAGAACTCCCAAAACTATCACAACTCCTTTCAGAAGAATATTTGTTTGTCTCTCGGAGAGACGCTTCTTAAAAAATGGCTTGTAAAAGTCTTCCAAGACCACGGCTGACATCGAGTTTAAACTAGTTGACAAAGAACTGAAAAGAAAAGAATTATAAATATTAAAATCAAATCGTTTTAAAGCACATAACGGACATTTCATCTAATTCAAATATAATAAACAATAATATGAGATACAATGTACCTCAATGCAGCACTAAATATTCCGGCAACAAAAACTCCAGCCAATCCAGGAATGTCTCCAAGAACGTCCATCACTAATAACGGTAATAATTGGTCTTTCGCCTTTGCCAACTATGACACATATAATAAAATTAAATAAGTACAACAAAAGCAAATTACTATTGTGGAATGAAAACATATAATTAGGAATTGATGGTATAACTGTTCCAAATTTAATCTATTCTGCTACTTCAGTATCAGTGTAAGTGAATTGTAAATTTTATTTAAAGGCTGATGTTTATTATTTTAAGTGTTTGCACGTTCTTATTACTATCGTTCCCTGGGAAACGTAATAGAATTTAATTAAACCATATTATAATTAATTATTTCTATGTGATCCAGTCACACTAAATAGAATAAAAAGGAAAAAACTGAAGGTTATAAAAATAAAAAAATGAAGGTAATATCACTGTATGTTATATCATTCCTGTATGTTATATAAATTTCTTTCCCATAAAATGCCTATTCCCTTACTTTTGTTTGTAACGGATCGCAGTCGTGGAAACGGGCGTAAATCAGAAGACCACAATATAAACAGAAGCAATAGAGAGTTGATATCCCAATGCAGAATAGAAATACTGCCCTAAAATAAAAACATCAACTTTATCAACCAATATTGGAATAAAGTATACACTATTGAAAGGGCCGTTTACCATTTGGCACCTCGTAAGGTTGGTAAAGCTAAATACCGCTGCACCATCGTCTGGTTCACTGCATTCGCTTGTAACCAGTATACAAAACCTCCAATAAATAAGTTCCATATAGTGTGTCGAGCTGTTGGTCGAAGATCCCAGCTAAAACAATAATAATTTTATCATAAATATCGTATAAAAAATAACATATGGATCATCCACCATTATTCCCCAAAATGCAGTTACTACATATAATGTTTACATTTATATTAATCAATGTAAATTAAAAATATCTGGTTTGATATCATGTGTCATTTGATTTCATCAATTTATTAACTTCGGTGTCTCAATTCTTCCGCTCTCCAAATTTCGCTGCCACACAACTCCCACACCGCCGACATCAATTGTTCCTTTAACTGCCACCAATGCCATGGCCCCAACCATAGCTGTTATCTGAATTACATCCGTCCAAACAACTGCTTGAAGACCACCCTACGAGTATACTCGTATGAATGTTTATTTATTTATAAATAAATTATTTTTGAAACCCAAAATAGATCTCATAAAAATTATACTTACAGCACTAGTGTAGAAAATGCAAACCAAACATACAATGGGTGTTATAACATGTATGTCTACTCCTGTGACTGAAACAGAAATAATTTGTATTTAACAATGATATATGTAACAAAGCCAGTAATTATCTTTTAGACCAATTCTATTATGACGATATAACTATAATAAGAGGACTTAAAATAAAAAATACACAGAGAATTTTATCGAATAACAAAGGAAAGATCGATAATAAAGTGAGGATGACATTAAATTGTTTATTTATTACTAGTTACAGAAATAGAATATTTTTTGGCCATATTTATATGAAAGTTATAATAATTCTTAAATGTATAATAGGTAATTTCATATTATTACTTTTTTTATCGAAAGTAGGTCCGAAAATTAAGGAATATAGAATAAGAACAAGTTGGAAATATATTCAGACAAATTACAACGAGATACACGGCAATGTGAATGTGACTTGTGAGGGATGATAATTGATTACATGCTGATCTTTGTTCCAAGATACGAAAATACAAGGTTTTTGAAAGGTAAAGTAAGATAACATGTATGAACATCTTTCAGGGAACCCTTTGCCTCTAGCTTAGTGCGGTATCAATTACATGAAGCATTAAGATATTTAAATTTAACTCTAATTATTTTCCGGTCTCAACGACATAAAATGAAATGTAACAATGGATTACATTCTTCAGGATTTCTTTAAAGACACTAATAATATAATAGTTTCCTTTATAACATCAATAAGAAAACTGTCTGAATCCTTTAGGGGGTTAACAATGCAAATGCATTAACAATTTGGAGGATTAATAAATAAACCATGTCATTTCTGGACTAATTTAAATTGCAAAAAAACAATAATAAAGACGAATGGGTCAGCTTTTTTTTTTTAAATGAATGGAAATAAATAAAAACATAGTTAAACAGAGTTACTTCATTGCATCTCTCCATGGGGGCGGTACCGGTACCTCCTCGTTGGTGCCCCTGGGCAACGTCTGGGTGCGCCACCCCGCCCTTTACACGGGGTGAGGTGCTCAGACGGCTGAACACCAGTCTTTCTCTGTCTTTTCTTTCTTTATATAGTTTACTCTTCTCGTTGTTTTTATATGGTATACATTCTGTCTTTCAACGTCTTTCTTCTCTGTCTTTCTAATAGATATTTCTTGTGCGTGATGTATGTGTGCGGATGGATAGGCTTATACGGCCCCTAATCCCCGGTTTGTGGTGCCCGGCCTTGGGATGAATGGCGAGCGGGTGGCTCGTCCCGAGGGCACTAGGGCGGCCCTGCCTTTATAGGGCCACAAACTTTATGGCGTCGGTAAATCATGGAAATGAACTACCCCAGGAGGGTCCCAGCCCCAAAGAGGCTGGGGAATCCCTCACCGACTCGTCGGTCTGCCCCACGTATTCTGGGGGGGGCAACCAACGCCGAGAGGGTCCCTCTTCAAGGGACCCTCGCAGACGAGGTGCAGTGGGCACGGACGACCTAGGCATGAATAACGGACTCGAAAATCTTTGCGACAAGGTTCCTGTCGGCGGTGTCGATAGGTTAGAGAGGAGTCTGGCGGATACGTCGAGGACAACTTCGCGGTCTAGCAAGCGACAGTCCTCCGTATCCAGGAGCGAGGCAAGCCAGCGTCAGGGTGGCTCTGATTCAGACGTGGAGTCGATGGAGATGTGCTCCGAGCACGAGACCATCGCTCCCGTCCGTAAGCGCCCCCTCAGGCTGTCTTCGGGCGGCAGCTCATCGGGACGTAGCCCGAAGGTAGCGGCCACTACCTCGGCCAAGCGAGGTAGAGGACGGCCTCCCACAACGGGAATGTATGTCGGCCTGGCCGAAGCTAAGGCGGCGCTGAATCGCCAGAAGCGCGAGGCGCTCCGTTTGGAGGCAGAAGAGGAGGTGGTGAGGCGGGCGAAGAGGGTCGAGGTAGCGTTACCTTCCCTCAGGTCTCTGCCGGCCTCATCCCTCGAGGTCGAGATGGACAAGGCGCTCGAAGCCATTCTTGAGGTCGCCCGGAAATCCGGAAATCTCAAGGGTGGCTACGTTCGAGCGCTGAAGTCTTCGGCGCAGCTGCTGAAGGACGCGAAGGAGGCGCTCCTAGAGAGAGGGGCCAACGACGAGGTACGCATCCTGCAGGCCCGTCTGAAGGAGGAGCAGGAGAAGAACGCCTTGCTCCAAAAGGAATTAGAAATGTTGAGGGAGGGGCAAGCCCGCTTACGGGCCGACGTGGACCAGTTGGCCGTCGCCCCCCGTCAACAAGATAGGGAAAAAGGGTTGGAGGAGCTTCGCGCCAAGATCATGCTTGATCTTGGGAACATGATGGACGCGAAGCTCCAAGGCATCCAGGACAGGCTCCTCCCGGAGCCACGTCTGCGGCCGCCCCTAGCTTCCGACAGGGCCCAAGAGTCAGCGTTGGTAGCTGTGGCAGAGCCCGAGCGCCACGTTCAGCAGGTGGCCAGTAAAAAGAAAGGCACGGAGAAGAAAAAGAAGTCTTCTGTGGTGGGCAATGCCCCACGCTTCTTGCCTCCGCCACCTCCGTCCATGTCGGAGAAATGGACGGAGGTTGTAAAAAAGAAGAAGGCTCCGGGTGCTGGTGCTGGTCCGATTGCCGCCCCCAAGAATGGGCAGAGCAACGGTCGGACCGCACCTAAGGCCAATTCTTCCTCGCAGGCCCAAACAGGGCAAGCGAAGAAGAAGAAGAGGAAAGAACGCCAACGAAAGCGGACTTTGAAGGAGGCAAAGACGCCGGCGGTGGTCTTGACGCTGCCAAAAGACACCGCTAAGTCTTACGAGGACGTCCTGAAGACAGCGCGGGCAGGACTCGACCTGGCAGAGCTTGGTCTGCCGATGGGTCTTGTCTGCAAAAAGACGATAACCGGGGCCCGGATGTTCGAGCTCCCGGAGGGCGCAGGTGAGGACAAGGCAGACCTCCTAGCGCAGAAACTCCGGGAGCTGGTCCCCGACGTCAAAGTCGCCCGGCCCGTGAAGTGCGCGGAAGTGCGAGTCTCCGGGCTGGACGACTCGGTGTCCCAGGAGGACGTCCTCGCGGCGATCATCCGCCAGGCCAATTGCTCTGCCGAGCAAGTCAGGGTGGGCCCGATCCGCTCCCGTGGAGCATTTGGAACGGGGGCCGCATGGGTGCGATGCCCGATCGCGGTGGCCAAGTGTCTCGTGGAGGCCGGTCGGCTTTTAGTCGGCTGGAGCTCGGCACGAGTGCTGCCGCTGGAGCCGCGCCCCATGCGCTGCTTCAGGTGCTTACAAGTGGGCCATGCCGGCCTCAAATGCCCCTCATCAATCGACCGCAGCCGTTTGTGCTTCCGTTGCGGTCGTGAGGGGCACATGGCCCAGGCTTGTACATCGGACCCGCGGTGTCCGATCTGCGCGGATGCTGGCGTCGCCGCCAATCATATGGTGGGGGGCAGGAACTGCCACCCACCCAAAAGCCGCAAAGGTACGGAGCGCCCGAAATCCTCGGCTCCGACCCTTAATGCTGCCGTCCCGGAGGTAATTACCATGGACGAGTAATGGCCTGCTCGCCCATCAAATTCCTCCAGGCGAACCTTAACCATTCCCCAGGTCCGCAGGATCTCTGCCTGCAGGCTTTGGCGGAATGGTCCATCGACGTGGCAGTTCTCTGCGAGCCGTACTTCGTTCCCGATCGTCCTAATTGGGTGTCGGATACGGTTTGTTCTGTGGCGGTGGTGGTCTCGTCAAGTGTGCGATGTCCTCCCCCTACTGTTCTCGGTAGGGGGGACGGATACGTTGCTGCTCGATGGGGTGACTTGGTGCTTGTGGGCGTCTATCTCGCCCCGAGTAAGCCCGTCGCAGAGGTCGAAAGACTTCTCGACGAGGTCGGGGCTGAGGTGAGGCGTGCGTCGCCGAGGCAAGTAATTGTTCTCGGTGACTTCAATGCCCACAGCACCTTGTGGCATTCCCGAGCCACGAACGCTCGCGGAGAGGTGGTGGAGGAGTGGGCCACGGCGCTTGGCCTTACTCTCCTCAACCGAGGAAACGCCCCCACGTGCGTACGACCGCAGGGCGAGTCCATAGTGGACTTAACGTTCGCTACTCCTGTGGTCGCAACGCGAGTGCGTGATTGGCGTGTCTTGGTTGGGGAGGAAACGCTTTCGGACCACTCCTTCATAAGGTTCGAGGTTTCCCCACAAGGGGGCTCTCTGCCTCGCCGTCGCTCCGGAGGGAACACATCGGTGTTCCCACGCTGGTCTTTGACCAAGTTGGAGAGACAGTTGGCGGTGGAGGCGTCGGTTGTCCAGTCCTGGACCATGCGGGTCGAGCAGCCCGTTGAGGTGGATGAGGAGGCGCGCAAGTTCCGCCGGTCTCTATGGCGGGTTTGCGATGCGTCGATGCCCCGCGTCACGCAACGCCCTCCCAGACACCAGGTGTATTGGTGGACGTCGGAGATCGCGCAGCTGCGTTCAGCTTGCGCGGTGGCGAGACGCCAATACACCCGACAACGGAGGCGGCATCCTCGCAACGAGGCCGTTGAACTTCGGCTTCGCGACGCCTACAATGAGGCAAAGAGCGAGCTTCGGCACGCTATTTGCAGGTCAAAGAAGTCGGCTCGCGAGGAGTTAATCGCGCGTCTGGACAATGACCCGTGGGGGCGTCCGTATCTCGGTGCTCGGAACAAAATCCGGGCCCAGACCGCCCCGGTCACGGAGAGTCTAGAGCCGGAGTTTCTGCGAAGCGTCGTGTGCGCCTTGTTCCCCAGGGAGGTTGCACACACGATGCCAGCAAACTACTCACGTGAGCTGGACCGGTCGGAGGCCATACCGACCGTCACTCTGGAGGAGCTTGAGGGATTCCTGTCACCACTCAGAGCCAAGAAAACCGCCCCTGGGCCGGACGGCGTTCCAGGACGCGTCCTGGCTCTCGCCCTGGGCGAGTTGGCCGAGTGGTACTTGGGTATCCTCAATGAGTGTTTGAGGACGGGCCGCTTTCCATCTTCTTGGAAAGAGGGGAGGCTCGTTCTGCTCCAGAAGGGAGGAAGACCTGCAGACTCGCCGTCTGCATATCGTCCCATCGTCCTGCTAGACGATGCGGGGAAGCTCTTCGAGCGGATCCTCGCGTCCCGTGTCGTCCGACACATCAGCAGGGATGGACCCGATTTGGCCGAGTGCCAGTATGGTTTTCGGGGTGGGCGGTCTACTATAGACGCCATCCTGAAATTGAGGAGTCTCGCAGATGACGCCGTGTCTAGGGGCGGAGTTGCGTTGGCGGTGTCCCTCGACATCGCCAATGCGTTCAACTCGCTACCCTTTGGCGTCATCGAAGAGGCCCTCCGACACCATAGACTGCCGCACTACATCCGGCGGGTAATCGGGTGCTACCTCCGCGGACGGGAGATCTCGTTCGTGGGGAGCGACGGTAGGTTGCATCGTCACGAGGTGCGCTGCGGTGTTCCGCAGGGGTCGGTCCTTGGGCCTCTCCTGTGGAACCTTGGGTACGATTTCGTGCTCCGCGGTGCCCTCCCAACCGGGCTGAGCGTCGTCTGCTATGCGGACGACACGCTCGTTGTAGCTCGAGGCGATGACCTAGCAGAGGCGAAGGCGCGTGCCGAGGCGGGAGCCGCCTTAGTAGTACGGCGCATCGAGATGCTCGGGCTGAGGGTGGGTCTCGACAAAACCGAGGCCCTCCTGTTCCACCGCCCTCGAGCAGGACCTCCGACGGGCGCCTGCATCACCATCCGCGGCGTCCGCGTCGAGCTCAGTCCCCGGATGAAATATCTGGGGCTGACTCTGGACGGAAGGTGGAACTTCCGGGAGCACTTTCGCGGGTTAGTCCCGAAACTCCTCGGGACGGCGAATGCTCTCGGGAGGCTTCTCCCCAATCTCGGCGGTCCGAGTGTGGCATGCCGGCGTTTATACACCGGTGTGTTACGCTCAATGGCGCTGTACGGAGCTCCAGTGTGGGTCGGTGCCCTCACAAGGCCGAACGTGGCTGCGCTGCACAGAGTGCAGCGCGTCATGGCGGTGAGGGTGGTACGAGCATACCGCACTGTCTCTCATGAGGCGGCTTGCGTGCTGGCTGGGACGCCTCCCTGGGAACTGGATGCCCAGGTTCTGGCGGAGGCTTACCACCAGCGCGCGCGAGATCGATCCCGGGGAACGAGTCCGGACCGGGATCGGGTGGATAGTTGGCGACGATCTGCGCGGTCGTCCTTGTTCCATCGGTGGAGGCAAAGGCTTTCTGAGCCAGTGGCCGGGTTGCGAAACCGTGGAGGCTATTCGCCCGCTCCTCATGGAGTGGGTGGACCGCCGACACGGATCCTTGACCTTCCGGCTGGTGCAGATCCTCTCGGGGCACGGTTGCTTCGGGAGGTATTTGTGCCACATAGTCGGGAGAGAGCCGACAGCGACGTGTCACCACTGCAGTCGCGTGGAAGACACCGCTGACCACACCTTGATGGAATGTCCAGCGTGGATATCCGAGCGTAGCCAACTCATCCGCGTGGTTGGCGCAGACCTTTCGTTGCCGGCAGTGGTCCAGGCCATGGTCGGCAGCGAGAGGGCATGGCAGGCGGTGGCCGACTTCAGCGAGAGAGTCATCTTGCAGAAGGAGGCTGCTGAACGAGTGAGGGAAGACGACCCCTCCTCGGCGCCGCTGCGCCGACGAAGGCTGGGTCGAAGGCAGCGGGCTTATGCTCGCGACCTGCCTCCCCAGTGAGGAAGCCTCCGGGCGTCGGTGGGGAACCGGCGTCCGGGTAACATAGGCTAGAGGAAGAGCGGCGTGTTTGGCGTTCCCGGCACGCTGCTCTTGAGTCGGAGGGGTGGTGTGGTCAGCCACTGATACCCCTGCCGATGGCGGAGTCCCTTTCGGGACTCGTGCGTAGTGAGCGGAAGTATGGCTTGCCGTTCCCGCTCACTAGTCTACGCACAGCGCAGAGAACGTCGAGGTGGTTTAGTGGGTGGAAATCCCACATGCCCCTGTCGCGTTTCCCCCGCGGCAGGAAGTCTTTAAAAGATTCCCCTCGTAGAAAAAAAAAAAAAAAAAAAATTGCATCTCTCCATTATCGACAACTTTCAGCAGATTGGTACTCGATCTCTGCCATTTGTGAAACATGTGTTTTATACCACAGTCAATGTTGATATGTTTTATCCCACAATCAAATTCCAATAATCCTTGGAAATAACATGGCTTTACCTCACGAAAATCAGAATGGTGGAAACTAATTGCGTCTAAAGACGTGACAAAAATGTTGTTAGATGCAAGTTATTTCATTATCATGAGGGTAATTAAACAATAATTTTGTGAAAAAATATGATTTTGACAGAAAGCATATATTTGAAGAACAAGTTTCTAACTTAAAGCTATGTTATAAAAAAATACCTTGATTAAATGCCAGTGCTGGGACGTAAATAACAATTGGTAACCAAAATACCTAAAACATTGTGACAATAATATCAAGCTAAAAATGTAATTTTTATTACAATTTTCTTAGATTCTATTTTTAACACTTACCAAAGTAAATGCAAATAATATAGACCCAAACAAACGAACCCGATTATCAAATCTCATTGAAAGGTACTGAAAAATATATTAAAAAAATACCAAAGTAATTAAGAAAAAAAAAAGTAATTTTGAATTACTATGTAAATCATTAATGTTTTACCTCATAATTTGAAGTGATCTTGAGTTCATGAAACACTGGTAGGTATACTTGAGTCATAACGATGGTCATAAGAAATATTCCACCCATTATATAGGAATACTGGGTTCCATACATGTATACCTCCGTCGGAGAACCGAGTAAGGTTATTCCCGAAACGAAGCTAACGACAATATATAATTTATAGATCGTATAATATTAGAAAAAGATTTTTTTTAGATAACTTTCAGTTTTACTTATATCGAAATAATGTTAGAAACTTTCGAGTGTACTTAGTGAATGCAATCAGTGCTCTTAATAATATTTCATTCGATAAAATTCAAAACATAAACGGGCCAGTATATTTTGGATGGATGTCGTAAAAGCGGTAGATTTTTGTCATCATAATTTATAAATAGATAAAATCTTACCTAGCCACCAAGGACATAGCAACTGGAACCACTTTCATATTTCTGCCACCGAGTAGATAATCATTCTGTGTTGTCTGCTTTTTAAAAAATCCCCAGTAGATTCCAACCAAACCACTTATAGCTAACATAAACACGAAAACAATATAATCGACCCAGGAGAAGCTTTGCATTTGATCCAAATTTTTTCCTTCCATTTTTGGATATAACTTTTAGTCTAACCTTTACCTCTGTTCTCTCACGTGAAGATTAGATGGAATCTAAATCTCTTACAATGAAACAATTACGATAACTCGCAATTTAAAAGAGGATGTTGCGAGAGCCCCTCCAATAACTATCAGGTCCGTACTGAGGATTGACATAACTTAAAACATTATTTTTTTTATATAACAATTATTATTGAAGACTTATAAAGTACCTAAAATGTTTGTTTAAGAAATAAACAATTTTCTAATAGCGTCCTAAACTTTTATTACGTAGGTATTCTGTTTAAGTATGATTTTAATAGTTTAGTACCTACTAAATAAGTACCTACTAATAAGTACCTACTTATCTCAATAACTACTGGTTACATTATCAAGGATTCGCCAGTTCTCGTTTATGCTAGAAGCTCTAAATATAAAAAGAAATCTATAATATTGTTCGCTATAATTTATAAACTTATTTATTCTGCCTTTTTCTAGGAAACAAACAATATAAAATAAGGCCCAATCTAAACAAGGAATAAACAATACCCTAGGCCTTCTATGTTTTTATGGAATTGCTACATGTACAAGGAATATATTATGTATTGAAGAAGGATTACTGTAAAGAATGGAATATCTAAATCTTAATCATCTGTTTTTTCAGTTAACAAATATTTTGCGATGTACAGTCACATACAATTTATATTCGCTGTTTCAAATAGGTACTGTAAGTAATAATAAACATTAATTTAAATTTTATTTATTGTAGAAAAACTTGAATAGCCTTATAATTTTTTTCTGTCATTATTACACTTCGCATTACTGTTCCCCGCAACGTCGGCTTAATATTAAATTGTGAACAAGTGATTTTATTATTTAATATTATAATGTTAAGTTTTCAAAATATCTGATGTATTATGAATTCGGTGCTCTAGGTTGAAAAATCGTCTTCCATTCCTGATTTCTATTTGTCACTACTATTTTCCAACTATCAGGTGAAAATTAAACACACTATTTTAATCCCCTGAATTAAAAAAGAAATATATTCTGGTAAACGATTACGGTACAAAGGCCATCAGCTTCATTTGAATCGTAGCTTTATGAAACCAAGAACATTTTTTTTGTATTGCAATAAAAATAACAATATTAACTAAAACTGAAATTTCTACATCAAACAACATCCCTTAAAAAAATACCTTACTACCTTACCTAATAAAAGTCAGATTTTATAAAATTCAATCTTCTCTTGTATATTGTAGAAAGAACAGTACCATGAAATTAAGTGTTGGGTGTCTCAAAGTTTTTTTATAAATTTATTATAATTACTTAACTTTAACTTAAGAAAATTAAGAAATTTCTAGTAATAACAACCTTAGAGTTTAATATGTTGAAAAATATTTCTTATGATTAAAAGAAAATTAATTACAATTTTTTTATCTATTCTCTGACAGTTATACATTGCTGTCATTGTAACATCAAATAATGAAGTTGTCAAAAATAGTAAACAATACAAAGTTTTCACGTGTTCAATGGTTTAAAAAATATCATTCATCGTTATTAATATTTAAGATTAATTTTACACATTACAACACTTCTAATACAAATAAATGGCCGGCCTACTTCTCAGTCCTTCAGAAAAAGTGTACATTTTACACGGAATCGAAGTATATTTCAGAACAATTCTAATAAAATATAACGAATCTCAAAAGGCAGGTAACAAACAATGTTTAATTTCAGGATGACTTTCGATCAGATGGTAGATCCAATATTGACTATCGGCCTATGGAACTCGAGACAGATGTAGTAAGCCACGCGAGTGGATCAGCAAGGCTTAGACTGGCTAACACGGACATTCTAGTTGGCGTTAAAACTGAAATAGATGTACCCAAACCTGACAAACCAAATCAAGGAAAAATCGATTTCTTTGTGGATTGGTAATTTAACATGCTAAATTTGGATTATTTTAATAATATTATAGAAATAAAAAGATAACTAGTATTTTTATTAAGTCAGTGATGGACTATTGGTTAAAAGGCCCGCCTCTCATGAATGAGGGCACGGGTTCGATCCTGGCCCGGGCAAGTGCCAATGTGATTTTTCCGATTCATATGTACTTTCTAAGAGTATTTAGATATCACCGATTAATGTATTCCCAAAAGAGATTTGATGTCAGGCAGGCGGCCGGTCATAGAAAACAATTAGCCAAAACTATTTACAACATGGTCTGTGTAAGAGAAGAACATGTTGTGCTGACCCTACATAAAGTGGGATTTTGGCAGACCCTGACTAATGGGAAATTGCCAGGAAGAAGAACCAGTACTTTTATTGCTCAATAAATACCATCTTCTTTAGCTATACACTCTGGTGTGATTACAAACCTTCATTATTTATTTCAGTTCTGCAAATGCAACACCAGAATTTGAAGGGCGAGGAGGAGAACAGCTTGCAAACAACATATCAAATTTGATGCAACGTGCATACCATTCTGAACAAGCATTTGATCTTAAACAGTTATCTATATTTGAAGGAAAGCAATGTTGGAAACTTTATGTAGACATATTAGTATGTTATTCATTCATTTTAATATAATTTGATAACATGGTTATAATGTAATTGTCGAAATAAATAAATAATGGAATAATATGTTGTTAATACTGTTTAATAGTATTCCATTGATGACTATTATCATATGCTTTACTCTTTTATATATACTTTGTATGAATGTCATATAATTTATAAGCATAATATACTTGCTCTTAATGGAAAACAAGTAAATTAAACATCTGATATACTAAAAAGTTATAAATGTTATCAAAACTAATATAAAAATAAATAATTTTTAGATATTAGAATGTGGTGGGAATCTGTGTGATGCAGTATCTTTAGCAGTGAAGGCAGCATTGTTTAACACAAGGATACCTTTTGTTAAAGCTGCTCTTTTGGATGGTGGGAATGTAGACTTGCAGCTATCAGATGATCCTTATGATAGCAAGTTATTGGAAGTTGGGACTGCCCCACTACTAGTGAGTGTTTTCCATATAGTTTGCCTGTTTGAGTATATTTATTTAAGTGTAATATAAAAGTTATAACAATTATTAACATTGGTCTCAGATGAAAATTGTAAAATTAACTAATTTTAACTAATAATTGCATATTTTACTTTATGATTAATGTTTTCTTAAAATACACTGTTATTATCTGATATAATCTTTACATTATTTAAATCACTTCTTCTCAGGTTACATTATGTAAAATTGGGGAAAAATGTGTAGTAGATCCATCAGCTGAAGAGGAGAGTTGCAGTGTTATTTCCCTGGTTGTTGGTGTAACCGGCAACCCAAAATGCTACTGCAGTAACGAAGATGCAAGTAAATTACATGAACATATTTCTAAATGCAGTACTATAGCAATGAATGGACCTGGCAGTGTGGCTCCCCAGACACTGACTAATGCTATTAAACAAGGAATGTAAGTAAAATAAATTAACATTATCATTAAATACTGGCCTAATAAAATTGTGTGGACAAAATATGATTTTTAATAATGTAGAATGTAAATGTATTTTTATAAATACAGTTATATTGTAATTATTATTGCTTAAAAAAGAATTTAATCCAAATGATATTGGTTATTAGTATTTTTTTATATAACAATATAATTTTCTTCATATTCATAATTAAATAGTTCCACTTCCCATACAATCTGATATAAATGTTTATTATCATTGATATCAGTTTGATACTTAAGTGGATTTTGATTTCAAACTTTTGTCATATATATATCATATGATATTTGTGTTTGAAATAGTAATATTTTTCTTCAACAATTAAAACAATTCCTTTCCAGAAATGCTGCCAAGTATTTAGACGAAGCTCTAGGGAAAGCATTATTAAGAGAAAGACAAGACATTACAAACTTTGTAAAACATTCATATGGATTTTTTAAATAAAAAGTTTTTATATCTGTTCAATTACTTTTTTTCTAATCTATAGGTATATTTATTTAAAAATGAATTACTTTTCACTAGTCTAACTAGAACTCGAGAAAGGCTGGACGGATTTACCTTATCTTAGTCTTGAAATGTTCGTGGAGGTTCAGGGAAGGTTTAAAAGCTGAAAAAAGTTGAATCTTTTCCAGGAAAACCTGAAAAACATCCCTTTTTTATTTCCCAAACAAACGTTTTTTTGACATTAGATTTGACAGCTAACTAATATCTCAATAATTCTGTCGCACTTCAGAGCACGGAGATTTATGGCTTAAAGGTAAACTCCAAAAATATAAAAAAATATTTATTTATCGATTGATGCAGTACAAAATCTGCTGGGTCAGTTAGTATTCAATAAAAACAATAATCTTATAACCTTGAAACCTTTATTAGTGAATACATTATACCTTCTCTTAAAGTAATTTTCTAGTCAAACAAATCACAATATATATCACAATAAAATAATAATATTTTTCAGGAATGTTATTATAATGCTATAGATAGCAATGTCCAATAAATATACTAGATAGGTACTTTCCATATGGGAATATTTCAATTGAATACAACTCTAAAGTGTAGGTTGATTATAGTAGAATATGTTGTATATTGTAATAACCATGGTACATATAACATACATCTAAGGTCTTAAGAATACAATTTAAGACCATCCCTAATCCCATATAAATTGCGACTATGATAAATGTTAGTATATTTGGAGAATAAACATGCTTAAATGTTTTATAGGCAAGATTAAAACACTATAACTACTTTCATAAAGAAACAGTAGTAGTTTGTAGAGATTCATCTACTTTTTGGGGTTGACTGGTGTCAAAAGGTCAAGCACGGCAGCAATGTTGCCATTCTTGTTCTCCAAAATCTGTGTGAGCCATTCGCCTTCATTGGTAAAGCCCATGGCCAGCATTTGATCAATTGCTGCATCAATATGTGGTACTGGAAATTACAAAAATACACTCTTGTTAATTTATTTTGATACATTTATTATAAATATATTATTTAAAAAATTATATTGAGAAATACAACCTAAGATTAGCAAAGACAAAAACTAATAAGAAAATTAATTATAAATAGTAGAAAAACAAACAAGGTCACAAATTTTCCATTCACAGCACACCAAAAAATTATTTTGTAATTTGTACATAAAAATTATGTTAATGAACATTTTGTGTAGTTTTAATTAATTATTATTAGTATAATATTTGTTCTATAATCTATTAAGGTTGTTAGTGTTATCAAATAGGAAACTCTTATCAGTATGAACAACTGGGACATTCATTAAATCCCTGATAAAGTAACCCTGACTAATCATATTAAACATTGTTTGAAATGAAATCCTTTATTTAATATTGTCAGTTCTTTAGTCAATAATAATTCAAGGGAAACCAACAATTTTTAATTGTGGTACAAACTCAAATAATTATTGATATGCTAATAATGTAATTAGTCGATCTCATTAGTCAGGGCTGAAATAAATATAAAAATTATGATGGCTTAGATATTTCCTTTTATGTGAAATGAACACATCAATTGGTTTAGAAAAGCAATTTAAGGTAATAAATTGTACCTAGTGGTCACTTAAAGTGCTAGAAAATGACTTACGTGGATGGCGTTTTCTTTGTTCAGGTTTAGCCTTAGGCTCTGGTTTTTCAGTTGGTGCTGATGGTTGAGGCTTATTTGTTGAAGTCTCAGGTTCCTTTACTTCTGGCTCTTTAGGATTTAATGCTAAACAAAAAAATATATATTATTAACAAACCCAAGTGTTTATAAAACTATAACTTATAATGATGTGTAAAAATGGTTTAATAACACAGGAGATTTAAATTATACATCAAACATCCAAACCAATTCTTAAAAGTAATCTATAAAAATAATCTATGTATTGATAGGGTTACTTCGATTTTAATTTATTGTCCTAGTTATCAAAATTCACCCTCATATTAATCAAAATATTTTTTAGGTGTTTCTTCTTCTAACCTTCTTTTGATGTGGAAATAATATAAATACTTATAATACTCACAGGCAGTTGCTATATTTAGAGGTGGATACAGTCCTCCAGTTGTCTTTGAGTGATCACGAAACTCTTCAGGCAATTTAAAACCAATGGGAGGTGTTGGATCATTTGACTTCTCATCATCCATCAAATCTGTAATCATTTAATAAATAACTATGAGATAAAAGTATCAAAAATATTTTTAACTTTAATTAAAAATTAACTGTGTATTTGTACCCTTTTCTGCATTGATGACAGTCCAATTGTCAGCTTCATCAGGTGTATCATCCTTTTCAGAGGATGTAGTGGATTTTACACTTTCTTTGTCCTCTTCAGGTGCCTTTCTATCACCCTGACCCATTTCTACATCATTATTAGCAGTTGCCTGACTTTGGTTTTCGGGCACTTCTGCTGTATTTTGAGTTTCAGCATTGTTAGAAGCGGATTGTTTTTGTTGAGGAATGTTATGGCCCCCCAAAAATCTCTCCAGAAATTTTTGGATATTGATTACGTCACAATTCTGGGGATTAGATGGACCTTGAGGTTGTTCATTAGTTGAAGAGGATGGCGCTTCCTTGGCTGATTGGTTTGTTTTGTTGGAAGTTTTATTAGAGAAGCCCGTATCAATTTCAATGTTGACATCGCCAGTCAAATCAGCAAACTCGTTCATGTAGCTCGCGAAGGTGTCGAACCAACTGGCGTGTTGTCGCCGCTGATGTTCGTGACCGCTACGGTGACGATGACCATGACCGTGGCCATGAGGCCGACCATGTTCACCCCTACGTTTACGCTCCGAACTAGGTTCGCGCCGCTTCTTACAATGATCCTCTTCAATCTTGCTTGCAACTGTTTTCAAAAAATGACGAGAATGCTTCACCGCCTCTTTTATGACTGAACGCTAGAAAAAAAATCTTAATTATCATCTATGCTAATAAATCCTCAATATTCAATTATAGGATATTGTTAATGTTACTTACAGGCATGCCGGGCATTGGGATTCGAACCATACAATGTTCAGGGTGAGCGCCGGCTGCTTCACATTTAGTGCACAGATCATAGTCAATACATGAAGTACACTTGTAACGGAAACCAACCACTGCATCATCACAACTGTCGCAAACAACCCCAGAATGTTCAGCTGAAGAGCTTGCTATATAAAACATAATACAAACAATAGAAATTGTCATTTAAAATTAAAAGTATTCAATGTAAAACAACTTTTTATTTAAACAGTCAATTTATATGTTAAACAAATTTTTGGTTAATTTCAATAGTCAATCTCCATAATATTAACATATGAACTACAATGAGTTTGCATGTAAATTATAAAATACAAGGACTATGTCTTCAAGAGTTCTCTGATTTCTATTATGTTAAATAAATAAAAATATTATTTTATATACAAATCTTGTTTATTTTAACTTCATTCTCTTACCTCCAGCATCGGCAGCTGCTGTAAAAACATTTCGAGTATCGCCACCATCAGGTTTTTCTTCACAATATATATGCAACTTCACCAATCGAGGCATATTAAGAAGAGCAATTTTCACTTCGTCATCAGTTGAAACAACAACCTCATCTCCTTCTTCATCTAAAGTATTCATTTTAATATAGTACACACAAGTCTAGGGTTTTGCATAATATTTATATTTATTCATTCTTACATACCTTTCCATGTAACAGAATATTTGACTTTAGCAAGATCTGGCATAATTTCCTCAAGTCTTTGGGCTAAGACAGAAAAACTTGGTAGTTTGTTTTTCTCGATTCCAAATCTCCGAACTTCATATGGTACACCGCTCTTCCATAGCACATAAACCTTGAAAAATATTTCTTCCCCCATTTCTGAAATTGTTGAAAGATATTACTTAAGAACTGTAGTAGCACCTCTTAATGACTAATAACACCCATATAAACTATGATCATGTAAATATTAAAAAAATTAAAAAAAAAAAATAAGTAAGTTTTACAAAAATTGTGCAATAACTTCGAACACAAAACAAAAAATCATTAGTAGGTATTTAAGCTAAAATTTGCCCGTATGTAACAGTAGAGATGTGGACGCCATTTTGTTGATGAAAACTAAAACGAAAACACCTTTTCAAACTAAAAATAGTAGGAACGAAATCTATTGCGCATCTAGTAACTAACAATATTTAAGTGACTTATATCAAAAGTAAAATCTTTAATAAGAATGGATGAGCTAAATTGTCCAATTATTCTTTAACAGAAATATAACTCAAATATCAAGTCTCCTAAGAATACCTGTATCAATCCTTTTTCAGAATATACTGCTTGCTCTGCTAAATACTCGAACACGACTGCTTGCAATTTCGTGCCCCTTGCTTACATATATAGTTTATAAACAGAGTGAATCACCACTTACCGAACTTTGTAGAAATGTCAATAATGAACAGACTGCCGTTCGTTTCTAAAGTGAAGTAAATATGTTGCAATAATAATATGCAATCAAAACAATTGAGTACGTACTAGACAAAGCAAAATTGTCAATGTCATAATTCAAAAAGTAAAACAGAGTATATTACAATATAAAAAAAAAACATTATCAGTGTTTTTTCGGTATATAAACTTATTAACATGGCTAAATATATAACATATGAAAGTGGATAGGTAAAAAATATAAATAATAAAATATTTATTTTACATTGTATTCAGGGCATATAAAACATATATTACAGAAATAAAAAAAAGAAATAATATAAGCACTACATACTATTTCAAATAATTAATTATAATTTAATTTTCTGTATTTCTATTCAAATCACATTAAAAGCAATTCAGAGTTTTTGTATGCATGCTTACTATTGCATGTAAAAGTAGTAAAGTAAGTAGAATGTGATATTAAATTAAAATGTACTGACTTATTTAACAAGACTCTATGAAATTAATGACTGATATGATATTTTATTAATAAAATTTAAACGCCGGTAGTGTTACGCTTTAAAATAATTAAAATAGCAAACTAGGTATTTCCGAAAATCTAAGTTTTATTTATACTACAATCTAGTTTTATTAAGTCTATCACGTTTAAGACTTACATACTATTTATCTAATTATAAATATAAAAACAAAAAAATGGAAAAAAAAATCTCTATAATATTAAGTTAATGTTGTGCCAAATTGCCAACATTATAATGCAAAATAAAAAATATGGTTTTACTAAAATTGTACTTAAGATTGGGACTCGATACACTTAGTATATATTTTCAGCAGAAATGTATTTTATTGCTAAATATATTGCGACATTATATTAGCCGTGGCGTCAGTCACTGTATGAATATTCATCCCAATGTCTTTGTTTATTTAAAAGTTGTCCAACAGGTTTGAGCTTTTCCAGACACTACACTTAATTCGAAGATCTTAGTGTGTTTAAGATTAGGTGGAAAAAGGATATTAAAAATAAGAGCTTTGGAATTTTTTATCCAGTGATTATTATATAGAAAAAAATAGGTTAAAATATGCTCCTTGTTGACGTTCAGTAATAAGTTAACTTTAAAAAATTGGTCTTCAACAAAAAAAAGTCTTATTTGTATTTAAATTTCACACTCATAAAATAAGATAGACTTTAATCTGTCGCCACATTGTGTTTAGTTTGAAATAAAACACATCAACACAGTTGTATGTAGTATGGAATCACTGACACGGATGATAAATATTGGTGTCGGTTGGTTAATCCAGGTCTATTATCATGGTCGAATGCCCATGCGACCCTGTCAATCAGCTCAGGCAATGAGGGATTCTCATTGAGGGTAACTAGTGGAGTTTAATGGGTAGTTCCTTGTCCATCCAAATTTAATACATACCTCTCCGAATTTCCCCTCGAGTCAGAGAAAAGTAACAAATTGCTTACCTAACTTTAAAAAAATAATTTGTAATATAATAATTAGGTACAAGTACATATTAATTTCTCTAATAAAAAAGTAATAAATTTATATAAAATATATACATAGATAGAAAATAGCAACGGCAAAATGTTTAATATACCTTTGAATTATTGATTGTAGGTTTCATCTGAATAGAGAAAGCTAATCAATATTAATGAATTTTTATTCCACTAGTTATTCTATTAAGCTTTTGGTACAAGGGAAGGATGAGGGTGTGGGAACTACTAAATTATTTAACATTCAATGTGACACCAAATAAAATAAATTAGATTAAATAATTGCTATTTATTTACGTCGTAACGAAATATAAATAAATTAAAATTTATTGTATCTTTACTTATCTGTAAAAAATTACATTCAACCAAAATATCATCATGCTTAACATCTGCAGCTATAAAAAATATTTCAAAATAAAAGTTTTAGTTGTAAATTATTGAAATGTTATTTTTTTAAATAATATGTATATTAAGAGTTTGGCTTTTTTGGATTTCAGCTTAATCCTGATGTTCTTTTTCAAAAAGTTTTTTATTATTTTCATATCGTTTTTCATCTTCTGCAAACTTTGGAGGCCCTCCCAATTGAACAGTTTCAGGAGCACACAGTTCTTCATTTAACCTTTTAGCGAGGAAGTAAATCTCAGCGAGTGCAATGACCAATGCACACATTACGCCTAGCAGTAGCCTAAACCCAAAGTCTAAATTACCGACCATCCATTCAACACCTCTGAATCCAAACAGGAAACCAGCAAATATAGATATTATGAACTGGCCAACTGCTATTAGCTGACGATTTACTTGTTTCACTGAAAACAATAATAATTGAATATATGGTATGTAAATAAAAAAAAAATATAAGTTATCTAGACTAATATTATAAAGCCGAAGAGTTTGTTTGTTTGTGCGAAAGCGCTAATCTCCGAAACTACTGGTTCGAATTGAATAATTCTTTTCGTGTTGGATAGTTCAGTTATCGAGGAAGGCTATGGGCTATAAAACATCACGCTACGACCACTAACAGCAAAGATATAGTGGTAAATGTGTAAAAAACGGGAGAAATTATTTCATCTGTGAAGCCTTCCGTTGCGTGCGCCGTGAAAACGGTTCAAAATACACAAAAAATATGTATTAAAGAATAATAGCTCTTTAAATGATCTAAAAAACAGTCCGCGACAGTATATATCTATCTTTTAAGATTAACTCACAAAAACCGTTTTTATGGTACCTAATTTGGTCGAAATAATTTGTTTAAGTTGTATCAACATAATAATATTAATCTTTATTGAAATAAACAAATAAATATGTTGTTGGTTAAGAATACTTCATTGTGAATAAAAAAACATAGGTTTTATCCTGAAAATTCTACGGGAACTCGACCATTCCGAAAACCCCCGCAAGAACGGAAACTATGTGGGAAGAACCAAAAATCTGCCGGAAGTCACTATTCCACGCGGACGGAGTCGCGGCAAAAGCTAGTTCTTAAATAAAACTTACATTGATAGGCAATAGTTTCTTCTGGAAATCTCATTCTCACATTGTCAACACCTTTTGTCATTTTTCTATATTCCCGAGCTTCTTGTTGAGCTCTTAGTTTGACACATCTTGCTTCAAGCACTGGATTTCTCTTTAACACCTCATTTTCTGGTACATCCACATGAACTCCGGTAAGCAATGTGTGTAAGTATGGAATGTTTTTATCTCCCTCATTTCTCCTACATTTAATGTAATTATATAACCAATCTAAGTCTGAAGTTACAAGAAAACTGTCTTTTGTCTCATCCATTTTTCCAAGCTTTTTTTTTGAAGGTTTATCACTTGATTTTGTGGATGAGTCATTATCCTTACTTTGAGAATCATATTTCTCATTTATATCAACGCCCTTAGCATCAGATTCTTCTGAAGTACTTGAATATATACTTTTTATTGTTTTTATGTTTTTCAAATCAGAGGATGTTAAATGTACAGATTTTGTTTCGCTATTACTGTAACTTTGACATTTTTCTTTTGATGTTTTTATGACGTTAATTATATTATGGGGCAGATTGTCACATGTTTTTATTGTTTTCAAGAATGCTAGAAGCTGATCCGTTGGATATATTCTCAAATTCGTGTCTACAAGTGATCCAGTTAAATCCATTTTTATTTGTCAGTTATATTCAACTTATGTTTAAGATCGGCGTACAAGTCTCGTAACTCTTCCTCCTTTTCTTCAAATGTATTGTCAATTCTCTGGCATTTAAAGTTCATATCATCAATAAACTGATCCCATTCTTTTTGCCGTTTTTCTTTATTTTCTGCCAACTTTTGTTTGCTTTTCTGTAACATATTAATGTTAACTTATTACATTACAATTATATTTATGTATTAAAATTTTGTTATATAAGTTTTTCATCTGTGGTTATTAACATATTGTGATTTATAAAAATAAACACTAATATGGCCCACCATTATGTTTGATAAGTTGAAATATTAATTTATATTAAAGGAAGATTTCAATGGAATATTACCTCTTGTAGTTGAAGATAATCTGTTTCTATTTCTTCTGAAAGCTGCAGAGCTTGGTTTAATTTTTCTGCAAGAACTGGTAATGCTGTTTTAGAAGCTTTTTCAACTTTTTCCAACTGTGTGTCTTTTATGTCTGTGAGTTTTTCAAGAATTGCAAACAAATTTTCGACTTCCCTGTCACCTCTCTTCTCCTGAAAAACAATATTTTGGACTTGAGAAAATTAAAATAGTGAACAATATAATTAATAGGTCAATTATATTCTAAGAATTATTATAAAAACCATGTTCAAACATACCTCAAATTCTTTCAGCATAAACTTTATTTCACCATTAAGGAAAGGGCGATGGTCAAATAACCTTGACCAAATTTCACTGATTTCTAAGGGAGAAGTATAAGTTAATGAAAAGATCTTGTACAATGTAAGTGAAGTTGATGGACATAAATTAATCAACAACTACAACAACGTTTACTAAAATATAATTATTTATAGATCAGGTTAAAGAGAAATCACCTGACAAGTTATAATGTTTTCAGTTATTTTACATGCCCTAAGATAAATATAATGGACAATTTTATAAAAATCGTACCTCGTGACAGCTCCGTCATTATCATTTATAATTTTTTTCAAAACCTGCTATTTAGTTTATGTTACTTCATTCGTTCTTTCATTCTTTGAGGGGAAATCAAAATTCAGCTTATCATATATTTCTATTTACTTTAATAAAAATGTATCATAGTTTTTCAAAAGGATAGAATATTTTTATAAAGAATAGTCAGTACAAATACTGGTTTAAAATCTAGTATCTAATTCTTATAAAATACGATATAATGAGAAGACTACTTACACATAGCTTACTTAAAATGTTTTGGTAAAGGTTATATTTTTAGTCAAAAAAAACTAACCTAGAATATTTTGACTTAAACGTATATAACTATGAAGATTTACAAGACGACATGTATATTATCCTTGAAGCAACATAAATTTCATTTGATTTTGGTCATAATATTGAAAACACCAATGTCAGAATATCTTAGAAATCCACAATAACATATAAATACACTTTATTTCTAAGATGTAATTTTTTGCTTTAAATTTTACCTTTTATTATTTTTTTTAAACCGATAAACATTATACTTTTTTTATTGTTTAACTGAACTCATTGTCTATGGTTTATAGTTCAATCGTTCTCACATCAACCAATATCGTTCACATTCAAATAAATCACACATTCATCATTCATTTCAATTAATTTCAGTTTGTTCATTCAAGATCTCCGAGATGGATGTGTCGAATTGAAATCATACATGTAAATTGTTTTTATTTTGCGTAGAAGTGATTGTGGTTAACAAAATGGGTTTAAATTCTCACTTACATTAAGCGTTTCTAGTGATATAGTTTGTATATTATTTATAACGGATGTAAATCAAAATACTTTGTTGAGTGTGTAATAAATAGTGTAATCATCATGCCGGGTCTTATTGGTATTGGTGAATTTATTGACGAAACTCGAGAGGATTACAGTTCGCCAACTACTTCGACATTCGTATCGCGTATGCCACAATGCAAACAGACCATTAACGCATTGGAGGAGGTAAGCATGTTATTACACCGTACCTAAATGCTCTTTTTTATGCTTCAAAATTTACTCGCAAAATAGGTACTAAAGCACATAGGTTCTAAGCATATACTAACATTATATATAAACATATCAATAACGATTACTTTATTTTCGGTTCACGAAAGTCATCACTTTGTTCTTCAGCATTTGAGTTTAGTTAATTTTAATGGTGACACAAAATTTAGTGAAACATTAAGGATAGCTCTGTTAGCCATATGCAAACAGAATACCTACTTCCTTAATTTTTAACACTTTTCTACTTGTATGAAAATGAGTTAGTTGTGATAGAATATTTATACTTTATAAACAGAATACCTATGTATTATAATGTAGTAAAAGCTAAATAGTTGTTAAAATTCAATTCAAAAATATTATACAAAATGTAAATGAAATTTGTATGTAATTTGTGAAAGTTATCAATTAGACTCTTCACATACATTTGTATTACAGAGCAAATAATAATTTCATAAGGAAACATTTAAAATGTATAGAAATATTGAATATAATTTATTATCAATATTACTTTGTCACATATATTGAATTTGTTATTCAAAATAATTTCTATTTAAGTATACCATTCAAGAAAAGGGAATATCTGTTAAGTAGTAAACAAGCATTCTTCAATTGGACTTGCTACAGTTTCTTATCTTATCCAAAATAACAATTTCTAGTGGGGTCAATAACTTATGATTCATCCCAACAGCACTGTTAACAGTATTTGAATGTTGCTAACTAAAAACTGTATGTTACTTTTGTAGTGATCATTTTAAAAATTAATAATAAATGGGATAATGAAATGAATAAATTTTCATATCCCAATCACATGGAGTTATATAGCAAATTATTTTCTAATGTTTAAACTGAACTTGCTTAGCCAATTAAAAGTTTTTATTGTAAAAGTAACCTGTGATACTTTTTTTTATAATCACAGTTTGAAATTGGCAAATAGGTTTTTTTTACTCAATAATGAATATAATATTTGAATGAATATAATCAAGTGAAATTGCTCATGTGCTCTAATTTTTGTTTTGGGAGATGAAAGCAGTGTTATTTTGAATATGATATAATCATTATAATAAAATAACGATAAATTAATATATATTTTTTTACGAGCGTATGTAGCGAATGTAACAAACATAACAAAATTTTTATTAAAATATGTATGACATTTTTTATACTTAGTAGGTACTTAATTTCGACAGGAACGTATATATAAAAGCATTGAAATGTCCAAACGTGACATCCAACTGACGAATCGATTTGAACACGTCTCTACACTGAAATTTTTAAAGAACGATAAAAGCCGAAATACGATCTTTTATAATAAAAAGCAATTTTAATTTCTATCATACAAAAAAGGCTACTTAACTGTTGACATGAAAAACATTATACAGAGTAATGAAATTACACATTTTTTATAAATTGAACATTAGAGAAATTAGTTTTCTTAATAATACGTAATTGAAAGTCTCAGTCGGAGTAGAGAAATTTCGTTATTTTTCTAAGTCTGCAAGTTAGATTATACTCGTGGACGGTTCTCTACGACTTTATTTCTTCAAACAACATCTATTTCAGTCATTTTTGAGAAACTTCATACACTTTCTTTTGTAATTTATTCTTTTGACAGTTTCTTTTAGAATAACAAAATATAACACTTTTGATATCCAGAGAAAAATATAGCCACACGTACAGTACAGTGGCCAGAACTTAACATCGATAACAATGGGTTCCGCATTTTAAAAGCCAAATTTCTAATGATTTTGAACAATTAAATATAAAGATTGTAATAATATCACCAGCTTCTAGTTTAAAGATTAAAGATGAAGTCGTGTTAAAATACGACGTATTTTTGTAACCCTCGCTTGATTATCCGCTGTTTGTATTGAAATATAAATAGATATTCAACATTCGTTAAGGTTTTAACTTTAAAAGTGTGTTTTGTTTCATTCTTCAAGTACAAAATTATGAAAACAAACAAAACAGAAGTAAGAAGCTAGAATAAATTAAATCAAAGCATCAAATCTAACAAAATACGTAATAGTTAAAGTACAAGCGTCTCTATGTCTTTTTGTTTGCAAAACAAATTTAATTTGTTCATAATTATTTCATTACATTTGTTAATAAATGTTAGTATGGGAATAAAAATGTTTTAATACGCTTTTATACATCGACAACATCCTGTTTTATTTTTAGGTTCATATTTGTTTTCAATACTGAATAGTCGACTCCAACCCTTTATCGTAAACTGTAACGGCAAAACAATATCATTGTGCTTACCATAAGTTTGCACCGTGACACTGTAAACAGAGCGTTTCTAGTTTTTCATTCATAAATCTTTGCACATTATAGTATTAGCGTATGTTATTGAATGAAAGACGGGAATCCCTTCGTATGTATCGTGACGATGCAAATACATATGTCCTAAGCATACAGAGCTAACTTATAAACAATTTGTAGTCATCCCTTTATGATAAAACTTTGTCTCATATTCAAAATACATAAAAGGATAATAGCTTAGTCATTTACGAATAATAGTTGTATAAAAATATATAAATTTATTGAAAATGTAATAAAATATTGTGATTTTGGGAGTGTTAAAAGATTATTGTGTTTATTTATTTAATATAATAAAAAAAATCACAATCTTCAACTAAATTGAGCTGAGTTAACGCGTCGAGGGTAAATTACTTTTAGAGGTATTATTAGTTTGTACAAGTTAATAGGACTACAAAGGTCATGTCTACATAACTGACGTCTTAATTAACCAAAATATTGTTTATATTTTGGTTAAAATTTCAAAAATACATAATACATTCACCTAAAACCTAAGTCAATTGTTATGACGATCATGTATTGGTGTTTATTTAGTAGAGTTTCATTTACTGTTATTACCTCTGTAGTTAAATAAAGCTTACAATTAGTACAATAACATCAGAGAAAACTATTCTGATTACTCATTGTACCAGTAAAGGAGCGTTTCAATTTATTTGTGATTTGTGAATATACCTTTCATAATAATAAATAATAACAATCTCAAGGCATTATTTGGTCGCGTCTTAATATCTAAGTAATATAAGTATGTTTTTTTATAATAGAAAATCGCATTATCTAAACTTTATAAATGGTATTGAACTAAAGATTGGATCGTAAACAAATATACGGTAACGTTTCCTTTTTGCATGATTGTCGTCCAAGTTAGATTTATTTGGAATGAAATTAGCAAACTATACAATATAATAAAAGTAACCAAATCTATGATAAACAACGAAGTCATATTTATTGTTTATATATTATATAGGGGTTGTTATACTCCTTCCATTATTAAGTCGTTAATAATATAAAAAGTTATAATTTTTATTAAAAAAATCCTAATATCCTATATTGAGGATTATAGATGCGATGCGTCCTAGTTCTACATTACAAATTTAATTTCTAAATATATACAGTATATTTTCGGAACTAAAGCAGCTGAATTTTTTATATATTATTTAATTTTCAAATAATGATGGTAGGGTTTTATTTTAAGATAAATTCAATTGTACTTTTCGTTAGTTCATAAACATGTTTATTTCCAATAACAAAACATGAATGTTAATGCTCGGTGTCGGTGTGTGCGAGCGGATATAACAAACAATGACGTCATGAACGATCTATTTTTCAGGAGAGGAGTGTCGGTCTGTAAACAGAATGTAAACAGCTCAGAGTGCTCTTGTATAGTATAAATAAAATACAAAGATAAAAAACACTTGAATGTTGGCAAAGGTCATGGTAGCTTATTATGATAACCTAAGAAAGAAAGTATACTTATATTTATTTAATTATATTTGAATTAAAGTAGACAATCGTTTCATATATATTTTTTAAGGTTTATTGATATATTCAGCGATATAAAAATAATGTTCCAGCTATAACAGTTTTTCTTGAAGTTTTATCTAATCAAATTCGTTTCATTTATAATATGTAAATTTGCGTTGGCACACAAAATTCATATTATTGAACTTATTTTTAACGAATATATAACAGTACTATAAAGTACATAAATATTTACACTTCAGTAATTTCCTAAACCTAGTAAGTACTTACATATTTATATCTGATACATGTATGTATATGCACGTGATTATATTAGTATGTATAAAGTGGAGTAGCGTATTAAAGAAGTTATTTGAAAATTTTCATCGGGATATAATATTTACTACCAGAAGTCGCAGCCTTAGAACCCTTGGTAATGAACAAGCTTGAAGTATAGTTTTTGTTTAGTCATATATCCATTGCCTATCAAGAGCTCTAACTTAAGTTATTTTTCTAAAACTAGTCACTATAGTAAAGCAATTAATACAGCATTCATTTAATGAGTTTTCATCAAGTAGGTTAATTTGAATACATTTCTTTAATATGATATATTGTGAAAGGGCTATGAGTCTTCACTAATGTAGGCTCACATCTTATTGGTACAAGTTCGACCCAGATCGAAATCTCGTTTTAAATTTTCTTTTACTTTCTAACAACATGTCGTGAGTAAACAAAATTTTTTGAATTACTTTCGTTTAAACCTTACTTATGATGTCATTTCAATGATAAAGAAAATTTTGATGTTCATTTAATAGCAATTATAATTTTATTTTGACATTTATGTAGTTGTTTTAATGAGAGTTGATAAACCTACAGGTTTTACAGAGAAAAACTCAGTAAGTGAGAATAGTTAGTTATATTATGAATGATTTAAGTAAAAAACTAAAATGATTGTAGAGAGTCGTCCTCAAATACGTGATGACGGGTTACAAGGTCAACAGCTTTCGCTATCGCATTAATACCGACATGTATTTTTATTTCACTTCCTTAATATGAGATTATTGATTAAAATTACAATAATGTGAATACAAGCTCAGCTTAGAAATCTGTGAGAGTTTGTATATGCCGAAATTCGTTAATTGCTTCGATATGACTCATTTTTATGACTGACTTTACAAAGATATTATCTATGTTACACTAATGAAATAAATGAAATTTGAAAGAGGAGTTTTTACGATTAAAATTATATGTAGAATACTGCATTAAAATTTTTACATTTAATTTTTTTTACCGTCGAAAAATGAATAAAATGAATCTTCATAAAAGTATGCTTGTAATTTTATTTCTTTTGTCTGATACAAATATAAAAGTCACGATCTGGCAGTAAGCGCGTTGACCTACATATCTTGAGAGTAATTCTATCTGTAAAATATTATTGATTTTTTATATATATATCGACCTAATATTTTATATTGGATAACTGGAATGAAGAAAATTTATTTAACCAAATAATAGTGTATTTATTATGCATAGAATTTTTTGTTGATTACTATAGGGTGTTTTTTTTAGAGATATACAACTTTAAGTTGCAAATACTTTTTTAACTGGCAGTTATTTTGATAACTGTTCAGTGGTTTGTGTTTAATTTGGTTTGGCAATTCATCATGAATAGACAAACGCCTGAACAACGCCTCCAAATTGTGCAAATTTATTTTGAAAATCATGGCTCTGTTCGAAAAACGTATCGCGCACTACGTCCATTTTAAGGTCCACATAATCGTCCATCAGAATAATTAATTTGATTAACAATGGAACGTTTTCGCACTACATTTACTCTAAATAGTAATACGCATCCACAGAGATGTCGTACAGTGCGTACAGATGTTATTTCTGCTGTGGAGCGTAGCGTAGAAGAAGACCCGAATCAGTCTATCCGCCGAATAATTAGTCCGTACTTCTTTAGAAACGATGCTGGCCAGAACGTTTCTGTCAATGGTGACCGCTACAGAGCGATGATTAGTGACTATTTCGTTCATCAATTAAACAACCATAATGTTCAGGAGTTCTGGTTTCAACAAGACGGTGCAACATGTCATACAGCTTGTGCCACAATTGATTTATTAAGAGAAACATTTGGTAACCGCATAATTTCATGTTTCGGACTCGTGAATTGGCGCCCAAGATCATGCGATTTAACGACGCTTGATTATTTTCTGTGGGGATATGTAAAGTCGTTAGTCTACGGTGATAAGCCCGAAGCCGTTGATCACTTGGAGGATAATATTCGTCGCGTTATTGCCGATATACAGTCACGAATGTTGGAAAAAGTGGTTGAAAATTAGACCTCCAGATTAAACTACGTACGAGCCAGTCGTGGAGTTCATATGCCTGAAATCTTATTTAAATTATAATGAAAGAATATTATCTTTTCAAAATATTATATTTCATATGAATAAAAGAAATCATTTTTGTTTTATTTTATTTCAAAGTTCTATACCTCTAGAAAAAACACCCGTTATAAATGAAAATGCAATATGTGTTGTATTTGATGGTAATAATAGTAATGAAATTGTTTCATTTTATAGATAAAGTTCTACTTGTCAAAAACAATAAAATGTCGATAGAAAGGAGACGTGATTTTGTTTTAGCCACCTTACAGTAATTAAAAATGCAAGAGGAAGTAGCTTCTTTGACTTGTATCGAATTTATTTATACACTAGTTTTTGCCCGCGACTTCGTCCGCGTTAATTTCATCATTAGTAATATATGTATAGCTGACCGGGCGAACTCTATTCCGTCCTAGAGGCCATTAATAATCAGGTTTTTCCTGTTTCAATTGAACAGAATGATTGACATATTAGTTAGTTGTCAAATCTAATGTCAAAGAAAACATTTGTATGGGAAATAGAAAAGGGCTGTTTTTAGGGTTTTCCCGGAAATGAATCAATTTTTCTCACCTTTTAAACCTTCCCTGAACCTCCACGAACATTTGAAGACTAAGATAAGATAAATCCGTTCAGCCGTTCTCGAGTTTTAGCGAGACTAAGGAACAGCAATCCATTTTTATATATATAGAAGATTCTGTTAATTAGTTCAATGTTTAAGATCATTCAAGTATAGTCATGAAGTTGGGGTCTTCAACCACAACTGAAAAATATTTATGTACAAATGGGTTCCGTCTAACTCTATGGAAAAGAAATACAAACCAAGAAATATTATAGTGTAGTTTATTTACCGTTACATTTGCAACTTTACCAGATACATACCCGCACGTAAATAGTTATCACATTTGGCTGGAGATGATTTTACATGGAATTTTTCGGTTGTCAAAGTGCAATTTAGTAGGAATTGCAATTACACCCCAGCCAGAGATGTTCAATTTTCACTTCAAATTTACCTATAAATGAGTTAAGCAAGTATAAGTAGACTAATTGTTATTGATAAGGTACGAAAAGCCTATACATATATAATCCTTTTAATTTTCGAAGTTTTGATTAGACAACATAAAAACAACAAAAATTCAGTGAAAGAAAAGTAAGTAAAAATTTTTTAACCAAGAAAGCTTTAATTAACACAATCTTCCAATAGCGGTATTTTTTTGGCATAAATTGATAACAAAGGACTTGGTATATTTGTATTGGAAACCGGTCAAGAGGATTGGATGCCGGATAGGCCGGATTTTGGACCCGTTTCCAGATCGTAATCCCTAAATTGATACAGCTCACTGATTGAAATTCTAAAAAAAATGTGCCTCGAGTTGCAAAAATGTGTGAGTTAAATTGAGACCATCCATTTAACGTTATTACTTAATATGAAATATATTGGTTGGGGTTGGACAGTCGGTGTATTTAAAATAAATTTAATCTCACTCTGTATTTTCGAATTTTTCTCCAAGATTTTTTTTGATACAAAAGAATTTAAATACTTCTTCATTGCAGTTTTCGTGAAAATACTCTTACAGGAATTGTGACTTAGTTAAGCGAAAGTTTATCAGATCCAACATAATTGACAACTTCATTATTAGAATTTCATATCAACTTCAAATCTCAATTTGTTAGTCTTCGAAAGATTATCACATCAATTAAGAATTATAATCATCTCTATATAAAAGCAAAATAAAGAGTTTAATTTAATTTAAATCAATTATGTTAAAGTACAAGTCATGTAATAATATGCAAAGATACTATTTTATTGTAGCCAATACATTAAACTTTTATCTATGATACGCGTATTACGGTGGCATAATTTACAGAAGAACTAGAAAAGATAATGACAAGTAACATTTAGGCAAATGGCATAAACTTGCAAGTAGGTAATTATCTTGGTGGTCTGTGACTATTCATAATGATTTCGAAATATCTTTTACATAATAACATAAACTTTTTGGTTTAATAAGATCATATAGCAATGAAAAATATTATAAGATTACCTTTTTGTGTAAGTCATGTCACGACATGTAACGAAATAGAAGGAAAATGAGACAAGGTCGTCCGGAAATATCTTATCAATGATGCATTGACTCACATGAATTATTATAAAAATATTTTGTTTCATTTCATATGTTATTTACATTTTAAAATAATGTATTTGTAACTGCAGTCCACAATAACCGATAACGTGAGTGTAATGTTTCTCATATGAGGGTATATACAGTTTATTTTTCAATTCAACAGAACAAATATAATTTTATCTTCTGAGCATGAAATATTGATACAATTAATGGAATTCAAAGCTTGTGTATATATAAAATTAAAAACAAGTTTGTCATTATATACTTATTAAATTGACCGGGATGAGGTTGAAACATGTTTGATATCGGTAAAATTCTTCTTATTTAAAAATCAATGACATACTTTTCAGTCAGTAGTAACTTAGAAAGATATGTACTGTAACCTAGTTTCTGTCTTAACTTGCTTTAAATAGACTTAAATATTACTATACTTTAATGTGCACTAAAGTCTAAAATTCCGTCTACTCTTTGGAAAAATATAAACAAACTCGACATAGTTAATTTATATAAAGTCTCCATATGGGAAAGACAGAATCATTTTATAAGTGAGCAATACAAATACATTGCAGTGAATGGGATTTATTTAGCGTCAGTGGCTCAAACAGGGGGGGAATAGATAAATGGCAAGGGAGACAGATGTTCGTACCTCCTTTGAATGGCTCGTGGAAGCCATTGTGGACTGGTCGCAGTTCAAAAAGAACGGTCTTGTTGTAAAAAAACGGGGTCAGGGGCTGGGTTTAAAAAAATAATTGAAACTTTGCAGTGAATACACGAGATTAAGGGCTTTCAAAACGAGAATGGCAATAGAAAAGATTACGTCGTTTTATTCACTTGCATGATACGTAATAATTTTCTTCTTTTGTTTCAGACCCTGGATTTTGATCGCGATGGACTAACAAAGCTCAAAAAAGCAATAAAAGCCATACACAACTCAGGGAATGGTACGTATTTTTGTCGAAGTATAGATCTGTTGGTTTCGTTTTGACAATAGATTTAAAATTAATCTCACGTCTACAATACGACAATACGCATAATAGCCATAACTCGATCCGTGTCTAATACAAGTCAGACGAAGTTACGGTTTATTTTTGTCTGATGTGATATGTCGAAAAAGTTATTAGGTACGGTGCGTTCGTCTTCTGAATATTTAAATGCCATTGGGATAAAAACAGCGCTCTTAATGAAAACGTTTCAGACACGTGGATATTAGGTTGATGTTTCTCTGAGCGATAATATGGGATCATCCGAAAATAACTATGAAGGAAGTTTTATGAATAGAGTTCTTAAAATATTCATGCATTCGTGCATGCAGGAAGTAAAGTAAAAATGTTTTGCATCCTCCAAAATTATTTTAAACAGCTCGATTGGTATGATGCTTCATTTGTGTTGATAATTCATCTAAATTTATCACTAGTTACATATTGGCTGGTTTAAAACCCAAAAAAGGTTTTAAAAGTAAAAAATGTCTAAAAGTTTTCTTACTCTCATTCTTCCGATTTGAATACATATTCGGAAAACTGTTATGGCAATTCATAATTTGGTACTATTCCATTATATTTCAATTTATATTCCTTTAATCGGTACCGAAAACATTTGAAGTAACTTCTCTTGACTTACTTTAAAATTATTTCATTCATTTACAATGTAAATTTCAATTTTATACATGAAAATCATATGTGAATCTAGCTTGCTGGTTCCTGAACTAGATTATCATCAATTGAATGTTCGCATCACATATATAACTATAAAAGGTTAAGTTGTTGGTCAACAGCGTTTTCCCTTTATATGCGGTTAAAGGAAAGTGTGTCGCTCGGTGTCTTATTTCGTTTGCCACTGTGTCGACCGGTGTCCACATTTCTGTGCATTCTAAACACGCTCGCTGTGTAACCTTACGCTTTAGATATGACCGCTTAAAACCCTCGCTTGGTTGACTCTAACATGTAATGGCGGCTTGAAATTTATTTGCAACGATCCCTTAGCTTATTTTGCTGTAATATCTTTTAACCCGCTGTTTTATTTGTATTGTAATGCCATTTGTGAGTATAACCTTCATCATCATGACTTCGTACAGCAAAATGAAATGAAATGTTTGTTTAGAAATTTGTTTTATAAGAAAATACGTTGTGCTCTGTATTTTATTACGAGATTATTTTTTTAATAATTTATTCAATCAAATCATAATATAATTTTGATATGTGTGTCAATACGTTGGTGAACCCATTAATAATATTATAAAAACTTTCGCTTTTAAGCTAAGCGCTATTGGTTCGGAGTTTATTGACATCGCAATACCATCGCGTGCAAAGATTTGTTTACCGCGTCTCAGTGGGACTGGTCATACGGGTTCTGGTCGCCCGCAGCCGGCAAGGTCGTGTGCGCACGCGCTGCAAAAACAACCAAACAATAGAACATTCCTCCAACGTGATGTAGCTGTTAGCGATATAAAACATCAATGATCCCGTCTTACATACGGAATAGAATAATCCTCAAATATATCCCGTTTAGATGTTGGATAACAGCCAACGGAATTTACTTTTCTTCTTGTTCAATGAGATATAAGTCTATTGTATCTTTGTTAGTTTTTTCACATCAAAGTTATCATTCTTTTTTTGGATATTCATTTATTTAATTGCACCTAAATAAATTTATGAAATGAAATAAATTTTATATAAATTTAAAATTATATAGGTATGTATGTAACATTAGAGACGAGTTTATAATCCATTGATTGAATTCTAACAAACTTTTAATTCTTCAATATGCCAGGGCTTTTGGAAAGTTGTTATTTTATAGTTCTAATAATTTGCATAAAGAACTTGAATATTATTTTATAATTTATAATAAATATTAAATCTTAATTCTGGTTTTTAACGATTACGATTTCTTAATTTAAATTTAAACCGAATCAACCAGCGTCTTCATACAGCCAACAAACTTTTGAAAGTAAATTTGAAATATTCAATTTGTGTCGCCTTAATGTAGAAACTTATTTAGCTAGTTGAATATTACAAGACTTAAATAAATTTTCACTTCTATAGCTTTACACGAATAAGGTTTACTTCGTTGCATTTGATGTTCTTTTGAAGTTTGTAAAAGGCTGGGTCCTCGTTTACTTCATACAAAGTTTTGAAATGAATTTTAAGTTTCCGCCCGAAAATTGAAATGCTGGGTGCTTGTGTTTATTTCATGCTCCCGGCAAGGTTCTATAGACACAAACAACACTGTGTTGTTACTTTCGGGATAGTATCAATTTCTCTAATTTGTGAAGTATTAGAATGCTTGTAAGTTGTATGTATATTTTATATTAACTCACCTTTTAGTCCTTGACGTCCTCCTTCTAAATTTCGGAGTCAGAGAGAGTTATGTTTTTGTTAGACCACGTTTCATAGTGACTTATGTTTTCTTCGAAGTTTTATGAACGACTTCGAATGTAATAGTATTCTGTGTCCATCTCCTGGTTTTAAACTATCTCCCTAGCAATGTATGGCCAAATCGTTACAGAAATTCTCGAGTTATATAGTATAACTAACACGACTTCATATATATATAAAGATTAAAAGAAATTGTCTATATATTCTATGTAAATACTGAATCTAACATAATTTTAGCTTATATATTTGTATATATGTTTGATTTTCATATTAATCCCATTGAATTTCAAAATCCCCTAACACGTAGCCTTTAGTAATGGGTTGTCAAACATATAACTTTAAGCTTAACGTCACATTGTAAAACAGTATTCGTAACGATAGTTACAAAATCCTGGGTTTAAGTCCACAGACGCGGAGTCATGAAGCCAGCGTACATTGTAATGGCTTATGGATTACTTGTTACCGTCAGTATTATACGATTGTCTGACATTGTGCAGGTTCGATAAACTTAATACTATAATCTTATAAAACTATGAAGCGGTCTCAAATTGATTTGCTTTGAAGCAATGGGACGTTTTTCACTTTTATATATTATGTTATTGTTGCTAAATACTTACTGTTAACATCGTCATTTATTGAAGAGTAAAGACTGAATGTCTATCGACTTAGAAAATTTTAAATAAAAACCTAGCCCTGGTTAAGGAAAAAATAGCGCTAATGGTACAAATGGCTTTATTAATTCAAAGATACAATACATTTAAATCTCTCTTGCAATGAAACAAGACGATACTTTTCTGATTAATGATGACTTTAACTATTAAAAAAGCAAAATATTAATTATAAAGTCTCTTAGCAGGCAATATATCGGGAGATATTTTTAGCCCATGGTAAAATTAATCGTAGTATGTAAATAAATGTTCTTGATTTTGTAATATGTCTCTCAAATTTGTTTATGCAGCCCACGTGGATAATGAGATGTACCTCTCCCGGGCGTTGGAGCGTCTCGGAGGAAACGCGCTCAGCAAAGATTCGGAACCCGACATTGGAGCCGCTTTCTTCAAATTTGCGGTCGTCACCAAAGAACTTTCAGCACTCATGAAGACACTGGTGAGTATTCTTAAAACTATTAATTTTTGTTAGAAATTATAGTATAAAACTATATTGTTCCTGATTTTATTTTAAAAATCGTCTTTAAACTTAATAAGGAACTATTGGAGGAAAATTTTATACATTGTAAGCCTTAACAATTTAATACCCAAATGCGCTCAAGATAGCTTCCACGAACGAAATCTCCTATAAAATAGTCCGCAGTTTATTTCTTGGAAAACGAGCTGGCGTAATCAAGTGAGATCGTTTGCAAGGATGTTGCTACGGAAGAGATATTAAAGCAACTTAATTTCATCTGAAATATTCGAGAAATCTTTGATCTCTGAGGGATAAACGATTACATAATAGATTGTATGTACATATGTATTCATGAAATACACGGTATACTAAATAAATAAGATAGAAAGTAATATATTAAAAAGTATAATTTGATACAATAATAATTTAGTTATGATGTATCTGTATAAGTATATTATAAGATATTTCACATAGATTTGGTTCAATGAACCAAGTCGCTGTGAAATAACTTACCTCTCTTAGTCAAACTAAATGTAGCAATCATATCTAAAGTTCGCGGTTTCCCAAGTCCCCAAGTAATTTGACACGGAAATTATATTATTGGGGGGATGCAGACGTAGCGACTGTATCGTCTGGAGAAATTACTTGCAAATTGACACTAACAAGTTTGATGATATTGTATTATGGAATGTAATGCAACTTAATTTATTGATGTGATACCCTTAGGAAATGCAATGCGGCAAGAACATGTTAATATTCAATGTTGTGTATGAAAATCTCCTTTTTCATATTCGTGTTTTAATGCTGAAAAACCCTTAAGATAAGAGGCATTCAATTTGCAAAAAAGATGTTTTGTTCTAAAAACTACATAATATAAGCCTTATCTATAATAGGCAAAAAATTTTAAAAAATTTTTTTGCTTGAAATTATAATTATATATCTCAAACATAATTGAATTCCCTTACTAAAAATTAAATATTATTTACATACGTATATTTTAACAAATATTAAATTTCTCCTAATATTATATGAAAAATTTTTTTTTGCATATAAATTTCATATCAAACTATGTGTGAACTAATTTGCATCTTGAATTCGTTCACAACTTTTGGGATTCGCACATAAACTTTCGCATGCATAGTTAATTAGAATGGGTGAATGTGACTTTTTCTTTATCTAAAATAACACATAATATATGGCTAAGTCAATTTGCACTCTGAATTCAGATAATGCAATATGTAAAGATAGAAAATAAAAGATAAGATATAAAATTCTATCTGGATATTCAAACATTTTGAGAACTGAATCGTAAAATACAGATTATTTTCGTCTATCTGGTTATTAAATTTCGTGGTACGGAGGCCTTTAATAGTTTTGCACATTACCCGTGACGTGATGCGTAGGCGCAGATTGTTGATGAATATAGGTCATGGTAGCAGGGATTTAACGACAGGTTTATTAGATTAGATCTATCTATACTTTCATAATACAAGGGCTAATTGCATGAAACAATACATAACTTTTAATTTCTATATCAGAATTGGTCTCAAAGAATAATGTGTTCCTAGAAAAAAATACCTATACGTATATTGTATAGTAAGCGAAACAACAACGGGAAATGATTATTCTTTGTTCCCGTATGACCTAAATTTTATTAAGTCAAAGTAAAAATCATTCTGCGAATGTTGCTCGAAGGAGTAACAAGATACATACCTACAAAATTTAGTCTTTATAGTATTAGTAAGGATGAAAAATTTATAAATATCACATTTTCTTCTTATTATATTTACCTTAAAATGTTGGGCGTTATTTATTAGGTCAGACATCCTTGCTCTAGTTGTATGTCGAAACATCGTCCCTCGGGACTGCGCAGAATCCTCGACCTGACCTTGACATCACACAATGCTTTATCCTTCTCGTACATCGAATTTATTCTCTATAAACATGTGGTAGCCGTAATGATTATCAATACATGAATCTAAGACTTCGTTCATGTATGAGAAGGTTTAAAACTGAATTTATTTTGTTTGTTTATTCTTTATTACTATGTGGAATTGTTCTTAAATTATATATACTCTGATGTTAGTAAAAAATAGTTCGAACAATTGGACATCAAGTGAACAACAAAGATCTCATGACACTAGATTTGCATACAATGGTCTAATGTCGCGTGCTCTCAATTAGATCTGCGTTCATTGTTGTACGTTGCAATTACTTTATGTGCTCAAAACATTTATAGTTTAGATTAATTTACATTGTTTCAGAGATTGTTTAAGTATAATGTGCTAGCGACTATAAACAACGCTTACGTAATTGATTATTCGGATTAGAACAAAGACATTGATTTCCTTTAGGGATGTCCTGTTATTATAAGGACACGCGTATAAACATATACATTCGCCTACCCACACTAACAAATATGCACACACGTACATTCAAACACACTACATATACACTAGAAGCACGAAAGTACACATACAGGCACTCACACATTCTTTAAAAGTATAGTTATACCGAAAATACCTCATAATATGATAATGAATTATAAAAAAATGTATGAAATTTATTATTACCTAAAACAAATAACCATGTTTTTTATATCTAACCTGTTATTCGCCTTCATTGTATACAAAGAGGATATGAGGGTTACCTTATTTGCATTCAAATTACTTTCGGATATCGATTTTGTTTCTCAACAAAGATATGTTTTAATGTCTCAATAACTGTCCTTATACACTTACATCATACATGTTAAAGAAGTGTTTAACATAAATCAATGTTTTTTATTTAATAATAATATAAAAATATATCGCTAGATATGTGTAATTGAAAACTTAACTATTTGTTGGTCGAATATCGTAAATATGTTAAATTAATTTTTGTTTTCGAAGCAATTTTCTTGATATGAGTTAAGGGTAATCGGTGAGGGCGTTTTCATTAAATAATAATCTCCAGTTGAGAAGAATTAGGTCAAGGATATCTTACAAGTTTACTGTAGTCGACTGAAGAATAAGAAATTTACTTGGTTTTTTTATTAAGATTAATAATACGAAGATGTAATTATATAAATAAATTAAAACCAAACTTTTTCAGTACCTTTAAAGACACTTTTACTCGTTAGTATGTTATGTAATACAATTAATTTAATTTTTACAGTAACAAGACATTAAATTAAAGTACATAAAAGCAATGTTGTGTATAAAAAAGGTCAAGCTTGTATAATATGTATAATTCCTGTAATTATACATAAATCTGTAATAAACCGTTTCGTATTGTTATTTGTATAATGCCGTTCCGAGACAATCGTCAAACGATTGTTTTCCATTTTTATATAAAACTACGCTTGACACATTTTCTTGCTCGGCTTTGAATGTCGACTTAACGTTAAGTACTTGGAGGTTTTAAAATAAATTCATATATAAAGTTTGAAAAAGAAAATCTAGGTGATGGCATACATTTTTTTTTAGTAAAATAATATTTGAAAGCATTGATAAAATATTCAATGATTCAGAAACTATCGTCTTTGTAAGCGATTATTTTTTGTTAACATTACCGAGACGAAACTAATCATAGTTTTTGTCTGCTGTCTGTTTGTATGGAAGATATTAAGAATTGTTACAAAAATTTTAAGTAATTTATCAAACAAATTTACAAATATTCTTACACTATATAAAAAGTAACTTACACTATAATACAAGAACAGTACAACATAGCTATGAGAAATTGTTCCTTATAATATTCCAAATGTTACCATTATAAATTTGGCGATTCGAGTGAATAAATTTTCAATAATCGATATAGCTTTCCGATACGTCGAGCACAATAGGCTTTTCTATTTCCTTTGTGAGTCTCCGAGTATATTTTTATTCTATTCCTATTTATTCTTATCCCATCTAGACATCTGTCGGTCGATTGGTTTATATTTAAGAATCGATTTCTAATAAAACTAGCTCAACTCTACCATGAATTCTTTATTTATATACTATTAATAGTTATTTATAGTTATTCGATCTTGAAACTAACTTTTATTTTGAGGCTATCCCATTTCTTTGTGGGTTATTGTCAGTAAACGAAATATATACGGGTGCTTCTTTTCGACTTTGTCGAAGGTTGAATGTCTATATCGGGTTTTCTTATTTTTAACTGAAATCAATAATTCTTTTTAAGAGTAAGCTAAAATTTTAATGTCCGTTTATCAGACGAGTAAAGGTGTTCATAACATCCCTACTAATATTATAAATGCAAAAGTAACTCTGTCTGTTTGTCTGTTTGTTACGCTTTCATGCCTAAACCACTGAACTGATTTTAATGAAATTTGAAAGGTTCTCTTGAAAACGCGATATGACCGAACTCACCGCGGGCTAAGCTGCGGGCGGAAAGTTAGTTATTTATATATAATCTAAAATCTATTAAATATTACACCAACAATTATTGTTAGACATTTCAATGTCAAATGTAATTCTTTCATAAAATTTAACAAACACGTATTAGTATCCGTATAGCGTATTAATTACTTGGTCAATGGCCCTTAATGACGTCCCGCAAGGGTTTCATTTTGAAGACCCTCTGCCCCTGTCGTGTCGTTGTGAGTGGCCTTCTTGCTCCATTGATTACACAATTAACCCCTTGTAATGTTCATTATACACCCTTTAGCTTTTATTAAACCTTTTTACAAATTGATACGTTCGGTGTTTTTAACTGTGTTTTAATCTGACGCGGACGTTTCGATTCTCACAATTGGGTTTTTGAAAAAAAAAAGTATTGATTTTTTTTATGTATTTTAAAACTTTATTATTAATTATATTGGATTTTTAATGCAAAAAACTTGAAATATTTTTTTTTAATTAATTATAAACAATTAAAAATTGATAAAATTCAAAAATATATCACGTGACTGTAAACGCGCCATGATTGGTCAGCATACTTGTGACGTCATAATGTTAAAGCAATTTCATAATAGTACAGTGTTTATGGCTATTATCTTTAACTTGATAAAAATATCTCAAATTTAGTAGTGAAAAACGATTTGAAAAGTTTATTCCGACTAACTATGTGTGATAAAGGATTTATAAAAGCAAAATCGGATAATATTCCTGATGATGATATATTTATGATAACTATTTTTTTTTAAAATGACGTTCGGTTTAATTCTGCTGAAGATCGAGGTGATAAGGCATCGAGGTAAGTCTGTTAAAAAATACTATTCTAAATGAAAATAAGTATTTATTCTCTATTAAATATAATTAATAATTATTTCATTAAATCATTATTAATAAAATGTTATTATAACATTATAAAAAACCAAAATAAAAATAATAAAAACTTTAAAAATTTAAATGTAGTCTGATACAGAACCTAGAATGTTATAAAATTATGAAATTATCTATTAATTGAAGTCCAATTATTAGACAAACATACATAAAGATTTACTATTTAATCGCTTTGAATTATCAATTAAAAATTTTTAGTGCTACGATTCTAAAGGTTATGATTTGGAGCCCAGGTAAAAAAATTAATTATTGAACTATACTTATTCGATTTATACACTTAGATAAATAATAATTAATAACAATACTATTATGAATACTTACAACGAAATGATCTTCACAACAAAAAAATGATTTTGTTTTTGAATAATCTCGATGCACTGCTTGAAACCATTTCTTTCGACGTTTTTCGTCTTGTGGAACATTTAAAAACATTTTTTCAGGAGTTGTTTTTGTAGTCTTTGTACATAATGGTACAAAACTTTTGATTATTTAACAATGCCAACAGAATTTACTAGATAAAAACTCAAAACACTGTACTAATTATTATATCCCTGTATGCTACAATGAGCAAAAACTAACATTGTGACGTCACACGCGCTCGGGTTTATTCGCGAGCTGTCGGCGGATCTTCGGTACTGAATTTAAAATTTAATTTTTATTTTGATATAACTTTTTAATTATTGCAAAAAAAAATAAAATAAAAATAGTTTTGTTATAAAACTTATATATGATCTTTACATTTATCACAAAAAAAAAATCAAAAACCCAATTGTATGCGTTATTGTAACATTTACAATAATTACGGTGTTCTTTATCTACATTGAAATACAATTTTAATATTCTATATTTGTGAAGTATTTTTCTGTTTTATTGTATCAATTTTATTTATTTCTCATACTACGTTGCCAATTCTATATGTATATTTATTTTCTATTGTCTAATTTAGTATTTATCAGTGACCTCGTATGTAAATTGTGTCAATGTTGTCTAACAGTGATAAACACTCAGTATAAGCTATGTTTTTCGTCCACACGGCCGTTACATTTGCAACCAAGCGGAACCTTCTAACAAAATGCTGTGAGGCAATTTTAGTGTACTGTTGAAGACTCGACACTTGAGGAATGTAGGCGTTTTGCAACAAAAACTGAATACATTACAACTTACATTGCATTTCTTAATGACGTTTTGTCTACAGCTCGGTTCTGTGTTTTATATTTCGTTCTGTTTTTTTCTTACAACTTCCAATGAATCAGCTTTACATTATGCCTTTGAAGAACGTTATTACGTTGTCATTCAGTCGTCATTATACATTTTTTTTATGTACAACCGATGATTTATATTTATTTTGTATGACAAAACACAAATGTTTTTTAAAATTTAAATATTGACAGTTTAATGATTTGGAAATTGATATAAAATATTCATAATACTGGTTATTTTAATTGGAGATATCAATCGTTTTAGTATTTTTGAATATTGTAACACTTACGTATTAATGAATTAATTCATTGAATAACAATTTTCTTAAAAAAAACGAAAGTTTTATACGTATTAATCTGAGTACAATTATATGATTTGATATATATATTATATAATAACATAAGATATTTGCTAAATTAATATTATATATAACTAATGGGCTTATATTGTCGTTTTATTATTTAAATTTATATCAAATTATGATAGCCTTTATGATAAGATCGTTTTGTTCAATGGAAAGGTGTTGTGTAGTTCCAATATTGAAATTATGCTGCAAGTTCTTTCCTGCAACTTACCCTTCGCAACCGGATGGTCTTGCTGAAAGAAATATATACATGTATATATTTTGGTAGGTGTGTTAGTTTGCTTAAGCTAAGATTTGTAAATGGAAATGTGCTCTTACCACGATATGTATGTAAAACAGCGAATGAAACTGACAAATATATACATTCATCTCAAAGATATTCCCTTTTATACTGTATGGATATCCCTTAAAAGATGATTTATTTAAAGTAGTAAGAGATTTTAAATGAAATAATATTTTTCGGATATACTACGCGACTTTACCGTGATAACGGTTGCTGAAAAATTGCCGAAACGTCGAGAGTACATATGTAGTTTTTATTAAAATTAAGTCGCGTAGTATTTCCGAAAAATATTAGTTCATTTAAATGAATAGAACTCGCGAACATCTTAGTAAGAGATTTCTCAAGTGAATTACTATTGTCCTCAGATGCAAAATATAAACAATATAGTGATGTTCCCTGTGGATAGTCTCTTGAAGGGTGATCTCAGAGGTGTGAAGGGTGACTTGAAGAGACCATTCGATAAGGCATCCAAAGACTACGAGTCAAAGTACCTGAAGATTGAGAAGGAAAAGAAGTCACAAGCTAAGGAAGCTGGCCTCATAAGGAGTGAAGTTACATCGGCTGAGATAGCTGATGAGATGGAGAAAGAACGAAGACTGTTCCAGTTGCAAATGTGTGAGGTAAGATAAGACTTAGTAAATTTTTATCTAGATTTTAACTATGCTCATAATTAGATACTTTATTACCAATTACTATGCTGCCTATCTTATTTTTGTATAAGTTAAGGTATCCGATTTCTTAAATTTCATTACTCCTTAATTCTCAGATATTTTTTATATCGTAGCAAAGAAATTCCAATTAATATTAATGCCGTATTTTACGTTTTATTCATACTTATTGGAATGTAAAGAAAATTATTTACAAAACCTCGTAAACCTTTTAAAGGAAACTAGGTTAGGGGCTTAAAGCCTTTCTGTTTCTTACACTCTGAATTTCCATAAAATATACGTTCTTTACTCTGAATTTATTGGAGTTTATTTCTAAATAAACAGTTTCTTTTATGAATATAACATTAAAAAATATTATATAATTAATAAATCTTAACGTAATATCATAATCTTTTCATAGAATCAATGTTTATAACTTGTATGTTAAGTGACATATAAAATGTATGCAATTACTTCCATCGACTGGTCTATATCCATACGTATGTTGTCAATGAGGTCATACTTTTATTAATATATTTTTATATACATATATGGGTGTGAACATCGTGGAGAGTACGGTGATTGACCGACCTCAGACAGATCAACTTGTCTCGTCCTTGATACAATTCACTATCTCCTTCATTTTTATTATATAATCTTATCGTTTTATTCGCTTTAGCAAACAAAAGTGCATGTGATAAATTACGCTCTATAGTAGAATATTTATATTTACGAATAAACATATATAAAATGTGAAACTGATTACATGGATGAATTAAAAGGTTTTTTTAATGTACTATTTTGATATTCTTTAGAATACCTCCACTTCGTTATACTTTCGAATACGTTGTCACAAATTTTCTCGTTTATAAAATTTATGAATACTAGTATTGTTTCATATAAATCGTGTCTTTTGCATACAAACTGCCATTCAATTCGATTCGATGTAATTGCTATTATGAAACACATTTATATTTATGCCAGTAGATTGTTATTGACATAGAATTCCTTTGTATAAATAAATACAATTAAAATGCACTTGTACAATAGAATTCAATGATATAAGCCGATCGCTGGCATTGACATTGGTTAACAGTTATTTTGATAGTATCATGAGTGTCTCGCACAATGTATATTTCGATGCCAAGACTTTATTGTAACATATGAAACAACGTGCATTTGTCGCTTGCGAAATGTATGCGTTTCAGAATGTCAAATAGCGTAGTATCTGTGTCTGTTAAGTATGCTTGTACATTGGACTAGCGGGTACTATTTCACAACCAGACTGCAGTTGATTGTTTGAAAGCTTGAAATTTTAAACGTGTTATAGATATATTTTTACGATCGTAAACGTTTTTCGTTTATTTATCCAAATTAAAATTAGTAATGTCCATGTTTGGTTTAGTTTTTAGGAATAATTTAATTTTGTTTTAAATAAACATTGATTTGGTCTGAAACTAATTGGAATACAACATGTACGGTATCGATTTAATATATAAGTGGTATATATCCGTAGACTTGACGGTAACTTATAAATTATAATAGTTTACTGCTACCTTTTGAGTGAACCTGGTGTGACGTTGATGCGCTCCGGTGACTTCATTTCCTGGTGAGATTTGATCATACCCGTTTCATTATGACGAGTTTAAATACTTTTTAAACTATATTTTTTATAGCTAAATCTAATTGATATTGAAAAGTTTGGAAAGCAGCGTATCGAATTCGATAGTAAAGGGCTGCAGCCAGTGATTGGCGCAGTAATGAAATAAGGAGTTGCTGTAGTTAGTGCGGTACCGTGGCGTGAGGTCATCGACCGGCCTTGCGCAGCGCAGGGCCGAAGCCGGCTCGTCTTGACCCTTGCTTTGTTCTATCACTTCCACGGAAAACACAGAACAGCCCAGGCTTAGGCTCACCTTAGACCAGAACTAAATTCTAACCGTTGACCAAAAGTTTAGATCAAAGTAATTTAAACATTTTTTCTAACTAGATCTGCATTTAAAAGGCAATAAACATTCAATTCAAAGATGGGCAGGCAACAGATGTCATAATGGTTTTAGACGGGCGTTGAGACGCCAAGACGTTTCTGCAAGGTCGTCTTAATATTGCACAACTGTAATACATATACCATTCAGATTTACTATAGACTGATGCTCGTGCGTCATCATACGTATATTTAGCTGACGGAAGGACGCGTAATTTGTGTTTCTACAGGGAGATTCCTGTTCGCTCTAATTCCACTACATATTTACGGCGTCAGTGGACATTTTTACGCTCAGTTTTCGGGCGTCACTCTGTCTATTTGATATCGTTGGCTTAGATTAACCTTTGTTTTTCCAGTACCTGATAAAGTTTAATGAAATAAAAACGAAGAAAGGCATAGAACTGCTTCAGCACCTGGTGGAGTACTATCACGCACAAACTAATTATTTCCAAGATGGTTTAAAAACTATCGAACACTTCGGTGTGTACGTAGCCGATCTCAGTGTTCAGTTGCAGAAGATAAGACAGCAGCAAGACGACGAGCGAAGAAGATTATTGGAGTTGAGGAATATGTTGAGAGCAGCTACACCGCAAGATAGAGAAGTGAGTCATTGATTACAATAACACATTATTCGTGATTTTAATCTAACGGTATTGAAACGTTGTTCTGTCTGTCCATATAAGGCGGCGGCTGCAGTGGGCGGATATTCACTTCACCAATTACAAGGCGACAAACAGCATGGAGTAACACGGAGCGGTTACCTTCTTAAAAAGTCGGAAGGTAAAGTCCGAAGGGTCTGGCAAAAGAGAAGATGCAGAGTCACGGCTGAGGGTTTCTTGGACATATTCCACGCTGACGAGAATAAAACTCCGGCCAGGGTCAATCTGCTTACGTGCCAGATAAAAGTGGCCTCTGAGGATAAAAGGGCGTTTGATCTAGTCTCATGTAAGTAGAAATTTAATTTAGGTATTACTCCCTATCTCCCTAGCTACTATGGTTCACATGACATACAATTTTTTTATCTTTCTTTCTACTACACCTTTTTATTTGTGTTACATAAAAAATATATGTATGTTAGGAAAGTATGACAATACCGAAGCAAGTAGTTTTATTTTTATTTTGACTTAATATAGATTTTTTAATGAAACATCCAATTTTTATTATTATTCATATGTACTTAGATTCATTTTTTGTATAATTATTTTAATTACGTATACCTAAGCACTGAGCAATTCATCATTAGATGGTAGTATCGACTATTTTTCATATCTAAAATATTAGTATCATTGACAAAATGCAGCTGATAAGACAGGTGATTGTGTTGAACGATAATCCTTTTATAATTACGTAATATTTTTTTTCATTTCACATCACGTGTTTGATAATGTCTGTTCGTGATTCATTATGTAAATTGTTCTGTCTGTTACAAAGTACCTTGAAGTGACACGATAGTTTTGATGTATATTTTATAAACGATTAAATATTAACTATTTATATAGATTTTTATTATTGTATGGGTATTTCGATGAGACCTTTTATAACGATGTCAAATATTTCGACTAGTACATATAAATACGTAAATAGTAAATAAAAGTACATTTTCAAATTTTCGTCTCACCCTCTTCATTACGGTTACTGAATTTTGAACTAAATTAGGTTCAACATATAATTTTAATACGCCAGTTAAATTAAAAAACAATAAGTTTATTTTATTTACTATTTTGTGCCTTAATATTTTATATACTAAATAACATTTATACGCCAATTAAATTTAAACAATACGTTTATTTACTACTACTAGGTGCTCTAATATTCCATATACATAAAACATTATATATACATACCTACAATTAAAAAAATTATTTTGTTTTAAGCGTGGATCTTCATAATATGTATATCTTAACACAGATAATCGTACGTACCATTTCCAAGCTGAAGATGAGAACGAACAGCGAACTTGGACATCTGTTCTCGTGAATTGTAAGGAGGGAGCTTTGATGAGGGCTTTCCACCAGCAAGCTGGCGAGAGTAATGACAATGGACACTCTTTACTCGATCTTCAGAGATCAATCATAAGAGCAGTCAGAGCTATGCCAGGAAACCAAGTCTGCGCTGACTGCGGCTCAACTAATGGTAAAATTAACAAAAATATATATACCTAGTCTTGATATATATTACTTCATTCAGGTTTTTGCATTCTAATGCATTCTATATAGAGGAAAATATGTTAATAAGTATAACAGAATAACTAGTTTTAGATATAATGATGGTGTGATTAAAATGAACTGCTGTAATATAAAGGTGCTTGTAATAAAGTGTATGGAATATTTCGTAAAGAAAATATTGAAAAGTTTATGTGATGAGACTCTATTGATATTTTCTGTCACATGTTCAATTTAGATATTTATTTTAAATGTTTTTTTTACAATGTTACATAGATTACGTTTAAACTTTTATGACTAACCGTTTTTATTGTCGACTAAGGATTTTATGCTCTACTAAGTTAGATAGGAAATTATAAAAAATGTTGTGCTGTTTTCTGCAACAACGATGGTAGTTTAGCTTTGCACGAACCGTAGGAACTTGATCGAAAATTAATTCGTTGAAGGATGAGCTTGGCCTTGGTTGCTTTGTCTTTACACCTACTCTGCACCCTACTGTAATGTGACATGCAATAGATAGAAGAAACAACTTAGGGCGTTGTAACAAATATTTCACTCTAAAAACTCATTCATATAAAACAAAATCATAAAGTATATTGTATAGTTATAAAAACAACAATTATAAATTTCTATTAGTTGAGTCACATCATAGGTGTCACTTACGAAATCATTATACCTTATAAAAGATGCATGAATCACGCTTCCTCTCGACGTAAAAATTACACGCATGCTGTAGCATTATGTTAATGAATTAATATACGCCAATATTTTATAATCGCAACACTAATGAACCAATTATGTAATTATAAGTACGTAATAATGAAAAACGAACACTTTTCGTATTAATACAAGTTTCAAAATATGTTATTATTATTATTGGCATAACTAATCCAATTTGAGTACGTCAGGAAGTATACGGGATATATTCTGTGCATCCTCGTGTTACCGGATTCGTTCTAGTTTATAAAATACGATCGATGTTTCCAATATTTGAACTTCCATTTATAATTACATTTGGAACAGAGTTCTATTTATACGTTTTCAAATTTAGAATATCAATATGTTGGCGGAGTGGTTTCTTTCGTATTCGATTTTTAAAATAGCAAACATGCTAAGCTAAAATGACAAAAACTGGTAAATATCTAGTAGTAACAAAAAAAAATTATTATTTTAAAAAAAATCTAAAAGGATGTGGACTTCCCTTCATGCGAAGATAAATGTAGTTAAATTTTTTCAGCAATTTTTTTATATTCATTATCCTTTACAACTTTAACACCTACCGAAATTTCGTCAACGGATTTTGTCTTCAATTTTATAATTGATTAATGATACGAATATATAACCTTCTTGGTTTTAAAACCTACATTTATACAAGATGTTTATGCCTCAGGGGCGGCGGTGAGTAATGTAAACGGAGGGAGTCTAGAAGACAATGAAACTCATAAGATCAAATTGTTTTCACCAAATATAAAATATGTTACAATAATTACATATGTTTTGCTTTAGTTGTTACAAGTGAAAGTTTTTTTAGAGTAAGTTAATTTTAACCCGACTGCGAAAGAAATTTTCAATTGTTTGTATATTTGTACGGCACTCCCAGATTTTAAACGGCTTTTCGTATTTTTACGTCAGTGATAATATTTTTTTTGTGACAGTGATTACGTAAAATTAAAAAAAAATGTCGCCAAAATCGAGTGCGGTTTCGAAATAAAGAATTTTTATCCGTGAGTTCACATAAATAAACAACTAATATGTTTTACAATAAATAATACCTGTACATATATACATTTATCTCAATATGTATTAATTGTTTTTATGTGTTAATTGATCGATAAAATCCTATTGTTTCAAACCGCTTAGTTATTACATCATCGATGCATGCTCTATTATTAAGTGGCGCTGTGTTTTCACTTTTTTCTTCCATTTAATATATCAACAACGAATGAATTATGAATTTAAAATATAATTTACTTTGATATAGATGACTTTATAGTATATAAGACGATTCAAACTAGACAATAATGAAGCAATAGCATGAGAAATACATACAATATTTATTCGAAGGTTAAAAGAACAACAATAAGTTATAAATTATATAAGTAATTCAATTCTGATGCTTCCGTGTTTATTTTAAAAAAATATAGTCTTAGTTTATTGTCTATTAAAAAATAATTGTTACACACGTAACTAATACGTAACGTATGTTTCATATTTTCGTCTAGATTTCTAAGGAACCTATATTTTTTAGATCCCACGTGGTTGTCAACGAACTTCGGTGTGATAGTATGTATAGAATGTTCTGGAAGTCATCGCGAACTCGGCGTGCATATATCAAGGATACAATCTCTAACACTGGATAGACTGAGTACTTCACAGCTATTGATAGCGAGAAATATGGGCAATCAGATGTTCAATGAAGTCATGGAAAATACATTGGATGAACGAGATAAACTCACGCCAGAAAGCACTATGTAAGTAGCGCATTTGATTTGATGACGTAATTAACTATGGAACCAATAAAAGATAAGGTTCTTTTTTCCGACACTATTTAATCGTGTTACCAAAAAAAATTCATAACAAAAATATTTTTAATATAAGAACTAGTGGAAAAATAGATGCTAGATTTGATTAATTCAATTTCAATATTAATGTTTACAGGGAGGAGAGACTAAGGTTTATAAGGGAAAAGTACGTGTATAGAGCGTGGGCTGAGAGGACTTGTAGAGATGAAACAGAAAGGCTGTCGGAAGTAGAACACGCTGTTAATAACGGACATTTACAGAACTTACTCCAGGCTTACGCTGAAGGGGCTGACTTGACCTCAACTTTGCCTGGTTCGGTTAGTAATATTCCTTAATTTTCTACTTACAGTAACAAATATAGATAGTCTTGTATGATATTTGTATGCAATATTATTACTTACGGGTCTACAATAAGACAAATTTAGATAGTTTCTGCGATTAAGGCGACTAAACTTTTTAATGCCCGAGTTCTGTTATAACATTTTAACTGAAAACAAACGCGTTAAAAGTGTGATCATTATACGAGGGGAGGTCAAAAAGTTCGCGGAATGGAGGGGATGGAGGGGGTTGATTTACTCGTCCAGGTAGTAACTTGTTCAACACCTCATTAATAGTATATATACCAAGTTTGAACCAAATCGGGTCATTAACTTTTGAGTTGTTGACCTGCAAACAAGTGAATCGGGAAGAAGTCAGTGATTATGGAGAAAATTGAACACCGCGCCGTTATTAAGTTCCTCACCAAGCAAGGAAAATCCGCTCAGATAATTTTTGAAGAGCTGTTATCAGTTTACGCGGACTCTGCCCTTGGTAAAACCATGGTTTACAAGTGGCATGGACTTTTTAAACAAGGAAGAGAGTCCATTGAAGATGACGCCCGCTCCGGACGACCGATTGAGGCCACCACACCGAAAATCGTCGCAAAAGTAGAAAAACTTATATTGGAAGATGCCTGGTTGAAGAAGAAACGGCTTGGAGCAATGGTTAGAGTATCTGAAAAAAGCATTTTTAATATCCTACATCATCATCTTGGGATGACTAAGGTCAGTGCATCAGGGATTTTTACTGGTGACGAAACCTAGGTTCACCACTATGAACCTGAATCGAAGCAAGAATCGATACAGTGGCATAAAAAAGGCACAGCTCCTCCAAAGAAGTTTAAAGTGTCACAATCGGCCGGAAAGATCATGGCGACTGTCTTTTGGAATACAGAAGGTATTTTGCTGATCAATTATAAAGATCGTGGTGTGACTATAACGGGACAGTACTACGCTTCTTTATTAGATAGATTGAAAGAAGCTATCAAGGAAAAAAGAAGAGGAAAGCTGTCAAAAGGTGTGCTCCTTTTGCACGACAACGCAACAGTCCACACGTGCCATGTTGCGACGGCTGCCATTCACCGATGCGGACTCGAAAAACTACACCACCCACCTTACAGTCTAGACTTAGTCCCCAGCGACTATTATTTGTTTTCAAAAATGAAAAAAAAGCTGCGGTGAAAAATATTTGAGAAGTCAAGTCCGCAATTTCGGCCTATTTTGATAGCCAAGATAAATAATTTTTTTCGAATGTATTAATAAATTATTTGTGAGATCCGAAAAATGTATTAAGGTTAAGGGAGACTATATTGAAAAGGAAAAATAGTTTCGTGTTAAATTTCAACCCCCTTCCCGCTCATTCCGCGAACTTATTGACCTCCCCTCGTAGGTCGAAACACTTTCGTCTCGTCTGACGCGATGACGGTTTCAATAAAGTAATCAAAACGTCAGTTAAAATATAATAATATGAATTATCACGTTATATACCAAAAAAAATGTATTTTCGAGTATTTTTTGCATACGCCAATAAAGTAACATTTGTTTTGCAGGATTGCGGTGAAACAGCACTCCATCTAGCGATATCTCGAGAAATCGGCGATGGTTCTGGTCTACATATAGTGGATTTTCTCATACAGAACGGCGGTTCATTATTGGATAAGACCACATTATCTGGTATGACGGCCCTACACCTCTGTGCGGCAACAGATAGGGCGGAGGCAATGAAATTGCTGCTGAAGGCCGGCGCTGATACCACGCTGAAAGATATCAATGGAAGAACAGCTCTATACATCGCAAGACAACTTGGACATCACGCGTGTACGGAATTGGTGGGTAGAAAGATTTCTCTGAGACTTCAGTATGAATCTAGAAGATAGGGAGTGTATTTTTCTTTTAATCTACTACTACGTCATAATCCCTAATAAAAATTATTGCTACTTCGAAATTTTGAGCCTGTCAGTGATAGCTAGTTTTATTAATTACAAAAACAATATATACGTGTTTTGAGTGTGGTTTTCAAATATCTATTTAGTTCAGTCTTTGTTTGTATTTCAATTGTTAGTAAACACAAAACTTATATGAATAATCACGAAGGGATCTTTTCCAAATAAAATGCAGAGGACCTACTAACTAAGACTAATCGTAACTATAATCCATTATTATTATTGTAAAGTATTTTTGTGTTTCCAGTTGGAGAGCGTTGATAAAAGGGAAAAGAGTATATTCGAGAATATTAATATTGATTGGAATTTGTCACACGACGATGGCTCCACAGACTTCTCTGACGATGACACTGTCATCGATGAAAGGGTGAGTGACCTTTAAAAACCCTTCTATATACATATTAAAGCATATAAAACCTTATTTGAGTTTCAAGATTCTGTTTAAAAAAATTATGAACTTCAAACTATTAAGAAAAAAGGGTGTAGTGATAGAATAATCTAAATTTGTTAACAATTGTATAGAATTTTTATGATATTTTAACAGTTGACTCAGGAGAATCTATATTTTTTCATTAAATCAAAATTATTTTCCATATATTTTTTGCATAGTAAAAAGAAAAAAACCTTACAGCTCTAATTTAAAGAACAGGAATTAACCGTAGAATTGTTTGATAACTTCTTAGCAAAACGGCAGCGTTACTCCAGAGAAAAAGTGTCCACGTTCCCGGCCGCCGTCATACGCTGGTACGTGTGGGGGCGACTCCCCTGTACTACGATCAAGATCCTCAACCTGCGACTCCCTCCACCACGCACCGCCAACCCCTACCACGCTTCCGCGAAAACCCAATTGTGAGTATGGGTTACCTCCATACCACGAAAACCGATCCGTGTGTATGAGATACAACCATACCACGAAAACCGATCCGTGTGTTTGAGATACCCCCGTACCACGAACACCGATCTGTGTGTATGGGATACCCCCATACCACGAAGACCGATCTGTGTGTATGGGATACTACCATACCACGAACACCGATCAGTGTGTATGGCATACCCCCGTACCACGAAAACGGATCTATGTGTCTAGGATACCCCCATACCACGAATTCCTATCTGTGTGTATAAGATACCCCCATATGAGGAAAACCGATCTGTGTGTATGAGATATCCCCATACCATAACACCGATCTGTGTACACACATGGCATACACCCATACCACGAAAACGGATCTATGTGTATAGGATACCCCCATACCACAAACACCGATCTTTGTATAAGATACCGCTATGTGTATAAGATACCGGATAAGCCCATACCACGAACACTGATCTGTGCATGACCCCCCTACCACAAAAATCCAAATCCGAGTTTGGTATATTTCCATATCTTGAAAAATATAATCTCGGGTATCGAATACCTCACGACGATAGTAGCTTATCATTCGCTTGGTTTAACATTCAATCCTGTCCACACGCTTGGTTTTCACGGTGATGGTTATGATTTTTGGTGAAGGGATTTTTTACAGTATGACTCCTGTTCAACAGGTAAAGTTGTGTGTGTTATTTTTATTTCGTATTAATATAAAACACATTTAAATAAATTAAAAATACAAAAAAAAAATATTAACTACAGAGTGCAAGTTTTCTATAGAACAAAATATAAACCTAAACTTTAAATGTAAGTCCATCGATTGCGATTTCTAAAAGATCGCGTTCATAAAAACATTTGCTTATATTTTAAAAGCCTCTCTATGAAGATGATTACATTTAAAAGTGTTATTCATGTGAAAATGAATGTTTATATAGGAATTATGTAATTCAATGTAATTCAATGTGATTCTCATGTATTTATACATAATAAATATGATCACAGATAATATAGGCAGTTTAAAAAAGCGTGTCGCCCCCCTCCCCCCCGCGGTGTCCGTGTCTCACCCCCCCTCGCTGGCTGCTCTGCCATCACACGCCAGATCCACACCATCGCCATCCGCTGACAACACCAGGTCCATACATGGTCAGTATTAACATTATAAATAAGGTAATCAAAACAGATGTATGACAAAAATGTAATGTTTCATTTGAAACATAGGTAAAAAATACAGATATCAAAAAACTAAAAAGATTTTCTTTGTTCACGTAGTAAAAAGTACTTTCAGTTTGTTAGAATAAGAACTTTTAATGTCGAAGTGAACGAACATTTTTTTTTACACTTTTATGGCCCATCCTAAGGACAAAAAAAAAAATATTGTTACTGCAACCAAGCTCTAGTTTTAGCCAGATTTTTTCAGAGCGATTTTTTCGTCTCTTCTCTTTATAATACTAGCGCCATCTCGTAAACGTCTTATTGTTTATTATAACTGTATATTGTTAATTAAAAACAGTTGTTGATGTTAAAAATATTATTAAATAAAATTGTGGTATTAAATATATTTTACAAAATATGAATATTATTGACCCAGACGAAAAATATGATATCGACGATTGAAATCATTTAAAAAAAGACAAAGTATCAATCAATATCAATTTAAAAGTATATGACTTGACTTATTAAAGCCTAAATCAAAAATGTAATTCAAATAATTGTTTAAATTACATATACATGTATAAATAATCCTACAAAATGTTTATAGGTAGTGGTCCAGTCCCGGCAGTGAAGCCGCGACCTCAACAACCACCTCCCACGCCGCCACCCGTCACACTGCACAATGGAGCTCATAGAGACGAACCCACACCTCCACCCAGAAAGGTATAATAATAATATATTTATTACATATATTAATATATTATAATTAAAGTTTGGTTTGACAGACCGATCTGAATAGTATCTGTTGGGTTAAAAAGAAAATATCGGTTATATAGTTTATATTACTTAAGTCTATATAAGTAAATATGTGACATTAGACTTGGAGGTAAAAAATATACAAAATATGTTTTCTAGGTAAGAAACTAAAAATAATTGATTAATGAATTTTATTTTATTGGTATTTCTTTTTGGTTAGAAACATTATACTATTATATAGAACATTCCAGATAATACGCTATATATTTTTTTTTTATAAAGGAGAAATCTTAATTAGCGTTCACATATATACTTTTCAAGGATGCTCAGTCAAAAATTATTATAAATCATAAGGATTTTGTAATAAATAATGTTTTTCAACTTTTTTTTCATCCAAATTCATATTCAATGTCACTTCATTCCATATTGTACTAGTTAGTTTGTATATTATTTGTAAAAAAATATTATAAATGGATAAATTATGCATGATTGTAGTATCAAAAAACATAGAGAAAGTATAATCTTCTAAGGAATTAATTGGTTAAATCTGTATGCATACAAAATAACAAAATAAAACCATTGACACATGATACAAGTTAACTGTGATATATGAGAGTACAGGATGTATTTGTTTTTGCTTCAGAAGAAAAATAGATTGCACCTGGAAAATGCTGTGAAAGGAAAACTTAAAAGGGTAACAGATTGAGCTTAGTGTAATGACTCGCTTACCCTTACCCTTAAAATTTGTTTTTATTATATGATATCTGATTTGATAATAATTATTACTTCTTATGTGTGAGTTTCATAATGATTTACATGTGTTGGAAGTAGATTATAGTAACACATTAGAATTATTCGTATTAACACATGTAAATTATTACATCCAAGATATATAAGAACTTTTTTGTAAGCATTCCAAATTTAAAATATTCGTCATGTATTTTTTAGTTAATTTTTGCTATTAAAAGGGTCATCTTCAATATGATGTATTCTTTCTTCCAATTTCAAATTCAAAAATAAAATGAATTCTTTTTATGTTTAGGTCAAGTATTTTTGTTATATGAAATAACATGTAGATGCATGTTTGTTTGGTAGATTTAATACTTCATAAGGATCCTTCATTAGATTTAGATAAGTACTATAGGTTAAAAATATGTAAATATTAGTTATTAGGCTAGGATGAAAATGTTGACACTTTAACAACGATTTTGTTTTGTACTAACACTGATGTTGTGCACGTTTTTTGTGTATAATAATTTTTTTTTTCCTTCACCTTGACATAAATTTTATTATTTTTTGTTTCTCTATCACAGATGATATAAAACCGAGTTACATATGACTATAGTACTATTATTTGCTATCAAACCGCTTGTAATAATCATTCTATAGTCTGAAACTATTTGAAAAATGTCATAAATGTTGGTAATATTTCCAGGAATGTTCTAGTCAAGATTCATCGTTGGAGTTATGTGATATATCAGACGGTTTGGACGACAGTCGGCTCCAGTGTCTGTCGGACAGTTCTAGATCTCGTGAGAGAACGAGACGCAGCGACAGATCTCTAGATGTATCAGACACTTCCAGTCTTCATTCGAGGTCGCCTTCCACTTCTATAACTATGGTAAATGAGAAGTTTATAATTATAAAATATAGAAATTATGTAATCACCAACCCGTCTTGAGCAAGCGTGGTGATTAATGCTCAAACCTTCTCCATGTGAGAAAGAGGCCTTTGCTCAGCAGTAGGCTCTTATAGCCTGAAAAAAAAGCATTACTGGGTTAATGATTGGAAATTTTGATTTTAATATGTAGTATGTTTTATATGTCCAATTTAATACCTTTTTCTAATCCAGCAAACCGTAAGACATTTTTCTATCTTGAGTACATTTGAAATATTCAAGTCGGTTTTTTTGTGAATTTTAAAAACAAATTTATTTATTTTCCATAGTAAAAAATATTTAAATTGATTGGCGCAGAAGTTATTTGTACGTACATAAGTGTAACTGAGTGTATATTAATAGTTATTAATAAGTTTCAGATGGGTGGAGGTATGAGGAGGTGCCGAGCGTTGTACGACTGTTCAGCTGACAATGAGGACGAGCTGTCGTTCAGGGAGGGCGAGGTCATAGTCGTCATCAACGAACGAACCGAAGACGACAACTGGATGGAGGGACAGGTCGAGGGGACCAGCCGCCGCGGCATGTTCCCCGTCTCTTTCGTACACATGCTGCCTGATTAGTGCGAGCGAGACGGCTGTATGTCCCTCAGTTCATATCAGTTAGAAACGTGTTCAACCTTAACAGCTCAGTAGATGTATTGAATAATGTTTCCTCTTCACTCTTGTAACGTACGATGTAAAGAGTTTTAGACCGTTTCTATGTATAGGGTCTTTTTGGTAGTTTTTTTTTGTTTAAATGTTCATTCCGATTTTAAAAAATATATAATAGTATGTTTGGCCTAAGCTTCGTCGTTCATATAGAGCTGTGGGCTTTTATACTATAGGAGGTTTTATAATATACATATGCTTGATTGCACAAGATTTGTTCAAACGCAACATGCTTCAGGACACACAGGGCCACAATGTGATAACACCAGCACAAAAAATTGTTTTTATACATGAATTTTATTATATAAACGAAATAAAAAGATTTTAAACATTTTATCATCTGTTTACACAGTTTTAACAGATTAAAAAGATGTTTTACTAGATGAGAATAAGATTTGAAGCGCTCACAACAGATGATGCTTTAGTCTTATTAAGAATTGTGCCACCATTTTATAAGTGCCAGGACAAACTCCGTCCCGAAACGGATTTTCTTTTCGATTTATTGGTTTTTTTAAATATTTTAATTTGTATATAATATATATTGATAATCGTGTAAGATATAACATTGATCTGACACCAAATGCTCAATGAAAGCAACGGTTGTAAGGCCAATTCTCAATTTTAATATCTATATAGATTATTGTATTGTACAGCTCAGATAGTGATTGCCAAAAAATATATATATGTGATTCTGTAGTTGGAGTAATATATTATATGATCGACAAACTATTGGACCAGTGAATGTTTGTTGTGTAGTTGTTCATGTAGTAACTAGATTGTTGGTACATGTTGTCTAGATTTATCTAATGCATCTATAGGTCTTGAACCGTTGTATTATTTGAGAGTATTGTTTTACAATCTGACAATAACATATATAAATATATAATGAAAGAGATTATATGAATACAGAAGCACTAAAGGCCTGTAGATAGCATCGATAATATTGTTATTAATATAAAATTTTATCAACTCAAAGACGCGTATAATCACTAAGTACCACATTCCTGTATGTTTTAGTTTTGTTAAGTTCAATACCTATATAGAATAGTGAAACATAATTTGTATAGTTACCCTTATTAAAGCGCGTTGCCATAATCTAGTATTATTTTATTTACGCCAATTTATTGAAAGAAACAACAACATAACAGTCTCATTATTAACAACCAATGATTTGTTATTTATTTTAAATAAACACTGATTCTGTACATAGATGTTTCCTAAACAGATGTAATACGCTTTTCTAATTTATTATAAACTATTATTGCTATGAGATTTGTTTATTTTTCATCTCTAAATATATATATAAAAATGAATTTAATGTATTTATTTAATAATGTAAAACTAATGTGATGAATATTTGAATGCCATTACAGTCAATCTATGATTGAATAATATAATATTGGTGATTAAGTTTTAATGAAGTTCATTTTCTTTGAACATTGACATCTGAATGATTTATCCAGAGGAATATGATCAGTTCTGGGCCTATTGTATTACTTGTTTAAAAACTATGTAACCAAATGATGCTAATAGCCAGTAAGAAGTTTTTTCTGTATTGTAGTATGAATATGAAATGGAGTTGTAGTTGAGATAGTTTTTTCTATTGTGTATTATCTAAATGAAATCTGTAACAATTTATTATTACATCATTTCGATGTCTTTAACGTGTTTTCATTTAAATTATACCCCTTACATAATATTTATCCTTGGTTCTAGAATTTCTAGGTAAAGTGAAATTGTTCTTGATTTCATGAATTTTCACTGAAAAATCTCTATTAAACTTTATAGTGATATAATGGCGCTCAACAATTTATGGAAATATAGGAAGGAACATTGAGTTTAGAAAGCGTTGACCAAAATATATCAATTAACGTTAAATTTGAGTGAGGAAGAAAAGATAAAGAAATTAATTGTGAGTGGAGCACCTACGCACGGAAGATTTTTTTGTTGTCGAAATGAAAAAAGTAAGGGGTAAAAATTGGTTTTTAAAGAATTTTCAATGTTTCCTTAAGAAAAACTTATTAACATTACTCACAAGTCCCTGTTGGTTGCCACTTACCCGCATGCGTTAGAGCGCGACGCATTCCCTCTCCGGTCTCCCTCTTTTTTTTAATCCTCCCCCCCCAAGTAGCGTTTAACGCATAACGCAACCTTGATAGAAGTCGCATAAGAAGTTTTACTTCTAAAAATAGTGGTTAAGCATCCTTTAAGAGTTATTACTATTGGGGACAGCACTTTTTTTTTCAAAGATAAATATAATAATATATATGTGTTACGACTCAAGTATTATTTAGTTGTATAAAAAATGCGTTAGCTATGACAAGATCTTGAAGAAAATTATAATTTTTAAATTATCGTAAACACCAAAGAAGAATAAAACTTACATCTGTTTCAAACTTCAATGTCATACAATAGTAAACTAGCTGTCATAAGTCAAAACAAGAGCAACAAGTGATTTAAAGTTACTTATCAAATATATTGAATATTCCATTATCATTATGACCAAAAACAATTTGATAACATTCATACCAGAATCGTAAATCGTCTTTTAACATTTCCATTTCTTTATATAAACATGGTTTCCCGAAAAAGAGTATTTGATTTATTTAGAACTATGAACGTAGCTGCGTAAGTATATTTTCTAAATACATATATAAAAATATATATGAAATTCCCTTTTGCGAATTATATTAACATACGAAAAAAGCCACATTCTTTGAAATAATTATGAGGTAAATACATGCACTCTTTATCTTATCGCAACATTTTCTTTCCAAAATTTTAGATGCCAATGTCCAGCTCATGGATTTAGAGGAAATTTTCAAGTTTCGAATGCAACTCCAACTAAGGACTATGCTTTTGAGGTTGGTAACAAACAAGATGTTTTTAATACCTAACAAGAAAAATATTAATAAAAAATATCAAACATATATATCAAAACTTATTGCATGATCTTTACTAATTAATTACAAATATAAAATGACAATATCTGTTTTTTATTAAACTTAGTAACAAAACCGATACAGAAATAATGTTTTATAAATACATTTATTGTAGTTATCACTCTACTGTTGCTTGTTGCTGCCGGCTTTAAAAGCAAATAGTTTTAGGCAGTTATATTTAATGTTGAACATTTTTTTTATTTATTTATTTGAGGTATATGTTACACTAAAAGTTTTTTTGCCATATCATATAATAATAATCTTTAAGTTGTTGGGTTTAGCCTCTATAGTTTGTCTGTATAATTTATTTAAACTTTATTTTAAATTTTAAATCTTGCACAAAGTGCACAACTGAAAGTTTGAAGTACAATTTTTGTGATAATTTATTCTTAAATATAAAGATAATAATATCAATTATCTATTTTATAAATTTTAGATTAAATCCTCGACAGTAAGGTATGGATTGGGAGTCACAAGAGAAGTTGGTCAGGACTTGGTCAATATTGGTGCTAAAAATGTTTGTGTTATGACAGACCCTAATGTAGTCGCTCTGAGTCCAATGAAAGCTGTATTAGAATCACTAACACGAAATGGTGTGAAATACAAAGTATATGACAGAGTTCGAGTAGAACCTACTGATACAAGGTATGTATTGCAATTATATCTGAAGTTTAATTCATAAAGATCAATATTAGAAAAAAGTGGATTTTTTTTTTGTAATATTATAAGACATTAAAACCGCATAAAATCTCAGACTTTCAATTAAATTGCCGTGTGATTTACCCATAAATAAATTTATCTAACCATGTACTGTATATATGTAATGTAAAAACCTACAACATTCTTTAAACTATTTTTTGATATTCATACTAAGTGTCATGAAAAACATGTTTATTGGTAACAAAAATTTATTTGAACAATCTTTTTGTCAATATTGGTTCTGACTTGGCTTAACTAACAAATATGTAGATAATGGATATATTAAAAATTTGATTTCAGTTTTAAAGATGCTATAAAGTTTGCCAAGGAGGGTAATTTCGACAGTTTCGTGGCTGTAGGAGGTGGTTCTGTAATGGACACAGCTAAAGCTGCTAATCTTTATTACTGTGATCCTAATGCTGACTTCCTTGATTATGTCAACCAGCCAGTGGGTAAAGGGAAACCAGTTGGTGTACAGCTGAAACCTTTAATAGCAAGTATGAATATAATATCATTACATCGAATTCATTTATTTCATACAATGAAGGGCGATTCATAATTTTCTCGATTATAGTTCCAACAACTAGCGGTACTGGCAGTGAAATAACTGGCATAAGTATTTTTGATTTTGAAGAAATACACGCTAAGACGGGCATATCCCATTTAAACATACGACCGATGTTGGCTCTCATAGATCCTCTGCATACACTTACAATGCCTAAAAACGTGGCCACATATTCAGGATTCGATATATTCTGTCACGCATTAGAAAGTTTTACTACAATACCTTACAACGAAAGAGAACCGGCTCCGGAAAATCCTTCCTTAAGGCCAGTGTATCAAGGAAGTAATCCTATATCGGATGTGTGGGCTAGATTTTGTTTGCAAGTAAATATTAAATTTATCACTAAATACCTTATGAGAATTAAAGCAATGAATCATAAAGTTATTATTGCTATTAAATTCTTTCAGGCACTGAATAAATACTTCCACCGGTCTGTCAACAATCCTGACGATATAGAGGCTCGCTCCAGCATGCATCTAGCAGCTACCATGGCGGGTGTGGGCATTGGCAACGCTGGCATACACTTATGTCACGGTCTGGCATATCCTATAGCAGGAAATGTTAGAGATTTTGTTCCGAAGGATTATGGGTATGAAATGTTTTAATTTACTCTAGTTATTTGAATGAAATAATAGATTTTGATGACTACTAGTATATCCATAAATGGGAAAGCGCTTAGAAAAGAGGTGATAAGTTCGATTTATATCTGATTATTTATATTTCATATCATTTTAAGGATTAGAAAATATTCTCTACAAGTGTTTGCTTATTACTTAAACAGTATACAAAGTACTTAAGCATTTGAATGTAACCCAAACCTGCAAAATTAATGCTAATAGGTAGTTTCCATATTTAAATATATATTCAAGAAGTCAACTAATCTACAAGTGTGCAGGTTTCAAAGAGTTAACTGGGCCAACATGTTAATTTAGTCATAAATCATTTCAATGGATATCTCTAGTATGCAATTATTATGAGCAAATTTAAATACATCATGCAATGAAACATGATTTCACATAACTCGTGTTTGTGTAACCATATTGATGTTAAAAATTTCTGTTTGTGTGTGTGCAAATTGACAAATTAAAAGGATATTTTACATTTACGTAGATGTAAGAAGAAGTACATATAAGTTATTTTATTACATATTCAGAGATTCTTTAATATATATCTATTTATTTATTACTGATAGAGTAATAAGAATTAATTTAATAGTGTCATAAAAAACACATACATATATATGTATGTCATTATATGATAATTAGTTATTATAATAATTATTATCACAATTTTATGATCTTATTCCAGTTCAAAGCCAATGATACCTCATGGCCTGGCTGTGTGTATGACTGCCCCAGCGGTGTTCAGATTCACAGCTGTGAGTGATCCTGAGAAGCATCTTGAGGCAGCTGAATTACTTGGAACTGATATAACTAATAAAAAAAAGGAAGATTCTGGCAAAGTACTGTCTGATATTATATTGAAGTACATGGACAAAATGGGTATTGATGATGGATTGTCAGCTCTCGGCTTCAGTTCTGATGACATTCCTAGTCTGGTTAAAGGAGCTTTACCTCAGGTATACTTAATTCTTTAACTATTCGCTTCATTTAGATTCTTTTGCAGTATATATTTTTGATATAAATATAAAGTTTAATGAAAATCATATCAAGTTTTTACGTAACCATATTAAAAATGTATATAGCTATCAAACTATAATGATATACTTTCATATTCATATTATCTTTTGGTGTAATTTAATAAGATATAGCAATAAATATGGCCATTTACAAAATATTAAAATAGCAATTGAACAATGAGAAAATGTTTTTTTGTTTATAGCAAAGGATATTAAAAATGGCTCCACTGCCACAGAGCGAGGAGGACTTGAGCAAACTTCTGGAGGATTCATTGACTATATATTGATCAATGTAAGAAAAATAATGTTTGTTGTTAATGTTTACAAATTTATTTAATGTTATCAATAAAAGAATATAACAATTAATGTTTTATCTTTATTAATTTTAAGTACATAAAATAATACCTATCAACTAATTTGTATAATATATAATTATGTATATCTTACATTAATTTGTTGAAAATTTGACTTCCATTTGTTACTTTCTTCTTAAAATCATAAGACAAGCGCTAGATATGAGGATTCGGACGCGATAGTATTCGAAAATTGTTTGAAGGCACTTAAAAGATGCACAAATTTGGTACAATATGTAGGTAGCTCTGACTAGCGCTAACATCTATCACTTACTGCTTATATAAAAGTTAACGCAGTTGTTATGTTAATAATTAAATGATGTTTGTTTTGTGCGGTCCAGTCACACCGCCTCTGGCACAATGTTGCTGTGGTGGAAAGGACTACTTTCGTAAGACATGTTAGATGCGTTTACTGCAACGTTGTGCAACGGAGCGTAGCGGTTGAGTTTAGGTGTAGTAGGTCCTGTTAATTCCTCTGATAGCTGCTGGTAAACGAGACCACAGTCCTTCTTTGTGCGACCAGCATTGCTCATGGCGGCGATTATGGCACTGTTGTATCTTATTTGCTTGTTTCTTCTCTGGCAAATCATCATCACGACCTTTCCGAGGACGATCAAAAGTAGTAGCGCGCCCAAAATAGCGATTAACATTGGCCACAGATACTCATAACGGCCGTGTTCTTGATCTTTCATTGATTCTTGAACATATACTTCAGGTTCTAGGTCATCGTAGACGCTGTCGTTTTCCAGAAGTTTGATTGCAATATCCACCTTATCCTTTTGAGATGATGCAGTAGGTTTAGCGGTAGACTGAGAGACCGGTTTGTCAATCAAATTGACTTTAAGATCGACATTATCATCGTTATCATCATAATCTTCTCCTGTCTCATCATCGTCATCATCGTCCCCGTCTTCATCTTCATCATCGGCGTCATTGTCTGCGTTGTCGTCATCGATCTTTTCGTTTGACTCATCATTTGTTAGTTTAGTATCGTCGGCTATCTTGCCATCATCGAGGGTGTCCTTCAAATCGAAGTTACCTTCAGCATCTTTGTCGATCCTTTCCCAAATCTCTTCATCGGACACGGATGGCAGAGGTTCGACTGGGTGTGGCATTGCTGTCCCACATGTTTTTCGTGACAGGAATTCCCAACTGTAGTTAGTCTCTTCTTCTTTTGTATCCTTAGCTAAGTTAGCAATGCTAGCTGTGTTGGAATTAGGAGACACCTTATGTTGGCTCAACCAAGACATGAGGTTTTCGAAGTCCCGGCTACAAGCAAGTAAATTGTTACTTATATCAAGTGTGCGTAATTTGTTAAGCGTGTCTAATTCGGTTTGCTTGATCTCAGTAATACGGTTATGTGAAACATTCAGGAAATTTAAGTTGTTGAGCAGCGTTGCTGGTTGAGTCTTTTCTACCTTCCAAAGAGCAGTCAGCTCCGCATGACTCATATCTAACCAAGTGAGTATTGGTGTATAGACAAATATTTCAGTTGAAAGAACTTTCAGAGGATTTCCTTGAAGATTTAATTTTCCTAAATCGCTATTTTTCTCAAAGACTTTGCTATCCAGAGAAGTAATTTGATTATAAGACAAATTAATATCAATCAATTTTGGGGATCTTGAAAATACTTTGCTACTTATAGTTTTGATTTTGTTTCCAGAGAGGTTTATTTGGGATAGTGCCGTAAACGTTTTCAGAGAATCGTCAAATATTTCTTCCAGCCCGCAGTTTGATGCATCAAAGAGATAAATGTTGAATTGTTCCGCAGAGCAATTGAATCCCTCCATTGGCAAATGTTTAAGACGAGGATTGTTCGAAATTTTGAAAATATCCAGTTCAATGTTCTCTTTAATTAAAACGCTTGAAACAAAGTCTAAGTCGTTATAAGACAGGTCCAGGTAATTGAGTTCAACTAATTTATGGAATGCTTGGTTATGGATTTTTTTCAGGCTGTTTCCGCTCAGATTCAAATTAGCTATGTACGTCATACCCAGGAACATAGATGGTCCAATGAAGCTTATATTTGTTTGTCCAGCATTAAGTGTAAGTAAGTCGGATATTTGTAAACCGAATACTGAATCGATCGGATTCCTTTGAATGTGGAGCGTAGCAAGCTCTGTGTTTTCGGAAAATATTTCTCCTGGTAAAAATTTAATATTATTGTCACTCAAGTCTAATTCCTCCAAATCTAATAGCGTTTTAAAGGTGTCATCCTCCATATTGGATAGGTTATTTCCAGCTAGATTCAAATACATAAGTCCGGGCATGTTTTTAATCGTATTTGCAGTTAGGTATTGCATGTTACAGTAAGAAATATCAAACTCTTGAACGGATGAAGCATTTAGAAAATATTCTTGTGAGCCAGGTGCAGGAAACTTAAGTGGGTTGTTAGAAAGTGTTAGCAGTAATAATTTTTTATTATTTGCAAACGTTTCTGAGTGAATGCTTTTTAGTTTATTATTGGATAAGTTTACTGCGTAAAGTTCATGAAGTCCGTGGAAAGCGTTAGCCCCAACGGAAGTGATGGTGCTGTTTACGATTTTGATGGTTGCAATTTGATGCAAACCTAACTTTTTGAAAATAAAATCATCTAATGTTATAGGAGAGCTTGGATCCGCGTTTTCTATGACAAGATCGGTTATGTCGTCTCCAAACTTCTGTGTTCCTAGTTCTAGACGATTACACTTAGCTGTTCGATATCCTTGAGATACAGTGCATAGACAATCTCTGGGGCAGGGCCTGTCCTCATTAAACAGGACTTCCTGGTTATCTGATGAATCATAATCTTCATATTGGAAGAGGAAATTGTCTGCATCTTTATCTTTCTTCGCAGTTTTGTTGACAGTCTCGCAGATTGCAAGAGCACATACTGCCAGGAGCAGGACTAACTCCTGGGACTTAGCCCCCATATCGTAGCGAACTCTGAAACGAAAAATAAAAATATAAGTAACCAAAGTAAGAGAACGGTACCCGCTCTTTCGTCAATTACCTAACTAAAGTTGTTGATGGAGCCATTTAAACAATTATGAAACAATAGGTTTAATTTGTTTGTTGTTTAGAGCTAACAAACGTTTCAATCATGAAACAAAAACTCAAAAAAATGGTTTGCAAGAGAACAATAGCTTTTAGCTTAACGGATTTTTTTATGACGTGCTAACATAAAGAATCTACGATGTTCCGCTCAGAGGAGTAAGTAAAGGTACCGGGAATTCCTATTAATCATTATTGTATGATGCATCTTATTAAAAAGGACAGTATTTCAAAATTATGACGCAAAAAAAGATGTGTTATAAAATGGAGATTGGTGTCGGCCTTTCTCGCTCTTTCTGTATATGCATGCGTACATGTGTACCTATATCTGTATGTATCTGGCTATGGAATAGTTGCCCTCGAACGGATTGATCGATTCCGATGGGGGGTTTGTTTTATTTGAAAGCCACTTTTCTTATGGTTCTTAGCTATGTTTGATGAATACCGATTAATCAGGGTATTAAGAATTATTTAAGTCATTTTTGATGAATCAATACATATTCGATCAAGTGTTTCAAGCCTGTATAATTATTAAATGCCAATTAATGCGTATTTTTCTCTACACTATAATTTTGTCATTAACTGTTTTATCTGATAATGAAAGTAAGTCGTCAGGGTTTCAAAGTAACAATAAAAAATATTTTAACATATATAAATAAATTAGTACCTAATACATATTCAACAGATGTTGTTTTGCTGTGAAACACTATCCGTATATGGTCCATACATCTGTTATTTTGTCAAATAAATATATAACATACATAATACGTACATTGTAGGTATATAATTACACTGATTTGTATAAAAATGTGAATAGCGAAGTAGCAAATGACAACGCGTTGGGCCTGAATATGACTTGAGTATTTGTGAATTGAATAAATAGTGTTTTCAATGATAGTTTCATACAAATAAGGCGCCTGTTTAAACCATAGCCTTTCTTGAATAACGTGATCCCCAACAATTTTGGCATGTTATTACTTCGAATTGACCTTTACAGATACAAATACACAAAAACAAACTGTAATTTAAAAAAGTACACCTACCTCTTATAGTTTTATCAAATGAATATATATTTCTACCTTTCTATGATCTACATTAAATATAACAAATGAACAATAAGTCATCCATTTATAATAGAGGCTTACCTATTTGTGGCATATAAAACAGTTGTCATTCAGATTATACTATGTTAATTGAATTTACATACATTATTGGAGCATCCCAGTTGAAAGTATTTGAACATATAATATAATTGGTATTTATTGCGATTAAAATATGTATTTAAAGAGGTTGTTCGAAAGTCATTCATTTGCACAAGTGTGTAAGTACTTTAAAATTACTTTGTCTCAAAAGGAACATTATACCTAATTGTTTCGAGCAAATTTCATATATTTATTAAACAGTATTCTATGAGTAAATACTCTAGTATGATTCTATATGAGAAGATTTCAAGCATGTTGTAGATTATCGACTGCTATCGAAGTTCAGTTCAATATAGAAAGTTGTAACACTTTCTCGTTTCGGTCAAAAGCAGTTTGACGACGGACATGTTTGGAGGGAATTAATATTATAATGCTATTGTTTCGCTATATCTGTATCACATATATTATAGGCGTGACTGTAAGATGGTTCGTCGCAAACATTAACTAGATAAGATTAGATAGAGCCCGAACACAATATTTCTATATACATATTAAAGTTCGTATGTGGAATTTGTTACTATATAAAATTTCCGTACCTCGCACATTGTTAGTATTGTATTTAATTTAAATTCTTTCAATGTTTCTTACATTACAATGTCAGTTCTATAAAAGAAGTCAAGGTGACTATTTTTTCTCAAACAAAGAGCTCTCTGTCATTATATGACAGGATCAATAGTTTAGTGTTTAGTCAGATTACGTTCCAAGTCCGAAGTTTTAAAGTAAATATATAATAAAATTATTAATTCTCTCGTCATTTATAATATTGTTCAACTCACTAAATGGGAAGGATTTCATTATGATCTGTTAAGTATTGGCAGGTGTGGCCGAAATGTGTTTGAATACAAATATAAGCATCTGTTCAAAAACTTGGCAACAGCTGATACTTGTTGAACACAAGGTGGTTAAAATTCCCGATCCGGGAATTTATCGCTCTGCATTAACATTTGAATCTACAGATGTTTATTTGCACGACTTTTTGTTTGTAAACTATGAAGACGTTTATAATTTTACATTAGATTGATATCGAGTAATTCATATGTAAACATTATTACAATTTCATTAAAAATAAAATCGATTTTATCTAAATCGATTAAGTATTTTTATACGATTAACTCAACACACCCACAAACATAAATATACCTACTTAATTAAGTTTCAGACAAACTAACAATATTAATAAATTATTCCTGTCAATTGTTAACTAATTGGTTGGTATATTTAAATCAATTGAATATGGGTATTAAATGCATATGTCACGTAATTTCTTATAGTATTTAGAATGCTAATAGACGCTATGGATAAATTATATATGTATTTTGCATACAATACTAGCGCCTACATTGGCGAAGCATGCAAAAATGCGTATCGTGTCCGGATAGACGGCCGATATATTGTTTGTAATCCTTCTGACCTTATTTGTAATGTAGAATATAGTACAATTGAACAGTCAAGCACATTGTGTACACTAACTATAGCTATCGGTTCATGAATCATTGCCGATAATTTCTGATTACGATGTTTGGCAGACTACGACCGTCTTAATTTATTGTTGTATTTAACTATTATGTACAATCCAGAAACTAGATATACTGTATACATTTTTATATAACAGTTACATAGTAGAAAGATTTATAAGGGCAGTGTGATCAATAGAGATTAATTTAGGCGAAGCGTAGCTTGAGATCAAAATTAATTGCTCTAAACTAAAATACAAATTAATTGCCCTAAAATAAAATTATTAATCGATACAAATATAGCTCACAATATGAATGTTATAACGCAGATTTCCTACATATATTTTATAGGCTATTTATGTAAATGTAAGAGTTATGATAAATCTTTCTGAACTCGATATTTCTTTGTTATAATCAGTCTATTCGTTTTATTATGACATCAACACACTTGGAATGATGACGTTTAGACTGATAATGTTTTGGTTTGAATTATGAACTTTATACTAATAAAAATAAGGTTTAAAGTCGAGTTGGATTAAGTAAGTCATGTGACAGTCAATGTTTGTCAAGACAAGCTAGATCTATGTAATGTAATAGTCACCTTAAGTTTTTAGTAGGAAGGTTGACAAAGATTTGAGATATGATACGGGTATGTGTGGCTATAGCATCGTATATAGAGAATGTGTGGTTTGCCACAATGAGCTGGTTCTGTTAATGACAACCTTTCATAAGAAACCCTGTTTCATCACATACGTAGGTAGCTATAATAAAACTGTGTCGGTGGTGGTAAGCGGACTACAAAAATGCTTGATATCAAGGCATATAGAAGAGGATATTAAAGAAATTTATATTACTAATTATTATAGACATGAAAAAGATCTGTATATGTGCTTGGCATAATATATTAAAAAATACTATTATAAACTTGGTACTTTTATATTAGTTCCGATACAGAGTGTAGTATAATAATTATAGGAAAAGTTGATATGCTTATTAATTATTATACTTAAAAAACGCTACAATTTCAAACGGTTATATATTAAATATATAATATAATACGAACCTCTGTCCTTGTTCAGCTTCCCTGTTACTTTGTTAATTGCTATCTGCAAGAGAAAAACAACAAATTAGAAATATATAAAGATAAAATAATACGGCTTACGAAAGATTTAAACTATCTTAAATGGCAAATGATCTCATCGTATCATTTTAATTAAATTAAAAGCATGCTATGAAACGGCGTCTGTAACGCAAAGCACTCTCACAATTCTGATAACAGTGTTTTGTCTGGAATATTGAGTTGAAATATTCCATTTAATATTTTCATCCTACAATATTTCGTTACTTAGTATTGATGAAAGAAATTAATATACAAAGTGTAAATAATATTAAGAAATATTTTTCTTCCACTGCTGTAAAACAATACGATAGTTATCGCCAATCAGATATTCGGATGAAAGACAAATTACAAAAGTAACTGTATCAGATGAATGTATCTATCAAGATCAGATATTGAATATCAGAGCCAATAGCACCGATGGCGGCAATGTGACACTACTATCAAGACTGGTTTGTACTAGTTGAGATGCGTCGTGGTCATGCAATGTTAAAATATATGCAAATGTATGCTATGCGCCGTGCATCAAAATCCATATTTATAGAAAATTCTTTTAAAGTATTTGGAATTTGTAGTGTGTTTTGTTACTTCCTTTATGTTTTGATATGTTATTGTTGACTTTTTCATGTACTAAGACTGAAACGACTATCTTCGAAATGATGAAAGAATTAGAGCCATAGAATTATACTTGCATGAAAAATCATATCATTACACGTACAATTGATGAGTTATTTTGTTAGTACAAACTAAATAAATTAGAAATACAAAATGCCATCATAACGGCATGATTGAGAGACATTTAACCGTGATTGCCTTGAATATATTGAGATGATTAATAATTCACGCTATTAGAATATTAACACGGCTATCATGTGTCGTATTTTATCTTAGAATGATATAAATTGATATCGTTTAAATGTATGAAGACGTGCAACAATTTGAAACGAGATATGACATACTTGAATTAACAATAGAATGGTCCTTGGCGTGTCGCTAGTGTAACATAGGTCATGTAAATGAAAAGAAATGTGGAGCGACATACGTTATGGCACGTACAAGAAACACAGGATAGCCTTGTAGGCACCTGCTACTTAAAACCCAGCTTTGTTCATCTTTTGTGATGACAACAATGACTTGAATCACAAAAGGTGGTAATAAATGTTATGCCAGTAATCTCTGTATGCATTATTCATATTACTAGATTGTTCTGTCAAATTTTTCTACATATGTATGAAATATGTAACTCGCTTTGCTTTTTAAATTCTTTGTGAGTTAATCTTCGATAGAGTGGAATGTTCAAATGAAAATCTTGTGATAAAAGATAAAGTTATCTGAGCAAACACCTTTTCTCGTGATGGATGTGGTTTCAATGGTAGGGGTCAATGTACTATGTACTCTCATTTTGTGTTATTAATCCGTC